AACATTAGTTATCCTGTCATTCCATACATCTTGACGACTGATGCCCAGAATGGTGCGGACACAACGGAGATGAAAGACAGACAACGCATGAACATCAGCCTGTAGCGGTACCCAGCATTCGGACCCATAGAGCAGAGTCGACAGCACACAAGCATTGTACACTGACCGTTTGATGGATATTGTCAGTGTTACATCGTGGAATATCGATTTCTTCAGAGCGCCAAACGCTTTGGCAGCTTGTGCAATCCGGGTTGTGACATCATCATGACATCGGCCGTTGCTGTGTATGTTGGATCCAAGGTAACGAAAAGACGACACATGGGCAATCTCCATAGTTCGAATCGCGAGCGGCTCTAGATCGTCGTTAGAGATGTTGGGGCCAGAGACCATGAACTTGGTTTTGGTGGCACTGACGGTGAGGCCAAAATCGCTGCATACATCCACAAATACCTCCAAGGCTGAAACTGCGGCCTGGCGTGTCGCGGCCACAAGAGCGGAATCATCAGCAAACTGACACTCTGTCAGCTCCAGGGATCTATCACGGCGGCTACGGTGGTGGAGTAGCTTCCCATCTGGCTCGAAGAAGACCTTTGCGCCTACACCAGGGATAGGCTGCACGTGCTGGCGCCAACAATGCATCACTGCCCACATGAAGATGTTGAATAGGACAGGGGCCATGCAACATCCCTGCCGCAAGCCGTTCGTCACAGGGATGGGGTCAGCTTCAACATTCGACAGACGGAGAGTTGCGGTCATGCCGTCATGGAATGCACGGATAACAGCGATCAGCTTCTCGGGGACGCCAGCTTTTCGCAGTACTAACCACAGACACTCTCGCGGAACTGAGTCATAGGCTTTCTTCAGGTCAATGAAGATGAAGAAACACTTCTGCTCATGCTCGTAGCTCTTGTCGATTACGACACACACACACACACACACACACACACACACACACACACACACACACACACACTAGGGTCCGGCGGATTCTGCCGGCAGAAAAATTGGCAGAATTCGGTACTTTTTCTGGTAAGTTTCATGCATGTTTGGTATGTGGATAAAAAAAATGGAGCAGAATTCGAGGAATTGCCTGCCATAAGGTTTGTATGGTTCTGCCAATTTCACTGCTTTTCGAGCAGAATCTGCCACCTTTTCAAGCAGAATCCGCCGGTCCCTAACACACACGCACGCACCATGTACCATGTACCATGTATACGCCCGTCGCAAGAGAAGCACGCAAATCTGCAAATGCACTGGATGTGCACCCACAGATTTTCTCTTATAGCAACGATAGCGAACAAGATCTGAACGAGACAGATCAAGACTTGCGCCAGATAACTGTCGAATCCACACAACTGGCGAAGCCATGTGAATCGACCACCAATGCACACCTGGTCTACACCACACGGAGTACATCGGCATAAAACGGCCAAGACAGTTACCTATGCACACCCTACACTTACAGCACGCTGCTTTGATAGAAGCAGACACTAGATGCACTGGTACCTTGAAGTGAAATTGGAGTTACTTTACCAACCAGCCTCGGCTACTGAGTACTGGGAACCCAGAGCCAACAGACCTACCAACAACCTCAGCCATGAAAGCTATTATTAACGACACACTGGATTGTGGAGCCGAAACTAGTCCAAACTTCCAAATGCTTTGGCAAGATGGTAGCCTTCCGACAGGTTGGACAACGCGCACGCACACACGCACACACACACACACACACACACACACACACACACACACACACACACACATACACACACACACACACACACACACACACACACACACACACAAAGATTTGACCATCACAATCACAATCCATATTCACCAGGATGCATTAAAATATCGCTATTTTTCGACTCCCTGATGCTTTCCACGGCCCATGGCCATGGGCCTGGGTCACCACACCAGCCCCCACTACAGCAGCCTGTCCAGGCCAGGGTCAGGCCCGTTATGTGCTTGTCATGTCACCATGGTCGGCCTTGGCCGTCGTCCTTGTGCGGTAGTTGTCACCACACGCGGGTTTACAACACCTCGTGGGGGGGGGGGGGGGGGTGCATCTGAGAGAAGCAACGAGGGGAATGTCGGCATCAGAGAGTATCCGACCAAGTCCCCTGTTGAGTCCTCTACATTCATGTGGATGGCTGAGGTGATACATGTACGTCAAGTATCATGACTGTGCTTTGAAGTAGCACAGTGTCATGTTGTCAACTCCTCCAGTTCCTTCTAAGAACACGCCACAGTGTATCGTGTTCAATTCTTCCTCAATACGTCTTTGTTCGTCCCTCAACCTCTGTATATAGTCACCATAATTATACACAGTACATTTACAAGCATGTATATTATAGTATTGTGCATAGATAGAGCGGTGTGTTGCTGGCGATATACTACTAGGCTACATCATAATAATTATTATATCAGGCAACAAACTGAACTTGATGTGAAAGTGGAGCAAGCAAACCAGTCACTTACTAGCTAGCCCTGAGCCTAGCTAGGGCAGTGCACCTAATCCTTCCTTGCCATATTCAGGGTCGGAAAAGACTACGGTTATACCAAGAGTTCATAACCCCCAAGAGTGTGCAACTCCTGATCAGTCCCTGTATGGAAGCCCGCTCGGCGGAATTCCTTCATTGCGTCATTTTTGGTGCAGTGCGATGAGTCACGCCGATGAATTCTTCTAAGATTTACAGTCAAACCAGGATGCTCCCCAGGGTAAACTGCCTAAACTGCGATCGATTCTAGTCTGACTCTGAGTCTCAAGAAGCAAAAGTGAAACAAAGCACACGATCCTAAAGACAAAACTATTTATTTTTTCGATGCAATGGTGACTCTTCATCCCCTTCTTCTTTTATTCAGTCTCTTCAAGAACAATTTCTTCCCCAGGCCATCGGCATATTTCCGGTGCTTTCCTCGAAGATGATTTCAAATGGTTGAGGAACTTGAGAGAATACGTCGAAGGAGCATTTTTCGGCTGAGTTACACAGCTATCAGAATGATTGTCCTCGACGGCAATGCAATATTTTTAACAGCGTCCTCACTTCTTCCTGTCGCGATGTCCATGGATGCTTGGCTGAGAAAGAGTTTGTTTTTGAGAAAGTACGAGGTGAATAGCAATTTCTGGACATGAAAATAAAATAGAGGCCCACTGGCTATGTGTTTTACATTTTTCATATCCTTTTGTATCTATTGTATGGCCTAATCCTTCATCTTTCCAAATATGTGACAATTGCTCATGCTGTGAACCCAGAGACTTTATAGCAGGTTGTTTTCGACAGGCCAATTTTTTGGCCTAAATTTCACTGTATGGAATTCTGGACATGAAAGTAAAATAGCGTCAATAGGCATCCTATACTGCACCATTTTTGTTATTTTTTCTATTGGTGGACTGCAGTTGGCCTCTTTACACTTCCAGCCAACAGGTCCAAGACTGTACAGCGCCTGAAGTGGAGTGCACATGGGGAAGCCAACGATTCGTCCATTAGGCCAAGTAAAAAAAAAAGCTAGATGATCGTCCCCGTCCGCCCCAGTTTTTGTCAGCGCCCCAAGAAATATTTTATTTTTTAAATCGTGAGTTTTTGCCGAAATCGTTGGTTTTTTACCGATCGCGGATGCAGGAAACATGTGCACGCTTTGTTTAATACTTTCTTTACTATATGGACCACATACTACTAGTATTATCACAACGTCAGTATCGATCTGCTGAAGAAAGAAAAAGAAAAAAAGAAAAAAAAAGAAAAAAAGAGAAAAAAAACCTTGATGTTGTTGTGTACACTGTGTGCATGAGAGGGTAAAAAGTAAAAAAATAAAAATAAAATCCTCCCGCCCTCCCCGATTTTTCCAAAAAAAAGGACGATCATCTAGTAATTTTTTTTACTCGGCCTTACTTCTTATTTTACTCAAAATTCAAAATTCTCATGCGACATAGTCTCACAAAACTCGTTGAAATGCCTCCCAAGAAAAGGCTATCAACAAGGCACCGACACAAGGAGAAACTACAACAGCTCAGCTGCCAACTACAACAAGAAAAAACTACATCAACCTGACTGACTTGACTCTGCACGCGACGAAAAATTATTTTACTCGAAATGTCCAGAAATGTACAATGTCCAGAATTAGCAATTCACCTCGTACATGTAGATCTACGACTTGTACGTCCGAAATGTCTTCAAAAAAAGCTTCGAAAAGTCGAGGCTACAGCCTTGAGTTAGGAGCGGTTCAGGGTGTACTTTCCAGAAATCGCAAAGAACCCAAATTTACCTCGGATGACAAGCTGCGCATGACGTAATGTAGGAATTTCGCCGAGCGCTGGGTCTATGCCCGTTGCACACTCTTGGGGGTTATGAACTCTTGGTTATACACAGGGAGCCCTACACAGGGAGCCCTACGTATGTGTAGGGCTCCCTGGTTATACATGCATGTACATGAGATATACTCATACCTAGCTCGGTTCACCCGACCCCGTAGTTCTTCGGTCTAGACGTCCACCGGGCCGGGCCCGGGCACCCTTTGGGCGAGTTTCAGTGGAAATGTCACTACTCTTTTGTCATTAAATTTTTGTGGAAATAGTGACGTCACTTGCCATATCTATGGCTCTTCCCCATCAAAATGTATGTGATTCGGAGTTACGGACATTTCAAAGTTACGGGCAGTGCCCGTTCACTGACCTCCCAGATAAACGAGGTATGAGTGTAGATGAGATTAAAGATATCCAGCACAATAAACAATTTCAAAATGCTTTAGGAGAAACAGATCTGAATCACCGAATGAAGAATTTTTTCACACCAAAAGTGCATTTTGATTTATGAGTCTGCATTTGGCCAAATTTTCAACTTAAAATCCCTGAGATCCAATGATATCACCTACTACAGGAATGACTCGATTGACTACACATACATGTACATGTATTGTGCAGAGGATGGCATACCCATTCATAGCAGTACCGATAAAGATCAGCTACTACACTGAACACCACAAACTCAGCCTGAGAGTAGCGGTCACAGCAGCTGTGGCTGGTTCGTCCTGGCAAAAGCCAGAACGTCCGTGATCAACAACTTGAACTCTAACGTTGGCTATCAAGTGAGAAGTAGCAGAAAGCGGAAAGTAGTTAGTACGCTAGAGAGAAGTGGTGTTAAAACGATATACTAACACGTTATGCACCTACAGATGTACTTCCAAAAAAAGTACATGATAAGATAGGTTTTAAAATATTGTAGTATTGGCTGATGAGCACACTCCAAGAAACGTGAGAACTGAGTCCCAAACAAGAATATTTACTACTGTCCTACTGTATAAACGTGTTCAGCTGCTAAGGTCATCAAGATGGTAGAACAGAGAAGTCACAGAATGCTTTGGTCAGCACAGCCACATGTACATGCGCTGAGATCATGGGAAAACACCCAATACCAGCTGGGGAGTGAGCCTACAGTGCATGCACTGCCTTGGTCAATTGCATGTTTGCATCATTACCATACTAATTGCTGTGCATGAATATAATCGTGGGACTGGTGACTGACAAGATCTGTGTCTGTATTTAGATGTACAGTGTAGTGGCCATTACAAAATGGAATCAAGCAATGGTAGACAGGAATGAGTAAGCTACGGCATGTTTCAGGCTAGAAATCGGTGCGCAGGGAAATGCAAACAAATAACAAAATATGCTGGCTGTGCATAGCAACAATATTGGGAATATCTTCATTACGATGCATCAAGACGTTCATTTGCGTGGAAACTAACGTTATGCCTGCGAGTTCCGTCGGCGGAACGATCGCCGCAGGAGGCCTAGCGCATTGTTCTTGCTTCCTGTGGTAGAGGTCGCAGCGGCGGCTGGTGATGCAAGCGACACACTACCACTGCTTGCTCTCCGCTGGCTAGAGCGCGGCTGCAGACAGAGACGCAGACACAAGCGATAGAGTCAATCAGTGAGTACAGTATTGTCGGTCGCCGAGCAAGTAGGGGACCAGCCCTCGTAGCCGAGACCGTTCTTTTTTTCCTTTTATTTTTAGGCCAGGTTTTCCGGTTTTACATGTAATTTCTGTTTTGAAGGGTTTGACCAGTTTGTTTTAAGGGTTTGACCAGTTTGTTTTAAGGGTTTGACCAGTTTGTTTCCGGGATTTTTGCTCCTGCTGAGACAGTGCTGCGCCCAGACTATCGCGGCGCGCGGGTGCATTTTTGTACGGGTCCTGGTAGCCTCGTGGTTTCGATCCGTGATTTCCAGTACAAGTGTGGGGCATTCGAATCCCATCACGCCTCCTGCCTTTTTTCTCTTCTTTTCTGCATATGTTTTGGATCTTGTTGGGTGAAATACAGTAGAGATGATAATTATATTTCCTCTTTTTGATTTGATTTGAGCCTCCCTGTTCCCTTCGCCTGACAAAACGAGTGACAGTGGTTTCACTCACGCCAGTTGCAAGGTGAGTTCGACGACGAGGATTTCGGATACTCAAGCGTCAATCAAAATCCAGCTCTTGTTCGAAGAAACAATGAACACGGCTAATCATATCTTTCTCGGCATCACTGAGATTCTTACGGGCCTTGGAAGCCATTACAGTCAGGCACTCAGAAAATGCAAGCAAGAAGAAGATTCATTTGAGACTTTCATTTCTTTTGAGACTTTCCTCACACCTTTTCATTTGCGACTTTGCGTGTTTTGCATCTTTTGTATTTCCTGCGGCGACGAAGAAAAACCTGAAAAACACATCTGAAAACCAGAAAACACTCATGCAAAACTCACGGCTGTCGTGCGTTACAGTACGTACGGCTCGTACGTATGAGTTCACGCGTCTATAGTTTTGAAATGGACTGTAGTATACTGTGCTTGGTGAAATTCTAGCCTGTCCGTTCTTCGGCACTCTGCTCTTCAGCGCCCGATAGTACTGTAAATATACAAAATTTCGGCACTTCACGATTTTTGACATTTCGGCGGCGATTTATTTTCGGCGTGGGGTAGAGGGCATGGTATAGTGCAACAGATGCTGTGAAAAATTTCATCGGCGTTTTAATTTAGGCGTTTTGGGTCGGTGCCGAATATAGCCGAAATTAAATAGCTGCCGAATTTTTTTATATTTACAGTACTGTATTGAACAGTACTTGATCCTGTCAAAAATCTGATGTACTTTTCGAAGCACGATTTTTAAAGAGAATGAAGAAGGTCTGCATGGTCAAAAGGCTACACATTCATAGGAGTTTTGCTTCTCAGATTAATAGCTAAAGTCGGACCAAGACAGGCACACACAGTACTAGTGCAGATAGCTAAAGACCAAGAGAGGCACACACAGTACTAGTACGCCTGCTTGAAAAAACCTACCGGCAATTTATAATATCGCTTTCGCCAATGCCCCCCCCACTCCCAACCCACCCCCAAACAAGATTGTTTGAAAAAGAGAATTTCTTCATCAGCTACATGTAACCCTACTAAACAACAGCATAGAGTGTGATCTTACCTGCCCTGAAAGCATACTGAAGTTGGCAGGCTGTGCGAGGTCACCATAGTAACTAGACCTGTCGTGGTAATCGTTGCCGCCACCGAACGGCGATGCTTGCAAGTAGGCCGGTGTGTAGCCGGTGAGGGCATCGCCCATGCTGCTACCACGGCTACGGCTAGACTGGCGACGACTGCTTGGTCGCCGTGGAGATGCCCCCATGCTGCCGTCCATACCCTGTGACTGGTAAGGGAAGCAAGCAACATACAAAACACGAAATTAAAGTGATGTCAGGCCAGAAAAGCACTGTGTGTGTAAAGACATTGTCGTCGTCATGAAAATAACGAGAAAACGAGGTGAATGAATGCTGGCCACAATATCTTTATTCAAGTTCAACAACAAGTGAGAACAAGAAGGAAACACAGAAACGCAGCACTGAAATTCAATGCTTCTTCTCGTACTGGACAGTTGTGGTAGCATTGAGTTGATGTCGGGTTTACCGAAAAGAAAAGGTAAAAGTAAAAAATGAGCGTGCTCCCAGCAGGGCTCGAACCTGCAACATTCGCGTTATTAGCACGACGCTCTAACCGACTGAGCTATGGGAGCTCATATCTCTCTGGGACGAATGAGTTGTGGTAGCATTGAGTTGATGTCGGGTTTACCAAAAAGAAAAGGTAAAAGTAAAAAAATGAGCGTGCTCCCAGCAGGGCTCGAACCTGCGACATTCGCGTTATTAGCACGACGCTCTAACCGACTGAGCTATGGGAGCTCATATCTCTCTGGGACGAATGAGAGAAATTCGACATCAACATGGCAAAGCCTGGGAAGCCTGGGTGTATTATTCATATGGAGAATACGTGATTACGTCATCTGTTTTGTATGCGGCTAGTGCTGATGGTGTTGTTTGGTAGTTGTACCACAGGTGCATCTAGCCAACAGCTGAGCACAGTCCTTGTGAGATTCAGTCACTGTCATTGCCCGTGCACACCATGCATTAGGTCCATTGACCACCGGCATTTTGATAACCACTGCTCACAGAGCATGTACTGTGATTCTCAAACATGTCACCAGCTTTTTGAACGAATAACAAGCGTGTGAAGATTTGGATCTTCCTTTGCAAATACTCCATGATCCAATGATGCCAAACGAACTCTATGACTGTGAGCTCCCATAGCTCAGTCGGTTAGAGCGTCGTGCTAATAACGCGAATGTCGCAGGTTCGAGCCCTGCTGGGAGCACGCTCTTTTTTTTTTGTTTCTTCATTTGAGAAGTTAGATTTCAGTGTACTCGTAGGACCGTATTTGGCAAGAGGGAAGGAAACCCAGTGTGCAGCTCCGGCGAATGGGTTGCTGGCAAGGCAAAATTCCCGCATTACCATTATCATTATCATTTTTAGTGACGTAGCACATACAAGCAGGATTCAAGCAAATCTCCTGCTGTACACCTGCAGCTCAGTTGTAAATTGTCATGCACTACCCCACTTCCCGTTGCTTATCTGCACCAACTATGATGTATTTCCCTCAGACTAATGAAAACTATGATGTAATCCAGGAATATCGCCGTGACAGACACCCATGCCGAAAAGTCACAAGATGGACGCTCCTTATGTACATGTACTCTTGGTATTGGAACTGCATAGAACTGCATAGAACTGCATAGACCCTCGGTGACTACTGCTTGGTACTTACAGCATAGCCGGGGAACACAGGTCCCATCCACGGCATGCTGAGTTCATACTGCGGCACGGCTTGTCCAAACCTCTCCGTGTAGTCGCTGCTGCTTCTTGGCTGCAGCGTGTGTGGACGATGCTGGGCAACCGGAGTGCCTGAGAGGGCAAACAACATGCATGACAACCAGTGGCAATGAGGAAAAGGGAGCGGGGAAGAACTCGGCTCGATGTACAGTCAACTTTGCTAATAACGACTGCGGATATAACGACAATTCGCGAATAACGACAGAATGTCCATGCCCAGAGCAAAGTCCCATCCAACTGTAATACATATAATGAGACTTCGGGTATAACGACACTTCGCGAATAAGGACACTTTTCTGATGCCCCGCAGAGTGTCGTTATAAGCGAAGTTGACTGTATGTATACAATGAGTAGTCTATAATGTTTTCTGGTGGGTCTTGCTCGTGTAGTGTGAAAACTCAATACATGTATGCCATATCCAGATAGAGTATGCAATATCCACATAGAAGTATGGCAGTGATCCATGATAGAATTCACACGTGTACGGATTATTGTGATTCGCGACATGGTAAAGAACAAGAGTAAGGCTGGCATAGCCTCTGGACACAATTGCCGACACAAACTGCCCATGAGTATCAACACTTCAACATGGTCCAGTTACAGATCTAATAACCATGTGGAAGAACTTACCCGCCCCGTCGGTTGACATAGCGTGCGGTTTGAGAGCAAATGATCGCGACAGAGATGACGTGTTGGCAGCCGGCAATTGTGTGGCAGCGGTAACCTTGGAACCCTGTAAGGCACGAGCAACACGGCCATTGCGATGCACATAATATTATACTAGTACCTTCGGCATGTGTGCCCAGTACGAATATCCCAGGAGCAAAGTCACAAATTTACCCCATTGACACTGCTGAAGCAGCACTTGCACCCTCTGGCACCTATGACTGTCACGGTACCGCCATCACTGCAATAGGTTTGGTTACCAAGCCCACCATCACTACCTGAATGTGTTTGTTCACCCAAGCCTACCATCCAATACTAGTACCGGCATCATGCCTCATACCGTAATGTCGCGTGCATTAGCCGGGGCTTATATGCCTATAAGCCGGTGATGGAGTCAGGCTTGTACACAAGACAGGCTTATACACGAGACAGGCTTATAATTATGACAAGCACCACTCAATGACCAGGCTTGTATGCGCAAACTGCTGACTTTTGGTGTTGATTTCCGCATCTTCCCACGTTTTCCGCGTGTGCAAGTGTACGGTACCATGCAAACATGAACATGTAAAAGGCGCGCTCACCAGTCTTGCGTAGTAGCCCGGCTTACGCACGCGACACGTGGCGCGTCTCGTGTACTGGCCCGGCTTATGCATGCGCCAGGCTTGTACGCGAAAAGCTGTTGCAGATTTCATGCTTCTACACGAGACAGGCTTATGCACAAATCCGGCTTATGCACGCGACATTACGGTAGTTTGTGAATTGGCAGCCCGGCAGCTAATGCACCCCATTATGCAAGTGCGCAAAAGGGACAGGAAATTAAAATCTAACATTTATGTCACGGCAACCATAGAAGCAAGAGATCATGTACGAAGCTGTGGGCCTGTGATGAATGCCCTGTGATCTGGGTTATCAGACTCGGATGGAGAGCCAATGATTAAAATAAAACTTGTATAAATACCTTTGGTCCTCTCTTTTTAAGTTTGATCTGGGTTATTCAATGGAATGTGTCCGGCTGGGAGTCGTGTAAACCATACAGGCAATGTCCTCTCACCTTCTTGCTCGTATCCGTGTCTTTCAAGTGAGGAATGTCATCGACCGATGCGCTCTTGGACAGCTTATCCTTGCCACGCAGTGAGCCAAACAGACTTCCTTTCCTCCGCTTCTTCAGCGTGTGCGAGTCTTGTGCTCCAGCCGCGTCGCCGCTGGCAGCACTGGCTGCTTTGGTTTCTGCAGATTGCTGAGCACGCTTAGCATCAGATAACCTTTGCAAACCTGCACTGGCCGGTCTAAAGATAAGACAAGGAGCATACAAAAAATAGAGACAATAAATCAGACAAAAACATTCCACAAGTGCCTCTTGCCATGGTGCACATAAAGCAGATATAAAATTTAATGCCGCAGTTCATCTACTTAGTGACTTAGTCTTGTACAGTACTACTTGCACCGCGGAGACCGCACCGTTGCTGCAGGACACTCCATTCTGTAGGAAGAACGCGTCCTCCAGTTGAGAAGATGGCTTGGATATGTCCCACGGGAGCATAGTTTATAATCAAGTTATAGGTCCAAACCTGGCTGTGTATTCACTATTCAGTATTTTTTAGATCTGCAAAACACCCGCAGTGGGTACAAGTTACAGCCGAATTTAATATTCAATCTATTATTTCCAGAAAGACTGGCATTTTGGACAAATTCCATCAAAATGGAGGCCCGAGGGAAACGGTCTGGTTGGTCAGGTCATCACCAGACCACCTTGTTGGCCAACAACTCATGTTTACTGCTGGGGAGGTCATGAGTACCTGCCGCCATATCATACACAAACTGTATGAAAGGTTATGGTATGGCCGGACCAATCAAAACTGCTTCCGGCGGCCCTGAAATGTAAAAACACTCGCACGCTTACTTACACGTGCACACACACACGTGCGCGCACACACACACACACACACTTAAATCCACTGCACCCACCGCTTCCTGAGGAAGGTGCCACCATTCTGGGAAGTCTCCTGCTCGCCAGCATCCTGCTGCGTTGCCTCTTGATGTGCACGAACAGGACTCATGGATGATGAATGACGACGCTGGTCACCTCCGGCGACACTTGAGTCAGTAAAGGCTTGCTGTTGCAGGTGACGGGAGGTCAATGGCACAGCACCTGATGACAGGCTTCTTGAATTCTGCGACTACAGAGGGCACAACAAGACACAGCCGGTAAGTGCAAACTTCAGCCGAAGCCATTTTGCCACACTATGCCATTTCCACATTTAGCTTGAACGTGCACTGCCTCCGATGCTTTCACAGCCTTCCACATAGGTTGACTGCTTGACAAGGATTCCTGAAAGAGGATTAAAACGTGTTGACTTATGTACAAGTGCATCTACCCATTGGGTATTACTATAGCAGAGTGATGTCAATTTATTCTGTGAGCATTTTGCTGTTTCCAATTCGGACTGAAGTTTCTTTCAATCAGATATAATTTGAATCGTATGTTCATCCATATAAGCTACTCTCTCACCATTGACCTATTGTTCAGAGCAGAGCGGATGGGAGAGCCGACAAGGCCAGAATCGTTCCTATCGGCAAACCTGTCATCAGCGTACGCTGCGGCGACCGTGGGTGTGGTGGGCACAGAGCTGGACTTCTGGTTTGTCGGTACACTCGTCTTTTGCCGATTGCTACGGCGAGCGAGCGAGAAGCGATTGCGGAATCCAGAGCGAGGCGGTGCCTGGGTCGGCATCTTTCAGGTAGAAGATAGAATATAGAAGAACAACGCAGAATCAAGCATGTCAGTATTGATGCCTTTAAGCCGAGCATGGCAACAAACAATACCAACATAGCAAGGTGCTGACCCAGGGCAAGACGCCCAGCTTGGTACAGGGACGTCGGAATGTATTTTAGTTTGGTACGGTCAGCCATCTGAAGTAAAATTTACTCGTGGGCTGAGCCGAAAAATTTGGAAATTTAGAGCCCAAATCAGTGCATTTTATTGATTCACGGGGTACTTGGGGCAAATAGTGGTACGGTCAATACCGTGGTGACCGTACCGTGTGCGACGCCCCTGTTGGTATTAGCGGGGCTTGGCCTTTACCTACGCCTGCCCTGGATACAGTAGGTATTTGACAGCAATCGGAATGCAATATTGGCTGATCGTCGCCTCATCGGGGACTTCTCCTGGCCACTGTAGGCTGAACTCACCTTTTCATTCACGGAGTCGTCGACTGGCTTCTTCTTCTGTAACTCTCTATCCCTGTACAGTCAGCAAGGGCGCAACACAGAATATTAAAGATCGAAGCGATAACGGACAGGCAAACGGTGGCAACAAGCAGCGGCTTGGCAGCAACATACTCATCGGTCTTAGAAGGTGCGACTTTGGCGGCATTAGTGATGAAGTTGCTTGCTCCAACGAGGAACGCACGCCTAAACTCGTCGGTTTCAAGGCACTTACAACTACAGTCAGAGCAAAGTACTGAATGGGAAAGGAACTACCAGTGTTCTGACTTCTGAGTGTGCCAGTCAAACTTGAGTGGCAGATTACAAACAATGTGTAGATCGCTTACGCTGTTCCTAGTGACTGGTGACGTTGCACGCCTTTCGTCTGCGTCAGAGGCTTTCCAGCAGCCACCTCCACTGCAACCAAAAGAAGAATATGCAAAATCTTACGTAAGATACCTGTACATATGCGTTGAAGGAACACAATCAAATGTGCGTACGTGGTGGCGGTGGTGGTGTTTGGGGGGGGGGGGGAGGGGGATTGCTCGCCACGGTTTACCACTTACACTGTCTCATGACGGCCGTAATGGAGGTCTGCGGCGTGGCTTGACTCTCAGTGGACGGTGGTGAGGTGGGCGGGGCACGTCGACGGTGTGGTGAAGAGGTGACGTCGGTGCGATTCATATCTCTTAGCACTGTCTGCGTCTCCGGCTGATCATTGAGCAAATGAAAGATGGCCGCCATCCAGTCGCATTTGTTTTCCTTGATGCTTCGGACAACATTGGTGCGTTGGACGTCCAGGCGTGCACACATCAGATCGACAATCTGGACGCAAAGGCAATAATTTAATTAGAATTAGAAATACATCTGTTGCCAGTAATAACCTAGTCCGGCTAAGGTGGCCACCCAACCTAACCAATGCACTGGCACTGATATCTGTACACCGGACTGTTTCTTGCTCGGGGACATGTAATGTTACATCATGGGAAACTTCACTGCACTAAATAAGTCAGTACTAAATCATACTTTCCCACTTGTCATGTTTGACTGAAATGTGTCTGGATTGAAAGGCAGTAGCAGAAAGGGAGCAGTTTCGACAGAGCTATCAATTTCAACACTTGTGGAAAAGTTTCATCTCATCCCACCTTACCCTGTCCCTTGATGCTGCATTCTCTACCGGCGCTTGGTATGGCAGGAGAGGCTGCGAAGCATCTGACGTTATCCACGGGTGCAACATAGCCTGTCGCAGATTGCACCGTTGACTGGGATCCGGTTGCAGAAGACACCGCACCAGATCCATCGCACCTGCGTGACAGCATCACAGGGCAATAACAAACGCAAATGCACCAAGGTGTGTCTGTCTTGTTTGGAGAATTGAAGAGCAGCTGCCTACTGTCATCATCATATACATGTGCACATAGTACCCAATACTACCCATGCTTTATCTCAACATAAAGTGCCTCATATACAGGGCATGTACCTGCTGGGCTAATCTGTTCTTCATGCTTCTTTAACTCGTAGAAGAAGGCGGCTTCTTCTACAATTACTGCTGAAGTCGCAACAGCTCAGTTTTTTTTTTAACTTAAAAGCAAATTACGGAAGGCAAGAGCGACTTTAAACATGGGAGCAAGTGCATATTCCTGCCAGCTTGACTTGATCAAAACTTGACAAACCATATTTGATATGAAGCATTCTGTAGTGTATAGTCACCGACGGAGGTGTTTGGCCGGTTGTCCGAATACAGCAGCTATGTGTATTCACAGAACTACTTATTTCTCAAATCCCAAGTAGAACTCCAGCACATCATGCACATCATCAACAGAGTACAGAGTATAGAGTAGCGAGTAGAGAGTAGAGAGTGCAGTGGCAAGACCTACTGGCTGAGAAGTGTGCCGATTCTTCCTCCTGTTGCTGCCCAATGCCAGCGGTGATCTGATCCAGGAGACGCTTGCGCCGGTTTGCGCCTTGCTTGGGCACACTGAACAATACATGCCGGCAGAGAAAAGTGGTAAGCATTCATTGCCCATACAAACACAGAAAAAATGTTGCACTATTCATTACGTTGAGGGAAAGTGGCGAACGGGAAAAGTCTGAAGAAAAAATTGACTGTTACCACCAGGACTGGAACCATGGACCCTCGCTTGTAGCTAGCGATGCTCTACCACTATGGTGTGGTTGTCACCCCAGTAGCGACCGTTCAACATTTTCCTTGGCACTACTTCAAAATGTCCAGCAACTTTCCCAATACCCACATGACTGGTATTTAGAGTATGCTAGGCAGAGACTCCACGTGCAGCTCTGTATAGAGCATAGAGCAAGCGAGGCGCAACCTGATGGTCATGGTGAGAGAAGATGGACTTGCAAGATGTAACACAAGTATTTGCAGCAAGATAGAGCCTGTGGATGTTCAGTATGCCTTTATCACTATGTGACAGACTGTATTTCAGCCCTAGCCAGGGTACCATGACTGACCGTACATCATAACATGAACTAGTGATGGAAACAGCACACCAATGTGCTCGATTGCAGTTCTACTTTGCACTCACCGGAATGGCAGCTTGCCTGCTAACATGGCAAACATGTTGACACCCCTGCCAGCAGAATAGCAAACACAAACATGCACGCACACGTGCACACACACACACACACACACACATTAGCGCCACAATCCAATTGAACCATGCCTGAACCATGCATTGCTTGACACACAGCCCGAAGTCGCGATTGGCATGAGCAATCTCCTTCAAAGCGGCTTGCAGGTCCTACAACACCAAGAGCCTTTCATGCACACTGTTTTGATTAGGAATGTGTGCAACACCACTGCCTGACAAAGACGTGCACATGTTAAATCGAAGGCCAGCCTTAGCAATTATGTAGCCATGCACAGCCATCCCTGCTTATAATACAGACAGCAGCCAGTTACCCTAGCTGGTATAGCGTTTCTCTGACTGAACTTACAAACTCCAAACATCCACCTCTTGTCCGTACACCTGTCCTGGGACGAACAGCTCTGGGGCAGCATACTCTGGTGATCCGCAGTGCGTGGCTAAGAACTCTCCCGGCTCATGGCAATTGCTGAGACCAAAGTCTACAGATCAGGAGAAGAGCATCCATTGTGATGTGTTACCGGTAGTTAAAAATACCAAGAACTACGTTAGGAGGAAACAGCAAAGTGTTGCAAGTACATGTACATGTAGTTGGAAAATGAAGTTGAAGACTCCTCTATAGCTGCACTATGTTTGATGCAAGTGGTGGTAAAGACATACCCGGCTGATGAAATGGCGCTAAAAGAGTGCGTGTGTGTGTGGGTGGGGGGAGGGAGGCGTGCATTTACCACCATTTTGTCAGGTGTATCTTTACCGCCATATGCGTCACCTACAGTGCATTTCAAAACAATAGACGCGTAGGGTTTTTGAAATATTTCAAATTTGGCTGAACCTTTTTGAGAATAGTTTTCGGAATATTGCTCAGGATCGCTCCACAATTACTCTCATATAGTTTCTAAAGGATTGGATAACAGACGCCCAATTTGGAAAAATTTATGCACAAAGTGATCACAGATTTTATGTGGTATAGATGCTGGCATAACGGTTTTTGCCTAGGTACGCGTCTATAGTTTTGAAATGGACTGTACTTTTAATAGGTGAAGAAAATCTGTATTTTCTGCTTGCTCACTCGCCATCACCCTTACCAATGATTTTGATATTGTGCTTTTCCTTGTCCAGCAAAATGTTCTCCATTTTCAAGTCCCTGCATATCAGCAACACAAACAAGAAAAAGCATTCACATGCCAATTTCACTGAGTTAGCCAAGTACAGCTATACAACAATGCCTTGCATGGAATAGGGGGTCGTGATGTCATGTGGTGACTATGATGACATGGAAAACAATGTTCAGCTGCCACACGCCGCGCTGACGGCGTCAGAGAACACAGATGAACAGTCCGATAACATTGAACGCAGAAGCAGCAGAGGTTCAGAGAAGCAGTTTTCAAGGACATACCCCTGTACAGTGCCCCCCCCCCCCCCCCCCTCCCCACATTCAACTAACTTACCTATGAACAATTCCATGCTCGTGCATGTAGAAAAGCGCTGAGATGAGCTGGCGGATGAAATGCCTTGCCAGTGGCTCGGCCATGCACCGGTTGGGACACTCGTTCTTGACGAACTGCAGCAGCTCCCCGCCCTCGGCACATTCCGTGACAATACAGTAGAGCGTGCTTGTCTTCATGGTCTCGTAGAGACGGATGATGTTGGGATGGTTCAACTGGCGCATGATGGCAGACTCGCGCAGTAAGTTACGCTTGACATAGTCTTCCTTGATTCGGTCGGTTTGGATGATCTTAATGGCAACCTGCAGCAGAGAAACATGACATGGTGGGATCAGTTATAACAGGGATTTAACTCTGGAACTCCAGGATATGTAGGATTTTAGTAATGTGCTGACAAGCAATTTTTAAGTACATCCATGCTACACCTGCAGCAAATGGAAGGTTCATCTGCCCCCCCCCCCCCCCCCCACACACACACACAAGGAATCAAGGAATCAATACGCAGAGCAGACGTGTTCCGTGTACTATTCGCTTCATGTTCCTTTCAACTCTAGCCAACTCTACTTTCTACACTGTATTTCAGGGATGCTCACCTTGGCTTGGATGTGCGCGTGCTTTGCCACCTCGACACGAGCAAAGTTCCCCTTGCCAAGTGTTTTACCCGGCAGTAGGTAACGGCCAATTCTCTTCACTCGGTGTTCGCTCTGTGTTGGTGGCGTTGCCGGCGGAGTAGAGCTGCGCGCAGTGGACTGCGTTGCTGCTGCCTTCTCAAGAACTGGTGTTGCGGCTGAATCCAACACGTTGTTGCTTTTCTCCGGCTGTGAGCGCCGCTTATCCAGAGCATCGTCAGTGCCCATACTCTTAGCTTCGCTGGATTCGTCCGATGTGCTCCGTGTCTTGCTGTTGCCCATGCTACCGCTATCCAGCAGTTTTGAATCGCGTACACTATGCTCGCTTGTGTGTCTGCCGCTAGTGGGAATGTCAGCCAAGCCCACATCATCATGTATTGCGGCGTGGGTTGTCTCGGGTACGTGTGTCGATGCTGCAGGCTGGAAAATAAGTAGTGCATGCAGTACATACACACACACACACACACACACACACATTAAAATACATTGACCAACCTTCACGAGGCCCGCACATTCAATTCTGGTTTAGGACAATCTCTATATCTGTGCCTATAGTACTGCGAGCAGTAGCAATATAATATGGCGTGCGGTCAATGTGTTTCATCATCATTACAGTATTTTTAAAATATGCAGATCTGTTGCATCCTCTTGCAGCATATAGCATAGCCCACACACACACATGTATAGCATTAAAAAAACCTATATATGACCATGTGTTGGGTGATGCTCTATGCTGCAAGAGGATACAGCAGATCTGCGTGTACTTCTATCTAAAGTTGAAGTAAAGATGGCATGTTCCGTACACGGCTCTACCCCAGTAGATGCCTACGGAATTCTCGCTGGCGAAATTGCACGTGCTTTAAACAGCGAAACTACTGTATTATCCGGAGCGTAAGCCGCATTTTGAACCCTCAAAATTCACCCCAAAAAAGGGAGTGCGGCTTATGATCAAATTAATGGTGATAAACAGGGTAGATGTCTGTGTTTCGTGGCAAGAAAATGGGGGTGTGGCTTATACTCCAGTACGGCTTATACTCCGGAAAACACGGTGCATTTCTTAGCATGCTAGAGCAATCGTAAAGACATCAGTCATTTCTCATTAGTTGGTATGCGATGTTGTGTTGATGAGGAAAGTCTCGACGGGTATAATGGCCGGTACAGGCGATATTGCCACATTTGTGTTATGTATGCTTCCTTGTATGGACTGGCTCTATGCCAGCACTGCAAAGCAACAAGATCTGGAATATAAAATGTACAGCCCCAGGTCATGAACTACTGGCCAGCAATTTGATTGGAAGGACTTGGGTCTTCGGGTCATACTGCTTCAATGAGAAAGCGGGGTGGGGGTGGGGTTGTTCTTGCAAGAGAGGAGGGTATGTTTCTGCCCATGCGAGGGGATGGCAATCCTGTTGTGAAAACACCCATCACCTATAAAGCTGATGTCTTCACTTTTGGTGTGTGACTCGAAGTTATCTTCAGTAAAATAACCGGGTACACGGGCATCAATCCAGTCATTGTGGAACCCAGCCACTCATACATTCAGACAGCAAACAGATGCATTGAAACAAGGGCGTTCATGTACCTCTTCTGACACTGGTTCAAATCCATCCACATCCCCAGCTCCGATGGTCGTAGCAGCACCCGACATTACTGCGGCTATGTGATGCTGGTTGTACGGTCCAGCGCTGCCTCCGCAACTGCCGCTGCTGTAGCCACTGCTGTAGAGCGAAGACGAATAGCCGGAGCGTGCAGTTTCCGACGCTGTGGATCCGTGCCGCTGGAGGTGCGTAAGAGTCGGACCGGCTACACTGGACGAGCGGGACTGATCTCCGCTATCCACCGTCATCATCCTCGTTTATCTTGGAGAGCGCTTCGTCCCAAACAGCCTGCGCCTATCCAAACGAAAGACTTCCAAAGCTAAAACCACCGAACAAGGACGCCGAAGACGTTCCTCGAATCCTGATGGCGATTCTCTGTTTACCTTGGCCCTGGGAAACGCTCCTTTCAAAGATACAAAATCCCTCACCGATTCTATGCATAGACTCATGCATAAGTTGGCGGTGCTAAATGATAAATGACCTTGGCGTCGACGTCCGTGATATCAGAAGCAGTAGCCGCAAAGCAGAGATCGAGGACGGTGATCTGGTGATGAGTGATGATGATCAACAAGTCACAGGCATTTTCATTATGACTCAAACCAGAGTCTGACTGAAAACCAGTGGCTGGTATGTGAGAAAAGTGAGACATTTTTTGGAATGGAATAGGCTTGGTGAGATCGTGCGGGTGGTCTCAGGAAAGTGCCAGCCCTAGGCCCTGTGGCCTTCATGCTGACTTGTAATACTAAAACGCAAGTAGATGCAGCCGGGCAGAAGCAGAAAGGTCTTGCGCTGCGAGGAAATCACCGTTGGCATTCCAGTGGCGTAACTTCAAAGCAGCGGACCACCCCGACGTCTGACATGCAGTGCCAGAGGGTAGCAGGTTGGCTAGGCACGCTGGCAGGTAATGCTTGGTCTGCGGTTGGCCGGTGGCCGCTGACGCGAAGCTGTTGATCCCTTCAAACACGTGAGAATCTTACCCTCTGAGCTTATACGGACTTGGCTGTGCAGATACCATCATGAGCCGTTCAAAATAATCACATTTACAAAATACGTGTCCGGACAGTACAGGTACTCAGGTAGGGATCAAGTCCAGACTAGACCTGGACAGATGACACGAATCTAGCGTTGGATCTCCCTGTCCATGCAGTGATCGTGATGGCTTTGCTGAGTGGATGCCACTGATGCAACTGATGCTATGAACACACTCATTGTCATGTACTGACTCTGTTCAGTGGCTAGCTGCACTGGGGGTGTAGCCTTCAGGTGCTGAGGGTGGGTGCAGCCCTCATGGTCCTAGCTCACGGCTAAGTGCGACATCGGATCCTAATCCCAGGCCGCTGGAAGCCGTAGACATGGTAGATCTATGCCTGTTGTGCACCCTGGACTTGACAGTGAGCATTGACGACTGCTACGTGAACTATCCATTGTAGCATGGCTGCGCATTACGATGATGACTACGGAGAGAGAATTCTGATGCCTATACACGGCGAACCATGGAGAACACTCCAGAGACTGAAGTGTGGAATTCCTGGGTATGAATCGCCATCCATCGTCATTCGCTGTCATCGAACAATGTAAGTAACCTATGCATGACTGCATTGCGAGGACTGCATTGCGAGGAGTGCATTGCGAGGACTGCATTGCGAGGTTACCTCCAGCATGTCAGTCACATGCACATCCATGCACTGGGAATAGGCGCATGCATAATTATACTGGACATACAATCAGATCTGAGGTGGAATTGCTGTACCTGAACTGACAGCTTGCATTTGGCGAGGTGATGTGTCTCGTATTACACGACCAGTTACAATATCGTGTTGTTGCCCATACTGAATAAAACAGCACATGTTACAACAGCAAGTTCTTCTTTACGTTTGTGATACATCAGTGATGGCATTGTAAGGGTAGTGTGAGTATAATAATGTGAGCATACTACATGGCACCATTGAGTATTGGGACATCGGTATGCCAAAATGGCCGCTGGAATAGCAGGTGATGGGCGAATGGTAGACCAGTTTGTACGAGTAAGTTAGTGCAGGCATGTAGGCCTACCTCTGTAGGTACAGTACGTGTGTGTCGGGTAGTCAGTGTGAATTTGGGTTTGAAGTTTGCTACTCACTCGCATGTAGGCTAGCTGCATTGCTGTTTACTAGCGTTCTGGTACATGCAGCTGCATAATAATCAATATGTCAGAGGCAAAGAGACCGTGTTGAATCATGATACACCTTCGCATGTACGGTGCCATACATGCATGTCTGCTTCAACTCAAGTCCAGCTGTGTGACTAACTGAGTGTAACAGTTCCCTTGTATTTGCACGTAATGTTATTATAATAATCCTAAATTTACCGCGATGTCACGAACCAGGCTTCTTCCTGTAGAAACCGATGTAACTGCTAGGTATCTAGCCGGTCAAGAGAGGCTTCTATTCCAACTAGGTAGTCACATGTATGTCAGCACTGAACCCAGGCTTATGTGCCGCCAGTGCATCTTGCCAATCAGGCTTGTACTCAAATCAGGCTTTTAAACCCGCGTAAGGAGATGGAGACGTGTCACATTGTCACCTATACAATCATACCGGGGCATAGTACAGTACAAATGTATTTGCAAATGGTTGTCTACAACAGCTAGTATCAGAACGCTGGAACTTACAAAAACGTACGCTGTACGGAGGCGTCGGTAGAAGAGATGAACTTCCAGGACAATGGGACAGACTCTGCGATCAGCCGGATGTGTATGGTCGAACAAGTTCTTTGGAAGCGGACTGGATTGTTCCAGCCTTAGAATTATGTTGCGTGTTAGTAATGCATATGGTGCATTGGCCTCGGAGTCCACAGCCTAGCTCAGTGTTCTACAATGTAGTGATGCTGAGACTCTCTGTGTTTATTCATAGGCCGGATCTTGTTCTGCTTGGCCCCGGGGGGACATTGCGATTCCAGAAATACGATGTTTAGTAGTCAATGTGCAAATCATGCACCAAACTTGACCAGTCCTTTTGGCTGTCAAAGAGCATAATACCCTGAAGATACTGGGCTTTTGTTTCCATTTCTACTCCCTGTTCTTTTGTCGAGAAAGAAGGACCGTCGGATTATCTGGCACACGACCCAGTAGATTGTTACTCTACTTGCCAAATAACTTCAATCATTCCCAGCAGCTTGGCCCCAAATTCAATGCAAATCATGCCAAATTGCACAAATTTGAGATTTTCCACCCGTGGACGCTTTTTTCTCGGAGTGTTGTTGTGAGCTGCATGTAGCATGTAGCATAACATGTTGAACGGGCAAGGCCGGTCACCCTGCATGGTTTTAGAGACCTCGGTCAATCAAAACTGGCAAAATAACTATTAGATTAGCCCCATGGTGTGGATTCTACTTTCCTTTACCGGCTTTATCAGGTTAGAGGGGCCGGTCACACTGAGGGAAAATTTGAAAAAAAATCCGTGGTTACCTTGGACATTTGCCGCTGTGCGGGAGATTTGAAAGATTTAATCCACTCGATGAAAATCAGCTCGAGGCCTCGCTTTTCCGCCGAAGATTATAATCATCCGCGGCTTCCACAGGATTTCTTTGAGTTTCCTTGGGTTTTTTTATTGCGTTATGAGGAGCGATACTATAGAGGCTGTGCTGATGCAGCTCTGGCCCAGGAGTGGGGCTGACAGACTGCCAGGAGGGAATGGTGACAACAAAATTGCTCGCGTGAGTGAGATTTTTTCATTGTGCGTATGCAGTGCGGCCGTGATTAGTATAGGGGCCGGTCACATTGAGGGAACAATCCTCAGATTATAAACCGGGAATACTTTTTTTCTGCTTTTCATCACGGCCACACTGCATAATGAAAAAAATCCCACTCACGCGAGCAATTTTTTTCACCATTCGCTTCTGGCAGTCTGTCAGCCCCGCTCCTGGGCCAGAGCTGCATCAGCACAGCCTCTATAGTATCGCTCCACTTCATAACGCAATCAAAAACAAGGAAACTCAAAGAAATCCAGTGGAAGCCGCAGATGATTATAAAATTTATAATCTTCGGCGGAAAAGCAAGGCCTCGAGTGGATTAAATCTCTCAAATCTCCTGCACAGCGGCAAATGTCCATGGTAACCACGGATTTTTTTCAAATTTTCCCTCAGTGTGACCGGCCCCTTAGGGGCCGTCCGGGGTTACCGATTGTTTTTACTAAACGAAAAGTTTTAGTATTTTTCAGCCCCCACCCACCGACCCACCTTTTCTGCAGGTAAAACGAATTCCAATAAAATATTGATGTCAATTTTCGACATCCAGAAGTAACTGGGCATTCTCCATCAGCATTCAATAATTATTTTCAAAACGAAACTCCATCAAACCCACCCACCCACAAACGAAAACATTTCGTTTTGAAAATATTATTGGTAACCTTGGACGGCCCCTTAGTGATTGGTAAAGGTTAGCACAGTAGTTGCGTGTCAAAGATTATGGAGCCCAAGACCATCCAGTCTGAACTACAGTACTAAGAACATCACAGCCTAAAGTTAAGAATGTTGGCATTGGTTTTCTGGCAGCTTTTGTGATACATACATGTAAAGTAAAGTTCGCACATCCGCGTTACAACCAGCTATACAATTGGGTTCAGAAACACACCAGCCAGTCCAGCCTACATTTTTAGGAAGTGTTTTAGGATTCCCGGGCTTGAAGTAACACACTTGCCTAAACACCAGCGGCATTGAACCCACACCAATGTAAAGAAATGGGACGGATTGAAAAGACCACCCACCACCCGTCATTGCACTCAGGACATGGACGAACATTGTTGAAGCTTAGCGATATCATCTGGAACCCAAGGAAGCAAGCGCACATGCTGATTATGAAGGGTTTTTAACTTTTAAATATGCACGCTGTTGACATTGAAGGAGGAGCGGGAACACTTTCTAGCTACAAAACCAAAAAAAATCAGCTACCATATTGATACCATGAGAAACTTTGAAGCGCAGCACACAATGCCATCTTGCCACTATGTGTATACACACGACAGCACATAGTGGCATAGTCATGGAGAGCTGAATCATAAAATTAATGACAACAGGTACTGTATTCTGAAGAAGCATCTGCATTGAGTTAGCTTTAGTTCAGCGAAGAGTGGAGGGAAATCAGCCCAATAGATAAAAGATTAGGGAAACTTAGTAAGGCTGTGTGGGGGACAGACACCAGAAAACAGAAGCAAAAAAAGAAAGGAAAAAAAAAACAGTGCATATTATGTAGCACACGCACACTGATCCCAGTTAATGATATGTTTAGTGACACCCCGCTGATGCAAAGCGGGAGTAGGAGAAAAAAGTATAGGAGGAAGAATGAGGAAGAAAGTGGACCGAACGAGACCCCACTATTACAACTCCCGCTGGGAAACTATGGAATGGGAATGGAACAGTATGCGTCTCAAAATAAAAGCACTGTAATAAATGAGCTATATGATTTTATTGATATGTCGTTGTATTGACTGTAGCTGGTATGCAACATCAAGCACCGCATAAGGGCCGCATGATGCATTGTGTGGTCGTCAAAAGTTATGTTGGTGTGTTACTCAGCACATCTCCTTGTAAGCAGCCTCAGAAGCAACGAAGTAATCCTCCAAGCGATATTTGAGGTATTCGAATGTAGGTCTTTCCTGCTCGTCCTTCTTCCAGCAGTCGAGCATGATCTGGTAGAGGGGATCTGGGCAGCCTGGCGGCGTTGGCATGCGATAGCCTCGGTCAACCTAAAGAAAACAGAAAACAAATTCGGTTCAACAGTGTGCTCACTAATACACATCAATGAAGAGAAAGAGAGAGAGAGAGAATGTGTATGTGTGTGAGCCACTTCTATAGCTGTGTGGTGTAGACCAGGCTCAATAGTGGCGGTCAATTCTTCAGCCTTGCAAGCTGTTGAATGGTGCCATCCCAGCACAAGTTGTTATGGCTTCTGCTGTAGTCAAAACGTCAAAACTTCTCTCTCTCTCTTACTCAAAAGGCCAAAGGTCAAAAGGTGTGTGCCAAGAAACGCAATTCACATCTGATTGACTATAGAACCCAGTGTGGGTGTAAACTTTCAAACCAGGTACAAATACGAGTAATAGCCTCACAGGTGTTCTCAGGCTGATCGCAAGTGAGATTATTTCGTACTGACATTGTTCAACATTATGCAGTTCAGCGGAAAACCGTGAGGAGCATACACGGCATACAACAAAGATTGGCCACGGCAGAGATAAGAGCAATTCCTACCTGTCTGAGAACCTCAGCATTGGTCATTCCGGGGTATGGCACACGACCATGCGTTACTAACTCCGTCAGGAAGATTCCGAATGACCAAACATCAGACTTGATGGAGAATCTGTTGTAAAGAGCAGCTTCAGGCGCTGTCCACTTGATGGGGAACTTAGTACCTGGATGGCATGCAAAACAAAAGCAATGTAACAATTTTAATAAGCCATATTTATTATAAAATTTCCAACGAAGCAAAGCAGACAGTAAGGCACAAGAGTGACGTCACAAACATGCATTTCTGTGCATAGCACAATACATGTATTAGCTCTACGCAATTACGTACTTGTATGAAAATAACATAGGAACTGCACGTAATTTTCATAAGTAAAAGGTAGTTGCGGTGGGAATGTGAACTACAGTGAGTGTACAAAAGTAGCAGTAAGGGCGCTGGCCCCAGTCATTCCACCGGATTTCAATGTCCACAGCACGAGTGCACATACACGTGGATAAGCGTTGCACCATGCAGGTGAGTACGACTAGTAGGAACCCTGGAGGGACATTTAGATTGTTATTTTTCTACGTCAACACAATCACAGTAGCGATTGCAAACAAAACATGACCAATTGATTCTGATTTCCGAGGGATCCAATGGATCTGGGATCTCTAAGCCTAAGTCTCCAAGAGCATCAAAATAGCTGTATACGCACCCAGATTCCAAAAGCCAGTCGTTCTTACAAGGAAATGAGGAGCAGGCGGCATGAATGTGTTACAAAGAATGGCAGTAGGTCTCTGCAGGGCCCATTGCAAGATATGACTTACCTTCTCTTGCACAATATTCATCATCCTGGATCACACGTGCTAAACCAAAGTCAGCAACCTTGCAAAGGTTTTGATGTCCGACTAGAATGTTTCTTGCAGCCAAATCACGATGGATATAGTTTTGTGTCTCCAGGTAAGCCATGCCGCATGCAACCTGGAAATAGGAGGCAAAGACACACAAACACATCACACGAGGGAAAAGAAAAGTGACGGGGCATGTTGACACAGAGATAGATAGATAGAGATAGATAGCGAGATAGCGAGATAGCGAGAGAGAGAGAGAGAGAGAGAGAGAGAGAGAGAGAGAGAGAGAGAGAGAGAGAGAGAGAGAGAGAGAGAGGAGAGAGAGAGAGAGAGAGAGAGAGAGGTATGTATGTACATGTACTAGTAGATGCTGGAGTGAAGGCGTAGCTGTACTTGTGCTGTACTTGCTACTAAGATCAAAACGAAAGAATACAACAGATATCAATGGAAGAATTCTCCCATCATAACTTTCGTCAAACTGTAACAAACGAGCGAACAGCTCCACTAACGAGCGAGTTGACGAGTTTCACTGATGCGACAAAGATGATTTTTTGATTTTTCAAATTGGCAAATGCCTCGGTTTTTCATTGCTCGCGCTGGGGTTGCTGCTGCTTTCGACTGGCTTCACTTCAGATGGGTATTCATTTGTCGAGATGTCTTTCCTGCGCCTTCGTTGAGCAGCCATGGTAAAATAGACCGTTTTGCAAAGATTGCAAGTAGCCTTGTTCTTTGTTACGTTGCGGGAACAAACTTCCACACGACTAAGCGTGGATATCGGTCAAACGGAGAGTTCACTAGATACACTGACTGTATACAGTGCATGCTGTACTGTATACAGTGCTCGTTGGTGCAAACAAGCTCTCCGCGCAAATGAGCCGAGTTTCTGGCGAGCGAGCTAACAAGTACCTGGTGAGATCCTTTCAACACTAAGTTTTACGTATGAAAGTTATGTGCAGTTCTTACGTTATTTTCATACTAATTACGTAGAGCGAAACCTCCCTATTACAGGAATCCGTGGATTCGTACTAATTGTACTAAGAGTAAACAAGCCCCCAAAAGTATGCAACTCTGAGTATAGCTAGGGTCTCCGACGGCGAAAATTCACATCACGTGTTTCAGGTACGATTTGTACCCTGTACAATGAAGGCTAGTGTGTGCGCAGTCCGAATATCTGCTGATGACTCGCAAAACCTGAGTGGATTTCTGTCAGGAGAGCGTTTCAACTCCACTGCTCGCTAAAAACCGGGCTGGGAACGTACGACGGGAACACTACATACGTGATGTGAGTGTTGCCGTCGGAGTCCACTCTAGAAAGGGTATGCAATGTTGCACACTGCTGGGAGCTTAGGTACTACATGTACTCTTGATTGTACCCAGCTTTGTGAATGTCAGGGAGGTAAACACCGCTGCATTGCACTTTGACACAAATCAGCAAGGTGATAATTATCGTTTCTTTGACTTCTTCTGTGAATGGTATTTCAGGCGTTTGCATCACACTCTGACTTCGCATCGCGTACAACCATACACACTGTGAAAGTAACCTGGCCCCCTAGGCCCTGCACCAAGGGTCACGATATGTGTACAGCCATACTCTAAATTGTAGAGCTGGCTGTACCTGCCAGCTATGGAACATGTTACCCACCCACAAGAAGACGGTGGCCATCTTGGATGCATACCTCCCACATGAACTTTTCACGGTCCTCAACTGTACATGTGAAGGTACTATGGAGAAAGCTGCAGAAAAGCTGTGGAGTGATCGATTTGAGTACATTGCTGTGGCCAATGTAGGTAGTGTGCGCAGTCTCTCGAAGGCTGCTCAGTTTGTGAAATGAAGAATAGTGTGAAAACTGAAAAAAATCATCCTACATGTACGTAGGCTGTCTCGCCCTCTATGATGACGAATGTGTAATCGTCCATTATCGTGTCCAACGTACATAGACGTTTCCTGCAGTCCTCATCTGCATTCTTCATGCTCTGTGTGAGTCTGGCAAGTTGACTTTGCTGTTTTGAGCCACTATAAAATGCTTTGCAGTTCACTAGACTCTATTGTGACTCCATGTTATGCGTATGTAGAGCAGAACTTCACGCCTAACAGATCTTTGCTGAATATCATCGGATTCGCCCGGTCTTTCAACTATCCAAATGCAAGGTTGTCAAGTGAAAGGTGGCTAAAAACAGGTGCCACCATACCCACAGTTTACAATGTACAGAACCCGGACACAAATGTGCCCTTACCTGTGCGGCCATATCGATGAGAATGGGAAGCTTCAAGAATCGGCCCTCGCCCTTCTGCAAGTAGTCCAAGAGTGATCCATTTGGCATCAACTCAGTTACGATGTACAGGGGCTCTTCCTGTGAACAGACGGCAAAAAGCTGTACAAGCTTTTCATGCCGCAGCTTTTTCATGATCTGAGCTTCTTCGAGGAAAGCCTCCGGTGTCATGCTGCCCGGTTTGAGCGTCTTGACAGCCACGGCTGTCGTGCCATTCCAAATACCAGCCCATACTTCTCCAAACTGACCCGCACCAAGACGCTGCCGCAGCTGCAGTGAAGACCGTGAAATTTCCCACTGATCCTTTGTGTTATGTGACAGACTATGCATAGTGGGCTGGTCATTCTTAGGACAGATCTTAGTGAGCGTCGAGCACAGGCCATCAGCAGTATTGCTGTAATGCTGGACAAGATCCTTAAGGTTACGGAACACGGCACGGCTGGCAATGTAGAACTCTCCAGAGTCCATACTTCTGATGCGGTAGTGCTTCACTGAATCTGCTTCTCTGATAGAGAGGGAATAGTTTCCGGGCTGGCTTTCTGACTCACGGACGAGGAAAGTACCGTGGGGATTTCCAGGTGCCAGCAGCTTCTTTTCAGCATCAGCACGCTTGATTCTGCCAAAGAACCACCTAAAGGGAGAATAAGAGGTGGAGGAGGGAAGCAGAGAAGAAAAGGAACATCAAACAACGGACGTACATTCTTCTTCAGCATCAATAAAGCTGCTGTAATCGACTATATCAGCCTCAAAGGAACTGAACACTCGTCAATTCTCCGCCTCAGAGCCTGGTACGGGCAGCCTGCATCAGATTCTGCTCAACATCAGCACGTAGGACTGAGCGCTGATTTTTTATCCACCTCTCTGGCTTTTGTACTCTTGTGATGCTGCAGGGACGTCGGAACCTTTGGCCGTACCATCATTTTAATTCTTGTGATTTTTGAAGCAATAAAATATGGGCCTTTTGTGCCCAGTTTTCTAAACATTTTCCCTGGTGGGGGGGGGGGGGGGGGGGGGTGCTCCCACATCTTCATGGTCCCACCAATGTTGAATACCTTCCGACGCCCCTGTCCTATAGTCCAATTTTCATCTTTTTGCACTGCCTGCATCAAGCAGTCATGGCAACCTCATCACCTGTGTGCCCAATCCTACATGTGGAATGAATTATCACAATATGGAATCAAACCAAGCTGGGTGCTGATTACTATTGCAAGTCTGTTGTTCGGGAGACATGAAATTCTACATCAAGAGCAAGCAACTCTACGCTTTTGTAGTACACCAAAGCATGTCATAACGCGTGCATGTACATGTATCTTCGAAATATGGCTCAATCTGCCAAAATTGGTGGGGCCAAAAGGAAGAATTCTGGAAACTGCACCAGACATCGGCAGTCGAGCAGACAATTGGAGGGCTTTGCGTGTTGTGTGGATTGATATTGTGACCTAATTGCCATGAGCAATGGCTTGTGAGCACGACGTAGCACAGATGTTCGGAGAATATCTTTACAGTATGCACTGAAATCAACCAGGAGGTGATGCCGAAGTCCCGCAGACCAACGACACACGAAGAATGCCGCCTGCGAATGTACGTGCAGACCAGCATTACAAAGTCATAGAGCGAGCAGACACAGGAAACACGACATGAAACACTCGCATATCCATGCATGGTGTATGGTGGCGTGTCTCGAGCGGGAAGCCTACCAATGCATACTAAATCAACCGTCGAGACAACGGGGCGCGGGTAAACTATGGCATGAAGAAGGACTTCATTGGATTATGCCGAACGTGTAGACAAGCAAAAGAGGAACATGACCAAACATACTAAAGACACTCACTCTTCAGCTTCCATGCTTTCTTGTGGAGCGACATAATTGCTGGGAATGTAACCAGTAGTTCCTGTGACCAACGATCTTGCTTGCCACCAATCTCCATCCTGGTTATTCAAGACTTGAAGGGAGTCACCCTTCTTGAAAGTCAGATCCTCTGTTGTTCTTGCATCGTAATCATACAGGGCAATAAAAATGTCCTGCTGTCGTGGTGTGGGAGTAGCTGCAGCTGCTCGAGGGGCAGGGGGTAAAGCTCCTTGGCCACCAGGTCCGCCCGGCTTGCCGAAAGACTGTTGCTGATTGACTGGCTCGGCAGGACGAGACTCTTCTTTTTTCTTGGCCTCATTCGGGGCGCTACAGCAGCAACCCATCACTGCGGGCAGAACTTATCTCGCCAAACCCCAATACACCATGATATGACACTGCAGCAGTGGAAAGTGGCTGCTGTATCTCTTTCCTCCAGAACAAACGAAAAAACTAAACCGAAACCTTTGCGGCGGCTGTCGAATGGTCTTGCTTGTAGACTCTCTAGGCATATCATGATCCCGTTGGATCCGCGGAATGGCCAAAGACCTGAGCACAGTGTACTGTACTAGTGTGGTCAACCCATCCCGTATCCCGTACCAGTTTATCCCGATCACATGCTTGTGAGATGATGTCACGCCGTATCTACCACTAGGCACTAGCACTAGTGCACTCCGCATCACGTGCTATTCTAACTGATTTCTAATTCTGAGTGATAAAAGGATAGGACTTCAGGCCACTCGAGGGCGCATTGGGGAATTTGAGGTCGACCGGTACGCGGTCGTACATGCATGGCAGCAAGAGTCCATAACCCCAACTAATACTTGGCCCAAGGGCAAGGGCCTAGGCTAGGGCCAATAGTGGTTTGTTGTTGTTGTTTTCTTTATTTGAATTCGCTAAAACCAAACGGACAGAACTGTCCAGTGACAAGGGAGCGAATGATGAGCGTCATAAAAGACTCATAATCAGTGACTCTATGCATCAAAACATCTCAGGGCAAAATGAGACAGACTACGAGCAAGGAGGGTTTGGTTGGTTATGGACTCTTGATGGCAGGGGTATGCCCCCTTGGCCCGCACAGTCCATGTCGATTCCGAGACCGAAATGGTCGGAGGAGTGCACTGCGCCTGACCAGCACAGCTCTTGTAGCACCTCCTACTCCTTTGTTGTCTTTGTCTCTTTTAAATTATTACCCCTATTACTTTGTAGGGATGTGCACATAGTAAATAAAAAAAAGGATTATTTTGTACATGCACACACGCACATAATGCGGCACAACGTAGATATCTACAACCAGGGAGTAGTACAATACCGTGTACTAACGTTATTCCCTGTCTACAACAAGCCCGTCGACTCTCGCATGAACCACACTGAACCAGGTGAACCTCCAGTGCAAGTGATTTCTTGTAACGACGTTGTTTATACCGGCCGCCGCGGAAACTGTCCAACCGAAAAGTGCGCTCTTCGTCATGTCGTTGTTGTTTTGCTTTTTTGTTTTTTGTATTGACTGAAGAGTGAAGACACAACCTACTATACTGGTAAGAAGAGAGGAGAGAAGTAGCACTGCTGCAGGACAACACAACAATGGGAAACGTAGGGCTCCAAGAAGGAACCTGTGCTGGTGAGGCAAGTAGGCATGGGCGGGTAATTATTATTATTATAGACAACACATGTCATTCGGATCTTCCCAAGTTGTACAATGTACTGTTGAGATACCGAATTCAAATAAATCAATACCAATACCAATACAACACCTCATGGCATGAAAAGAAAATCAGCCAGTACGGGAGATGTGGGTGTTAACCAACCATGGTGAATAAAAGAAGAAAAGTAATGGTAATGCTAGCTAGCATTATGGCTGGCATTATAGTCCCTTTTTTCCAGGTGGCATAATGCTGGCATTATAACACCATTTCGCATGCAAAATTGGCATTACAAGCATAATTGCTGGTCAACAACGATGTCATGCATGAAGCTGGCTAGGTTCAGTTCCGAAAATCGTGCATCTGAACCCGTCCGGCTTCGTCCGGAGACTTGGCGGGGCAAATCAACTCGATGGTGCTGGTAAACGAACCATCTACAGAGGTTTTGTGAGGCCAGTCCTAGAGTATGCGCCATTGGTATTGATGGGAGCAGCTTCAAGCCATCTGCGCCTTCTCGATCGAGTGCAGAGACGAGCCCTCCACATTCTTGGCCCTGATGTCCTCCTCCAGAGTTTGGCAGCAAGGAGATTGGTCGCCGCCCTCAGCTATATGTATAAACTGATGTGTCTGGCAGGGCCACCGCAACTAACGTCGCTGGTCCCCCCACAGCTTCCTCCACGAACATGACCTCGAACTCGGTCCGGCCACGAGTCTCAGCTACAGAACGTCCTCCCGGCTTCCTCTCCTGATTACATGCGACGCTGCTTCCCCTACAGCATCAATGATGAGCGGAACAACTTGCCCCCAACTGTGCTGCAGTCTCTGCCACGCCTGACGTCCCTCCAGTCGTTCGAGGGCAAGGTGCATCAGCACCTACGACAAAGCCGCTGGTATTGGGCTACAGACTCGCTGTAACACCCCATATATCCACAATCAACTCCCTCCCCCTCACTTATCTATTTACATGTGTTTCGTAATCCCGTCCATGGTGCGCTGGATAGCGCTAACGCCGAGACCCTAGGTCGGCGTTGCTAGTCCCGCCTCACCGGCACAGGCTCCTTGAGAGCCCCTACTAGTACATTGTCTGTCTTTCTCCTTTGTTGTCTCGATCATTATTTTCTTTTGTCTTCTTCTTCTCCTCTCTTTGTTATGGTCTATCAGTAGGAGGTGCATTCTGTAAAAAAAACCTTCTCATTCTGATAATATTAATTTTAGTGAAGGATTCTCCACAAGTACAATCATGTACAGTAAAACCTGTCAAGGCGACCACTCGGATAAGGTGGTCACCTGTCCTAGAAGACCACTGAAACCAGGAGATCATGGGATGCTATGTCCAGTCAAATGAGCCTGGATAAGGAGACCACCTGGTAACAGGGACCACGTTTTGAAGGTCCTTTGAGCGGTCGTCTTAGACAGTTTTCACTGTACGTGTGTGGGTCCTTATCATCAGGGAACCGTATTTCACAACTTCCTCAGTGCTTATCATTACCACAATCGTATCACTGTAATCCAGATTATCCAAGTCAGTCGAACTCCCTGGTGTTTCCTCTCTTGGAATGCACAAGTACATGTATATCCGGACGCCAGGGACGGGAAAAGAGATCGAGGGTGCACTAGTACTATGTGTTCATGAAACAATGCATTAATTTTTTATTCGTCCAATCTCAGCCCGCCCCCACCATAATGTGTACTGCATAGTCGCACACCGTTAGCCGGGTTTCATCTCGGTGTTGCCAAGCGCTTACCCGTCCTCTCCCCCCACTGACCAGAGCCATTATTCGTGGGTCTCTGGGACTGGTTTTGCCCCCTAGGCCCTATAGCACATAATTTTTTGACGAAATCCCAAGATTATGCCAAATATTATGCCGGCATAATCCGCCAAGGGCTACCAGGGTGGCAGGGAGCCCTACACATACTTTTTGAAGTACATGTACATGTACGTAGTTATATACAGAAGCCTTGCTTGGTAGTTTAACATGTTTTTCGACCGGGACTCTGCCAACCGGGTTATGGTTGTAGTCAGGAGCACTACGCGTCCTCGCCCTAACATGCTGTCAAAATCGAAAAACATACGTAGTTGTAGGGCTCCCCGGCCGGCACATACATTCAGGCTTGACTGTACTACGTAGACGCCTCTAGTCACAGCTATCCGGACGGTCCGGATCATCTGCAGAGTACACACACTGGGGGTAGAAACAAGAGCCAGTAGTCGTGTGGAACATCTACCACTAGCTCTAGTGGTCTGAAGCGTCTATCATTTTCATCTGCAGATTCATGGAACAAGCTGCCATCCTCTGCCCGCTTGTGTTACATCTATGTATGAGTTTTACTTCGAAATAATTTTATCACCTGTGTCCTGTGAACATGTAGGTAGGTGCATTTTTATTTGAATTCGCAGAACCAAACGGGCGGTGTCGCCCAATTACAAGGAAGCGAATGGAAACAGTAAAATATTGTAGGAAATAGCCTAACATGATAGCAGGGTGTAGTACAAAGCAAAGAACGCTCAGTCAATGAATAACGTTAACGTTAGAATACAACACCGGGAGGCGGTAAATGCACTGAATTCCTGGAGCAGCCTGTAAGACTGCTATTTAGGTCCCCAAGTAAAATAAACATATCAACAAAAACAAAAACAACAACAGCAGCAGTATGATAGCACCTCTTCTCTATCCACATGCACGTATCAAACACGCATGGAATATACATGTACCAGAAAAGTGCAAAATTCTGCCCGTTTTCTGCTGCCATTATCCGCCAAAGGCTAGCTAAGCCTGCATAAGGGGAGTTCCACTGCAGTGCCTTCCGGTACAATCCCAAAGGACATGCTAGCCTTCGTTTGCATCAATTCATTTTCAGCAAACGGTTACCTGGCTGGAGGAAAATCCCATGTAAGGAAGACAACAGCTGAAAAGTGAAAGACAGCTGATGACTAGTCGACTGGCGAAGTCGATAACGAGAGAGCTTGGAAGCTCAGGGCCCTACGCTATGCTTTTTTTGCCTTGATGACCTAGACAAAATAAAGCATAGGGATGTTATAAATTTTTCAATTCTCCTATTTTTTTCAAGGCATAACCTGGGATTCGAACCCGCGGCCCGCACAAGCGCCCTACATTCATTCCCCGATATATCGATACCATAATAATACACTTCGGCCATTGGCACCGAGTGCCCTCAGATGCAAACGACTCAGCCCGATTTGCGGTTGCCATGAGCAGCATCGGTTAAAGCTCCCTCCCGAGGCTCCATACTAGACTATTTTCACAGCCACTTTGCTCTATCGACTGTTTGACAGCCATTTTTGCTCTCTCGACTGTTTTCACAGCCATTTTTGCTCTCTCGACTGTTTTCACAGCCATTTTTGCTCGTTTTTCTTCCGGTGCTGTTGAGGTTGCACTCGTAATTGTGTTTATTTTGCCCGTACAAGAGGAGTTTTTGGGGTTCTATATAATACACTTCACATTCATACTCATTCTTCCAAGTTGCTTCACGTTATGATCTTGCGTTTGAAAGCCCTATTTGAATTTTGTGGCCAGCTGTGTTTGATAGGGGATAGCGCCAGGCGTGACACAAACAAATACCAAATTAAGGCTGCGTTTACACGGAGACGAAATGAAACGAAACGAAACGGAACGAAAACAGGCTGGCCTCGAATCGTTTTCAAACCTTTTACACGAGAACGGCAAATCGTTGTGAACCGTTTACACGAAAACGGAAAACGGGCGATCAGGCTGGAGTTAGCACGTGCTGGCTTGGCGCAAGGGCGGAAAGTAACACGTTAGTTGGAGTTGGTACGTGCTGGTGGTCGCAAGGATTGGGTATTTCCCGCGAAATATACTCCAGTACGGAATGGTTTCCATGACCGCGCTCCGTTTCCAATCGTTTTCACTGTTTTCACCGTTTACACGAGAACGGAAACGTTTTGAAAACGTTTCAAAACACTTTGAAGTGCGTTTCCATTTCGTTCCGTTTAGGTATCGTTTTTGGGCGTTGTCGTGTAGACGATAGTAGTAAACGCAACGATTTCGTTCCGTTTAGGTCGTATTTCGTTGTCGTGTAAACGCAAATCGTTTTCAATCGTTGTCGTGTAAACACAGCCTAAAGCTGTGTGGACTCTGGCTAGCGCCAGACGTTACTGAAGTAACGTCTTCTGCATAGCTACGGGAACAATAATTATAATAATAAATAAATAGGCGTCGAGGCGACAATAGTTTTAGAATTGCGATCAACAGAACGAGCTGAACCGACATTTCACAAAGGCTTTTATTGTATTCAAAAAACGAGTGGATACGAAGGCAGTGAAAAACATGGAAGAAAGAAAAAATGTGATATGGAGAAAATGATGAACAAAAAATCGTACTTCGAACTAGTTTTCGCACAACACTCTGGTTGGCCATGGTGTCATATCTTGTGTCACAGTATACTAGTAGTCTTTACAAGTTCGTTAAGTGCTTTCGCAGTTTTTCCTGTTAAGTGTTATTACCTTAGTGCTAGGATTATCATTTTCATAGGTGTTGTTTCTTCTCACTCCATTTCTCTTTATTAGTATCTTTCTGGATTGTTTTTTATTAGTACAACGTAGCTTCCTGAGGAGTGTTGTGCGAAAACTAGTTCGAAGTACGATTTTTTGTTCATCATTTTCTCCATATCACATTTTTTCTTTCTTCCATGTTTTTCACTGCCTTCGTATCCATTCGTTTTTTGAATACAATAAAAGCCTTTGTGAAATGTCGGTTCAGCTCGTTCTGTTGATCGCAATTCTAAAATAATAATAATAATAATATCTTTATTAGGATGACCCAGAGGCTTGTCGCCTATCAAGGGGTTCACCGCTTTGAAGGATGTACATGTACATGTACATGTCATGTATGAGCTAAAGTGAAAGTAGTGTTATTACCGTAAAAGCCTCTGTATACGCCCACTCGAAATTACGCCCACCCTCCATGTACACGCCCAGTCAGGGGAAGTCAACACTTTTGTTTCAAAATAGCGCCCATGCCCATGCCCAGGCATGCCGCCAACACCAGCCCATGTACAGGAGTTGATACCCAAAACCTACTGCTATCCCTATTCCAAGTATACGCCCGGGTCCAAAATAACGCCCATGCCCTTGCCCAGGAAATCGAGGCTGCTATTCTATACGCCCAGGGCCTATACACAGGCTTTTACGTATCTAATATTGACTGAGTACGAGGTCAACATAGGAAATAAAAGCCGAGGTCTTTTACGAGGTCTTTTATTTCCTATACTGACCAAGTACGAAGTCAATATTAGATTTATCACGACTAGCCAAAGCCTGTGTTCAATCGCTAAAAAGGAGTCAAATATAAGCGGTCAATATAGCCCTAAGGAGTGAAATATGCAGGAATATTTGACTGCTTAGGTATGGCAAAAATCTATGGCAGTCAATACTAAGGGAGTGATAAGGTACTATTTTGGGAGGCTATTTTATATAGGGGCAATCACCCTTATATGGGCAGATGTGTACTCATGATCTTTATACGGAAATAGGGCCAGGAACTAGCTTCGTCGAATCGATGTATGATAGTGATACAGTAACATTACTCATTACATGTACAGTCGTCCCTCTCTAATCCGGCACTTGTTTATCCGGAACCCTTGCCAACCGGCGCACTTTCTGACGAAAACGATTTTTTTCGTTCGATTCCTACATCTTAATCCGGCACTTGAATTCCGCCTCCAAGAGTGACTTTTTGAAACGAATTTCTCAAACTGCACGTAGTTTAATTTCATAATCCGGCGGTCGTAAATCGCGTACCGTACAGGTGCACTCCTTGCCAGGCCAGGCTAGGCCAGTCTGGTCAGTGCCGCGCGCGCGGGGCCACTTCAGAGTTCAGTTCAGTTGACTGGAGTTGCGGTGCCACAATCACTGCAGACCTGACTGCTATATTTTCACAATTTGCTGACAGCAAGGGGTAGGTGTGTGTGTGTGCGTGTGTGTGCAAGAGTACATGTGAACATGTTCTCTGTTTTACTTTATCACTTTATCACTGTGTATATTCCTGGAGAACAGTTGAGAACATAAAGCCGTGCACCAAATACTTGGGTTGAAACGGAAAAACCCTGCGTTTTGACGTATGATACATGCATGCAATTGGGTAGGGCCGGGTCAGAGGGCAGGATTTCTTAATCCAGCAGAAAACGCCGTAGCAAAAGGTGCCGGATTAGAGAGGGACGACTGTACCGAAAAACATCCAGCCAAAAAGACATTGAAATTTTCAAAAGACTGTGCCAGGCTGGAAGCAAGATTGAGGAACACCAGTGCGTTTTCCATGTTTCCATGTTTCCATGTGTTCCATGTAGCACTGCATGCACAGTGTACCTGTACCATCAAGAGTTTATAAGCTCCTATCTTCTAGGAGCTTAAGTTATAACTCCTCTCCCCCACCCAGTGATACTGTAATGTGCAAGTGGTGAGGAACAAGGAAAATATTGCAGTAGTGGTCAACCAGGATTAGCATTCCAGTCTGGGTTGTGCTTTCTTCTTCTTCTTCTTTTTCACCGTTCGCATGAGACTCGGCTAGAGTAGAGGCCGAGTTTTCCGCATCCGTAGGACGTACTAGGAACGCCACCACCCTTCAAGGATCAAGGCGCTATATACATGTACAATCATGTACAACTACTCTTCAGTTCATAACAGGGAGTAGTACAATACTCCCTGGTTCATAACATGCCGATGGTGAACATTCAACAAGTACCGTATAAGCCCATGCCCGCGCATAAGCACAGGAAAAGTTCGAACATCACAAGGCTTCGTCGTACAAGCCCATGGGCCTAAGTCGTACCAAGAGTCCATAAATTATGGACTCTTGGTCGTACCATGTACATGTACAGGTAGTACATGTAGGGTTTTTTTGACATTTCAACACAATCATCGGTTGTTTTTTGTTTGCACAGTGGCTTTCAGCAATGCACTTCTCACTTCCTTGGTACTTTCAATAGCACGATGTTGGTGTCAGCGTATAAGCCCATGCCCGCGTATAAGCCCATGTTCTTGTATAAGCCCACCGAAATGTCCTTGTGAAACAGATAAGCCCATGGGCTTATTATACGTGGGATTCTACGGTAGTGCAGTGCTCTCGTTGTGCGCAAGCATCCAAGATATGCCCTTACTTTATAGCAGGCGGCAAGAGACTACGTGTACAACATGGAACATCACCCAAACTTACAGCCCCCTGATATACATGTACATGTGGTAGATTACCGTAGCTCCCAGCGATGGTAAGAGGATAACATCGGTGGCAGTTCCGGATTATCGACTGGCCGCAGTGGTATGTAGCAACGCTAGCTGTAGCTCGCGTAATGTGACTTTTGAAAGCTGCACACTCCTAGGACCCTACCTCAGTTTTGGTGCACAGAAGAGTACACTGTCCTGTTCCACATGTGTACACAGCCGTGTATAAATGACAGGAATACTCTCGTCTGAGCCAGCGTGAGGGCTGGAGTGCATTTGATTGGTACAATCTATAACAGGATCGAACAGCTGGAGCACAGGGCGCAGCCTTACATTTGTCCAGAAGCGCAACAAATTTGCATTCGTCAACAAGTGTGTGCGAGCCACTTCGTATGAAGCGATGCAAAGAGTGCAAGTTCCTGCCAGGTTTCACTGTGAAACAGTGAAACTGCTCTGGCCTTGAGGCCGGAGCAAGCAGAACATGTTCTGGACGCTCCAGTACAGGCGTAGTCCCGCACCTGGTCTGAATGAGATCAGTAACACACACTCTGTTCAAGTGGATCCTGTTCATGGTTGTACCAACCAAACACATCCCTAGGCATCTGTCAGTAGCATGGCTGTAAACATACAGGCCACATGTATGTCTCGATGGTCCATCCCGTAAAACCAGGCTTCAGTAGGAGACATACTAGTAACCTAGTCCAGACATACCCAGACATACCCAGACATACCCAGGCATACCCAGACCTACCCAGGCATACCCAGGCATACCCAGGCATACCCAGGCATACCCAGGCATGTGCTCTCCTCTCCGATCACACTCTTTTGCACAACCAACAACACACTGAATACAGTACATGTAGTGAACTCAATACAGGTTGAGAACACTACCATACCCATCACATGCACAGTCGCATGGGATGCTTCCAGGCAGACAGACAGACACACACACACATGCAAAGACAAACAAACAGACAGACACACATGTACACTTACTCACAGCCAGACCAGAGCTAGTGAATGCGGTTCATGAAGTTCTCTTCTCAACGACCCATATTAAATCTTGATATGGATGCTTGACAGCACTAACTTGCATGGCAAAGAAGATTAAAACCGTAGGCCGACGGTATTGCACTGGTTGGAGCAACACAGATGTGTGCTCCTGCGTATTGTTGATGTTCTCTTCCACTCTCCCCCATTCCTCCTGGCTGCTCACTGAGCGACTTCTGCCTTGGGTAGGAGAAGTGACTCCAGGAATGTTGTACACAGTGACGACATGGTGGGCAGAGTGTGGGCAGGAGCAGATAGAACCTGTACATACAACCACAGGGTTCGTAGTAGAGTGTTATACGTGAAGTCAGTAATGGGGTATTCACACGACAGACAAATCCACGTGCACGGGAAAGTTGAAGGGAGTGACATACGAGAAAAGTGACTTTGTGGATTCACACAGCTGCACTTGACGACAGGCACGTTTGCATTTTTGAATGCTTCACCGACCAGTAGCCATGGGTATTTCAAATTTTCAAAACACACATACGATAATTATCATGCTCTAAAGAGCCGCGTAAAAAATCAAGTCTTGCTTCGCGCTTTTTGGTGTAAATGTACTCGTGCACGCCACGATTATCGTGAAAGTGGGCCCCCAGCTCGCTTTGACGTTTCAGCCACTTTCAGGCACTTTTCTCGTTCACAGGTAAAATACCATAGCAACTTTCCGGTGCACATGGATTTGCCTGCCGTGTGAATACCCCATAAGGGCCTATTCACATGAGGTACCACATTCGCTGCAGTACAACGCTCACATAAAGGAAGACATACCCCCCCCCCCACACACACACACAGACAGACCCCCAACACATACCCACATACACACATACACAGAAACAATGCACCTGAACGACACCAGATTTAAAAGCAGCATGACACGGGAGCTAAATAGCACACACATTAAACCCCGTCCCCTGTCACGCTTGTTTTAAAAGTTTACACTTACCAAATGTGCTGTGTGCTGTCGCTGACCACTCTCCAGTGATGGTAGTGCTTCTACACGACAGAAGGGAAGCATATAAAGCAGCCAAATCTCCTTTGAACGCCACAGTGAGCATACTTGTGTCATGTTGACTTGTCGTGAAAACGACAATGTACTGAGCTACCAGCAAGTCGGAAGCTGAACTCCCCGATATCCTCGAGTTTTATAGCAACCAATGCCGCCACACGTGTGGTTGTACGACTAGTACATCGAGACCAGCAGTAGCAAGTAGAGATACACTACTGGCCCAAGGGAAGCTAGGTACTAACTAGTAGTACAGTCAAAGCTATTATAGACAGACCGGCAGTAGATGTCGCACAGGCAGGAAACAGCTGTGCAACGGCAATAGCATTCTTATCCGACCGATTACCCTGGATGATCAAAGTTAATAATCATGAGCAGCATTGGTTGACGATAGCTTACGTTTCACGTCAACAGACTTCTCCTCAATGAACTTGGCGAGCGCCGTTGGTTGATTCTGCTCTTCCTCCTGTTGCCATTGCAAGGAGATACAGAAGAAGGATAGGAATCAACAGTGGCATAATGTCACACCAGGTACTCAAGTAAAACACAGTTTGGAGACAAGCCTGCAGTCGGACATCGGAGGTAGCCACGTGCCTCATAATCCAGGCTGACCTGAAGGTGCAGTGCAATGTGCCTCTTTTCTAACCGAGAACACATTTTTAGAATGCAGACACGGAGCAGGAACAGCAGCTCAATAACGAGAGAGCTTGGAAGCTCAGGGCCCTACGCTATGCTTTTATGCTTTTTTGCCTAGCTCATCGTACATGTTATAAGAACTGATGGAATTGTCTTTTTCCGTTCATTGGCCACATCACTGTATTGCAAAAACGTTTCAATCGGTTTGAATATTATGAGTTAGGCAAAAGTATTTGCAGAATTTATTGCGGATTGTTGTTTCTCTAATAATCATCTACTTTTGTTTTGCTCCTTCTTTAATTTTTATCTCCTTATATTGTAAATCAACAAATTTTGGCCGATGAGAAATAGAAACCTCTCGATTAGAGAGGTTAAGATGCACGTTATTTCCGACGTGACGCGCAGTTTCACGTCAAATTTGAAATCGATCGGTATTTTTGCTCTCACATGCATCCATTGCTCAATCATGCATCATTTGCCTATATGACAAACGTTGGCCTGCGATTTACTTTGTCCGGTTGGTACCAAGCGGCGAAATCAGCGAAATTAAATCGCCAGCGAACATAAGTTGATTTTAATACAGGAATCGGATTTTCTGGCCTTTTTGTAGTAATACATCTACATTTACCTGTTGAGCCAATGACGACGCCGAATGCATGGTTGCCTGTGGAGCACATTACATAACTTTACAGTCTCCTAAAATACGTATCCTGTCCGACGGCAAAAGAGGCTGCAGATTTAGTTTTTCTGCGCGTCGACGGGATGTCTGCGAAGTGAAAGTTCAGCTCGCGTTATTTGGCTCGCACGTCGAAAAAATCAACGCGAGTGACCTGCTGCTCACGTCGAAATTTGGACATTACATAACTTTACAGTCTCCTATATAAATACGTATCCTGTTCGACGGCAAAAGAGGCTGCAGATTTTGTTTTTCTGCGCGTCGACGGGATGTCTGTCCTGACGTTTACTGGGACCGGCGCTGACTCTGCCGATCACGGCGTTCTGGACTCGACGGGATGTCTGTCCTGACGTTTCCTGGGACCGGCTTAGACTCTGCCGATCACGGGCGTTCTGGACTCAACGGGATGTCTGTCCTGACGTTGCCTGGTACCGCCGGACTCTACCGACCACGGGCGTTCTGGAGTCGACGGGATCTCTCTTCCGACGTTTCCTGTGACCGGCACTGAATCGCTCGTTCACGCTTATTTTGGAGACGACGGGATCTCTCTTCCAAAGTATGTTTATGCTGACGCATCCTATCACCTTATCGGCGTCTATTCTAATTTAATTTCCTCCTCGTCTCCCTATTTCTTTCCAAATCCCACTCTACATCAGGGAGTCGTATGCATAATACGACGAATATTGGTACGGTACGGGACAGATACAGGAGCCCGCAAATATTGTGGACAGCTGTTATGTACAATCCTGTAGAGCCTTTGTAGTCACAGATACGGGACAGATACGGGATAGCGCCAGGCGTGACACAAACAAACAAACAAACACACAAACAAACAAATACCAAATTAAAGCTGTGTGGACCCTGGCTAGCGCCAGACGTTACTGAAGTAACGTCTTCTGCATAGCTACGGGAATAAAAACAATTACAGCGGTGCATATCCCGCACAAGCAAGGATCAAGTGAAATCTGAAGTCGAAAAGATGTGTATCACATACCCCTTCCTCCAGTGACACTTCTGCTTCATCTGAGCGGCGCAAATACAGAAGTTTCTGGAGCAAGAACAGCACAGAGTACAGCACAAAGAATGAACGGAATGACGAACAGGGCACAGCAGTATGCCACAACACGCTCACCAACCAAATGTAACAATGAAATCGCACCTAGACAGAGAGACAGACAGACCGAGCAACCGACACAATGGACGGGTGGGTAGACATACACACAACGCCATACCTGGTCCTGGTTGATCACGAAGAGCTCGCTTTTCCGTCGCCATGGCTCGAGCGTACGTCCGGTCTGCTCTTCCTCGGCATTCTTGTCAGTGGCGCTGGGGCGCGGTACAAACGCAGCACCGACCACGGGCTGTGAGCTGAACGAACTGACATTGCACACGGTGCGCGTATCTCCAGGCTTGAAGATAAACGCTGTATAACAAGGAGAAAGACTCAAAGTTAGTTGCTGGACGAACAACTCGCTGGTGCCGGAAAAGCAGCAATGAACAAGGATCATTACACGAGATAGAGATGATCACAGTTGTAAGGCCCGACTAACACCGTGCACGAGATACACCATACTTCCTTTCCTGGTACAGGCTGGGAAGGCAACGGGGACCTCTCTACCTCAGTAGAAATCAGCACTATGGCTAGAAGACGGAAGTGCACGCATACTGATTGCCTGGAGACTAACCTGACACATGCGGGTATGCTGGTGTGGACTTGGTGATGGCCGCTACGTACGGACTATGCCTGTCAGCGGTCAGTACAGCCAACGATACTTGAACGGTCGAGACAACTGTCCAGAACCAACCAGGAGACACAACGCGAGAACAATAACATACTGAGCACATCAATTTATACGACATAACACGCACAGACTTGGGCTCAGCTGCCGTTTCAAAACCTCAAAGTTGAAGGTCACGATTGTAGCAATATTGCACAAGCTATGCTGAGACAATACATTTGTTTACAACGAAACCTTGTAGCAACGGAGCTCTCTTATCTCATACATAGGGGTTACTAGTCACATTCAAGAGATCAGTGTGAACTAGGAGCAGCACTGACTTTTTACTAGCTACCAATACACTAGCGCTACAACACACACACACACACACACACACACACACACACACACACACACACACACACACACACACACACCGTTGTTATGCTGTTCCACTACTACCGTAAACGTGCGCAAATCAGCACGTACTTTACTTTCAAATTTAGTGCTCACACCCGTACTAACTTTCGGACACAAACTAACTTTTGGACCTGATTTGTGTGTAGTGGAGAAGTCATATTTTTGTGTCGACGTACATGCTACGCGCTGCATGAGCAAACCATACCGGTACTTATTTCGGGCAGTACGTTTATCGAGTTAAACTTGACTTCAACAGACAGAGTCAAAAGGACAAGGGGGTATTTATTGAGGGCAGGTACTTATTTACGGACTTTTACGGTCATGGAAGACACCGGACAGCACTGGGCACTGCTGACGAGTAAGCATGGTAAATTATCACACAGTACAATAATGGGCACTGCTGAAGGCCAAGCATGGTAAGTTATCGACGTACTGGATCCTGTGACAACATCCCAGCAGATCAGATAGCGAGATGTGGCAGCCAACAGATAGCGTGTTGAAGACAAGCTGCCAAATACCAGTAACCTATACAAACGCACAGATACACAAAATATGCATGCACGTACACGCGTACCCACACACATCAGATTTAGAGAGCAACGGAATCAAAGCTACAATTCTATTTGTATTTCAGCATGAAGTTGAGAGGATTCCATCCAGATGGTCACAAGCCAAGGTAACATTAGCCTCATGACCATAGGTATATGTACTTGAATGTCACAGTGGAGATGCAAACAGCTTTTCAAATCAAACATGTGAACATTTGTTTTTTTGGTTTGGGGGGGGGGGGGGGGGATTGCGTCAACCATGCACACCTTAGTCGCTCTACTCCAAGCAGACGTGGATGACAGGTGAGTCATCGGACCAAATGCTCTTATCACAGCAAAAAGCTACAGTCAGAAATGTGTACAGATACTGAAGGGTGTCTATGGTATCCAGCTGGCAGTACTAATAAACCACTACAATGCTACTCACCGGATAGCATCATCAGCATGGGGTAAGACCAATGTGCTGCGCAGATCACCACTCTCCACATCCCACAGTGTGATGAGCTGCACGCACCACGTACACAGACACACACAAAGACACACACGCGTACACACACACACACACACACAGTGGACAGCCGCAATCAAACACAGACAATGTACAACTGTGTTAGGTCAGGGAGAAGATGACATACTCGGAGCAAGAGAACCGGGACTCAATCAAAAGCATTACGCTTCGCACCACAAACCGCACTGTTGGCCGTGTTTTGAAATATGCCAAAGTGTGCACAATAGTACATGACCAACACAGAGGGCTGTACATCAGCCATCCAGAGAAAGGGACCAACCACCAGGAGGCTCTACAACTACAACCACACACCTTCGCGTACGCCACGGCCAGCAGGGTACCATCAGTTGTGAAAGCAGTGGCCACAACTGGTGCGGGCCGGTGATGTGTTGAGGACCAGCACTTCCAGATGACTCTTTCTCCTACACAGGCAGCACAGAAGATATGAAAATATTAAAACAGAACAGTTGCAACAAATGACACTCCACTCTCTTTGCTCCTACTGATACGGACATCGCTCTCCCAGCTACGTTCTGATCTCCACATCAGCACTTCGCCACACAATACACACCAGGAATTTAGTCTGATGTGGTATATCTGGTCAACTTGCTCAAGAGACTAGCATGATGGTCTAAAATCACTGTGAAGCACAAGCACAGGGTGGATGAATGAAAAGAACATCATCACCAGTGAGTTCACACTACGATCCTTTCAAAGAGGTCCACGTTTACATCTACTCAACGCCATAAAGTGCAGCCTGTTTTCATGTGGATGTAGTAGCAGTTACCTTGCTTGGTGCTGACGCCCACAGAAGCCCAGCACTTGTGAACACCAGTGTCGTAAGACGTCACACAGAGCACTTCGGCAGGCTTGACGACTTCCTTGCTACGCTCCAGATCGTCAACTTCCATGGGCTCCGGCGAGATTCCTGAGGACAACTGCGCCGCACTCGGTTGAAAGTGAAGAGATGTGATACGACCAGCGAGAGATTCATCAACATGAGATATCGGCTTGAACCTGGACGGGAGAATAGGAAAAAGACGTTCATCCACGAATAGAGACGGCTCTTGACAGGGAGATCGAATGTGGCACACAGATAAACGGAAATGTGCACATGTGTGTACGAACACCAAAACCTGCACAGTCAGGCTGTGTTTACATGAGCATTTTTTTAAACCTGTCGCGTACACAGATCGACAGGAGGGTTTACACTAGGGGTGAAACAATCATACCGAATACTCGAGTACTCGCTCGGTTTTTTTCCAAAATAAACGTACTCGGAATAAATCAGAGTACTCGTTCATACATGGTGCACGCATTTACCACAGAAATCTGCAGTTTCAGAGCAGCAGTCGGCAGATATTGATGTGCAGACTGTGTGGCAAACATTTGTTCCCGAGTAGAGAGAGCCCAAATGACCCACCAACCAACATACCCGAGAAAAATGACTGCCACTCAGTTCAATCAGGGTTGTATCATGCCATTTTAAGGCCCTTGGTGTGCACTTTTTAGGAGATGAAGAATACTCGAATATTCGATCGGAGAAAATCAGAGTACTCGAACTCGGGATCTCAGTGCCAACTTTCACCCCTAGTTTACACACAGCATTACGCTTGACCTGAACTGAAATCTCAACACAACCTCCAAGGGGACAGCATATTAGAGATCTCCTCGGGTCACCCTCTTCATGTAAACATCTCAAAGTCTTTGAATCGTGCTGAGTTTCAACCCGGGTTGAACGTTCTCACGTAAAGAATGCCTCAAACGCTGCATTCTTCAGGCACACCGAAAGCCAGTGAGACAAATCCAACAGTTCTACTTCATGGTAACCCCACACTTACTGGCCAGCCTTCCGCGAGAAGTGCCAGAACTTGAGCTGTTGACTGGGTGCAAAGCCAGGTCTCTGCCAGTGTTCCACCTGTAGGCACCAGCATGGACATGTTTAAACAGCAAACTGTTGTCAACATGAGATGCACCTGTAACAGCCAATATCCTACGAACTGTTGTCAACATGAGATTCACCTGTAGCAGCCAATATCCTACAGTAATATGAACAGCCATACTGACGCACAAGACACTAGTGGGGCAATGCATACAAGCTAAGTCCACAGAATCACGGAAAACAAACGAAATCTCATCGAATAAGCAGGGTAACAAACTTAATAAAAGGACCAATACAACATCCACAACAGTCAAAATGGGATGCCTTGAAATACAAAACGCCCGTACCGTTGCTAGCCACATGCCATCGTCACTCATCGCCACATGATTTACAACGGGGAACGGCACAATCTTTTCCAGCGATGGTGCAACGTAGTTTGCACATACGACATCGACCTGAGAGAAAAAAAAACAATAAAATTCATGCACAGTCGTAAGCATAATGCACAATGACGCGTTATGACCGGGGTGGTGCAACACGTTGAATGTGGTACCTTTGACAATGCATCACGGCATGCAGCATACTACACGGGCTATATCACAATAATTAGGCACACAGTCACACACACACACACACACACACACACACACACACACACACACACACACACACACACACACACACGCATTTGTGCCAAATGAAGTTGATGTAACTGAGTTAAGCAGTGCTGATTCAAGCTCAACGGCTGTACAAGGGTGGCTCCACATCTCAGAAATAATCACAAGTCTACCACAGTGTACAATGTACAAGTACAATGTAGCAGTGCAAACTCCTGGTGACTCACATCAAAGAAAGGCTTGTCAGCGAAAGGATCGTATATCTGCAGCATGCCCGATGCACCGTTGAGCACCAGGCCCGACTGAGAGTGATGCACCACTAGACCAGCGGGCAGCCGATTACCATACCTATCGCCAGTAAACACTACAGAACAAACATACACACAAACATACAAATGAGTGTACACCCACCCGCACACCCACAAGCACAAACGTACACACTCACCCACAGGCACAGACAGACAGACAGACAGGTACAGACAGACAGACAGGTACAGACAAAACATCCATACATGCATAAGCATACAAGTAACAAAGAGAAATGCCTGTGGGGGCAAAGATCAGCGCTGCACGTGCACACCCATAGGATACAAATTTGTGGAGAACATATGAAGTGGATGCTGGTAGTGCATACATGCAAAATACATCTAAGGGATAAACAGTGCAGAAAATGCATACAGTGGAAAGTGCATGCAGAGCATATGCAGAGCAGAACACATGCAGAGTGCACGAAGTCCAACTCAGCCAAGACAAGACACCAGAAAGCTGACAACAACATGATGCCATGCCGATAAGCGCAAAGCAATTCCAGCAGCACATCATGGCAACTGAGAGAACAAGTCATACAATACACTACTCGTCCACACATGTACACTGGTTACATACCTTTGAGCAGTCCTCCAATTGCATACATTGGACTACACGTGTTTCCAGACACCATGCGAATGACTGCAGCCAAAAGACACAGCACACCAACGCAACACAGCATGATCAGTAACATGTTGCCAGTACAGCCAGCCCCATGCGGTGCACATTGAAGCTGGAATACATGTACATGCAAGGAAGCGAGGCGTTAACAAAGCAACAGGCCCTGAATGCCAAAATCACAGCAAGAAAAAACGCATTATAAAGCGACTGTTTTAGAACCAGAGCTAGTACTAGTAATACAGGACTACATGTAGGGACTACACGAACCATTGTCAGCGTGTGAGATGGCTCTGAGATCATCCGACGGAGAGGACGTAATGTGCTTCAGCGGTGCACCAAGACGCGGCAAGAACTTCTTCGTGGAGCCAGCGTCTTCTAAGCGCCAAGCAACCAGTACGGACTCCTCTCCACCAGACAGCAGGTAAGAACCTGCAAAGGACAACAACAACAACAGATTCTCAATTAGAGAACCCGTTCCTACGCTAGCTTATTGTTACGAGTACCTGAATAACCCCCAGAACCTGTAAATCCAGAAATACTCGCACGCGAAACATTCCGTACAATGAGCCTCCAGAACCATTCATGTTCAAACAATATCCATACAGAGAGGATGTGTTCCATCAGTGCGAATGACACTGATAATTTCATACGGAAAGTCAGCATACGAAATACAGAAAACTAAAATGCCCACAAAATATTCTGGATTTGCAGCACATGCACTATTTTTTCCGTTAAACCCACAAGAGCAGGAGGTGTAGCTGTACCCTTCTCCCAATACACAGTACTGTTTTAAAAAATGCAACGCTTGGCTATTCAAGAAGGCACCCCACGTTAGTATCATATCTCTGCGCTTCTATTTACCATCGTGCGTGAATGCCAAGTCCATCACCGCGTGCGAATGCCAATGGAAGTCCACAGACTCGACTTGCGAAGCACCGTCTGCAATTTTATACCTGTAATACACACGCCCGCACACACACACACACACACACACACACACACACACACACACACACACACACACACACACACAGCCGCACGCAGCCGCACACACACACACACGCACACACACACACACGCGCGCACACACACATACACACACACACACACAAGCACACACACAGATTATGACACAAGCGCACAGCAGCTGTGAATGTTCGGGAAATGAACAGACATACTGAGTTATTGAAAGAATTGGATCACTTTAAATGCTTCAGTAGTGTACCCTCAAGTAGAGATCTCCATGGAAAACTGCATGGCCAAGTTGAAAAGTACTGCATAGTGTGATATCCAGAATAGTGCTAGCAACAAACTGATCAACCTTGTATCTCACCATAGCTTGATTTGACCACCTGCACAGCCAGTTGCAATGCAAGCTTGGCTAGGATGTGATGCAACGCACGTAATGCCAAACGATGAACTCAACCTAAACATTGTGGAAACATAGATGGACAAAAACAACGACAAGCCGAAATCGGTGTGAAATGTAGACGCCAGACAAACAGGAGTGTAGACAACCAATCGATTAGCTCTGAAAGACTCCAGGAAATGACTTGATAGTACATGTACATGATACACAGAGGCAACATGCTCATCACACTGTGACTGCTGTATGCATAATTCTACTAATACACAAGAGAGAGATTGGAAGCTGGGTCGCAACTCTGAGTTGCACGTATTACTACAGCCTGAACATAAGGGGGAGCACGGTGAGAAATACTGAGGGGAATCGTAGCGAACGAGTCAAGTGCCGGCGAGAAGTTGCTAAGTCTTTAGACTTGAGGCTATACAGCAGCAGCAGCAGCAGCAGTTCCCGTGTGAATAAAATAGAGCTGGGTTATTATTCTCAATACCCGCCTATGTAGTCCAAGTAGCTCAGGACCTAGGACAGTAACAGCTTAGCTACGGTACTTACTTTGTTAGTTGATGGCGCACACAGCTCCACATGTAGATATTCTTCCGTGAACACACTACAACGGATGACGTCTACAAAAAGCCAATCATCAGACAACAGAATACTCTTACTAGACAATCAAATGAAGGAGGACAGCAAATGCCATACTTCGAAGTACTCGAATTTCAGAAGTTTTCGGTACGAGGGCAACAGGCCAGGTTAGGTGAACAGAAATTTTCGGTACAGAGAAGCAGTTCCCTATTGGATTGTGTGTGTGTTAGTGTTTGTTCGGTGTATTGAAGTGTTTGTTCGGTGTATTGAAATTATAGGTATGAAACAGATGCACCGAAAGTACCGAAAATAAAAGTACACCGAAAATTTGTGAAATTCCAGTAGATAGGTAGTACTATGCACAGTTACTCATGCATATACTGGACATGTACTAGCAGCCAAACCACCAACATGAAAACACAAAGACATACCATAATGTATAAAAATAAAAATACATTCATGTGTGTGTGTGTGTGTGTGTGTGTGTGCGTGCGTGCGTGTGTGTGTGTGTGCGTGCGTGTGTGTGTGTGTGCGTGCGTGTGTGTGTGTGTGTGTGTATACAACTAATCACAAGCCACCTACCAAAGTGCTAAAAAAAGGTTGACAGCCCGCAGAGCTTAGCCATTCTATGTATAAGTAGGCATGGGTTTGAACGTCACTTTTGACACCATGTTACAACCACAACATAAGAACGGAAAGTGAGACAATGAGGTTTACAGAGAAGTTAGTACAGCCAACGAGGGCGTAGCACACGTACGATATGGCACGTTATACTTCAAAGCACATGTCATATACGGCGTGAATGATACGAATGGAGACTGCATGCGATAACCAGTGCACTGCTTGAAGCAAAACATCTCACCGCTTTATTTACGACTATTCTCTGCTGCCTGGGCTCGGGCAGGTCAAACAGATGCTTGGCTTTAGGGCCATCGGTGATCTTCTCCGAGGACGGCGATGCAGCGCTCATGGTCATCGAGGCCAAGTCAAACCAGAAGAGCGAATAATCTACCAAAGACAGGCCAAGTGCAGACAGAATACATAAGAATGCCCTGATGCGCAGACAAGCTACATTGTGCATGTATAGCTAGTAACAGTGCTGTCACTGATAGTCACATACCGTATTTTCTCTAATAAAAGCCCAGGTCTCCAATAATAGCCCAGTCTCCAATAATGACCCGGGGTGAGGGTGGTTTGAAATAATAAGAGCACAGTCTCTAATAGTAGCGCGTGTCACAATTGGAGTATGCAACAAGTATATTGACTGCATATAAAACAGCAGTACAACCTGCCAAGAACATATTTGTAAGGAGATTTCGGTCTACTGCTTCCTTCCTGGCGCCAATGCTACTGTGAAACATCTGTTTTGACAATATTCCTAAGTTAAGGGTTGAAAAATCAGTCTTGATATGGTCAGTTTATGCCTGTATAGACTGGAGTCGGCTTGATAGTTGACAATTGAAAAAAAATAAGAGCCCAGTCTCCAATAATAGCCCAGTCTCTAATAGTAGCGTGGGTAGAGCTGTCACTGAAAAAATAAGAACCCCGGGCTCTTACTAGAGAAAATACGGTATTCAGCAAGCAGCCTTGCAATCCAATGCACGCAGTCGGTGTGGACAGTTCGGCCAGCACCCATGCTTCACCAGGCCCAACCAGCTCATCAACACTAGGCCAGGGAGTGTGTTTAATGGAGCCTACTGCTCTTACAAGGACTGGGAGCAGCACTGCCATCAGCACAGCCACGTTGAGTAGAACAACTAACCATTGTTCGATTTCTCCTGCAGACAGAATACACGATCCTGTTGCTCAGAGCTGAGTAGGGCGATGTCGGTGAGCGGCTCACCAAAACCTGAAACCTACAGCACCAGACAGCAGCCACGCCAGGCAGAAACACACACACACACAGAGCATGGGTGTGATGCAACCCACAACAACTGACCAAGAATCATTATTGACACTGACCCGCTATTGGCCAATTAATCGTCACACGGAACATCCGCTGCAAAGTTCAGAATTATTTGAGTCCCAGCATTGGTATATCTTGGCCGATTTTTACAGTCTTGGGCTTCCTGGCAAAATCTATCCAAAGTGAACAGGATGAGACTAGACTGAAGTTGACACATGTGACGAAGCCAGCGCTGCAGCCCAGCTCCAGCGCTGGAACTATCCAGTAGACTGCATCCTCAGCAGCCATTTGCTTTCTTTGCTTACATCCATCTCAAAATTTTTGTGAAGGCTCACACAAGTCCCCAGATACGACTTGAATCCGTCTTCCCATGAATATCCAAGGTCAGTGCAATGCTGACATGATTTCGGAGCAAAAATGTCATGATTCAACTTCCAAAGCACACAATGCTGCAACTTCACATCATAGCACTTAAAAATTAGTTAGTTTAATTGTCAAAACCAGCAATATATCAGCCAAGCTAAAACTCTCGAGAATAGAACAAGCTTCAGGCTCTTCACAATCAACATCCACTCATACTTTCATTGCCCTCTCGTAAAATGGAATACAGGCAAAAAGAACCTGACCAAGCACAATGCATGTTATACAGTAGTGATGAGATAGCAACAGCGCAAAGAGGAGTCGCCAGAAACAACATGGTAAAATGCATAGCCTCATACACATAGAAGGAGTGACAATAAAAGGTGCAATTGTGAAGAAACGAAACAGAAGTGTGCTGTACTGTGACAAAAATAGACAACCAAGGGACACAACTAACGAGTTGTTGCCCACCTGCCAAAGGGCCCAAGTGTGAAGTACTAAGTACTAGTGGAATAGTTTGAAGGTGTTGATTGTTAGGAGCCTGAAGCGTGTTCTTATCTTGAGTGTGATTGTATCTTGGTCCCCAAGAAAACAAGTTATAACATGGACGAAATTCCCATTCGATGTTGCGTATGAGCAGCAGGGAAAGAGATATGGTATGATTCAGCCACTTACAGTCAACTTCGCTAATACAGCTGCGGATATAACGACAATTCGCGAATAACGACAGCATGTCCATGCCCAGAGCAAAGTCCCTTACAAGTGTAATACATATAATAAGACTTCGGGTATAACGACACTTCGCGAATAAGGACACCTTTTTGATGCCCCGCCGAGTGTCGTTATAAGCGAAGTTGACTGTACTACATTAGTGGCATGCGTCTCTTCACCCTAAACTCTGTGCTAAGCTAACACATGCTCACAACAAAGAGTGGTCGTGCTTACTTTTAAGATACCGCCATCGGTGTCCCAAACAACAACATTGCCATCTTCGCCACATGTGATTACCTGGACACAGTGCAATGACAGGAATTCGACACAATCTTACATAGCTCAGAACAGTGCACAGATGCCTAAATACCAGCAATGACAGAACCAGGGGCGTGATGGGCGCTTGGCAAGTGGATAAGGGACGGGGTTTTGCGCAGTCAATAACTACTGTACATTAATTATTAGTATCGAAATGAAGAAAAAACTCCAAATCCATCCACACCCTCAACTGAAAACCTTTTTCGTTTCGAATAAACACATGGTAAGCTTGAACGACACGTTAGTTCAAACCCAAACGTGGTGTGGCACAGCAAGCTAAACATAGTGGAAATCCAAAACGGAAAAGACAACAGACACACCTAGTGTTCAAACACCAAGCAGCCATGACCAGCGCTACAGGCTTAACCAGGCATCACAACAAAAGTAACGGCAGAACTACCAAACTTCTTCTCCGGTGATACAGTGTCAAACATTGTCTCCCGCACTACTCGCCAAAAACCACTTTAAGAACTGCACTCACTTGAAAACAATTCCTAGGGTTGAGTGTGATTCCGGTTACGTAGCCCGTGTGGCCATCACGCAACGAGCGAACAAAGCGACCAGATTTGGCGCTATAGACGCGAACAGTATTTCCCGAACAGCAGTACACAAACCTGTAACAGAGCAGTATGGGCATGATACAAGAAATAATTACTTAGAAATCATAGCACAGATAACGCCCAAGGTTGGGTAACGCCTTGCATTCAAATGAAAAGAAAGAAGTCCAGTTATATATCCTACACATGTACAGTAACAACAGTCACACGACAATAAGTCTTGAGCTCACTATCAGAGTTCAAGACATGTGAAAGAGCATTATTTGCAGGGCATTCGACTAGAGGAGTCCAGTGTGTATTGGGACACAGTTGGTACACAATTTACCCAGTATTATACTCGACAACCCCACCTGCACTCTTCTCATCAGCATTAATTGCCCCGATAGCACTCAACACACACTCAAGATCGTTACCAGCAGCATGGGCATCACTAGAGACCTTTCGCTAACGATTTTCGTACACCATTTTCGTAGTGCGGGAACGAGGTTACGAAGATCTTACGGAAGTTCGTCTGATCTGGACGGAAAAAGCCACTTTCAACGAATATTGCTTTCGTTCTTGTTTGGCGGGATTTGTTTCAGATTTTTCAGACTTTTCCCTCTACTCTTTCTCTTATCCCTAACCGTAAACGTGTCAGTGTACTATGGCTTCAAATTTACCTGCACCTGTTCCTCCGACACCTATTACACCGGATAGGCAACGGATAGTTTGGGACTCAGGCATGGACTTGGTCCTGCTCAGACAGATTCGTGGATCAGGAAATCCTTTTGTCCGTGGTTCGTCGGTAATGGATGATGTCGTGGATGAACTATCCTCACAAGACCGGCGATTCGGCAATTTAAAATAGAAAGGCGCTTCAGATAGGCTGCACCTGCTGATGTCGAAGCAGAAATCCAAAGATAGCAAAAGCAAATCGGCCTCTGGTATTGTAGAGGACTTCTCCGAAGCAGACGTGCTTCTAACCGAGCTACAGGAGCTGAAGGCCGAGAAGGAGCAAGCCGCAGTGGCAGTGGTGACAGCCAAGCATGCGGAAAAGGCTGTGGCCGAGCAGATGCGAGCCGATGCTTGTAGGACCCTTTCGGAGAAATCTTCAGCGGAAGACCGGCCCCAGAAAACCAAGCGGAGCAGCACGTACGATCAAGCGGATCCTATTATTACGTACCTCGAGAAGAAAAATGATGCTCTTCTCAAGATTGAGGAGAGAAAAGTGTATTTGGAGGAGGAGAAGTTTGCTGCTTCTCATGGTGCAAATGCAGTCGCACTGGAGGAGCGAAGACTCGCGCTGCAGGTATGACCCATTTTTACTTTCATGCTGTATAGAATAAATTTCAAGAGAAAATGCTTCAAATTGTTCATGTGTTCAATTGTTTTTTTGTTTATTGAATTTTCTGATTTCTGTTGGTGATTCTGTTCATGTTACCCAGGAGAGGGAGATGGCCCTGAAGGAAGAGGCTCAACGGGACGAGCTTGCGTCAAAAAAGAAAAAGGAACAAGAAGAGAGCAAGAAAGCAGAAGATGACCGTCAAGATCGCAAGCAAAAGGCAGAACAGGACCGCGAGGAACGCAGTATGTTTCTGCAGCTAATGGCAGCCACTGTCAAAAAAATGCAATAGCTTTTTCACTTCTTCACGAAGGAACAGCCCTTGCTTTGTAGCTTATCCACTAGTCCCGCTTTCACCCAGCACTTCACAGTTGTATACCTGTAACCATTCCAATGTTAACGTCATTCTAACCAGTGTTATCAATGCCTTTTGACCAATTTCACCATGGAATTTCATTGAACAGATATAACAGAGTCTTCACCATTCCATAATTGAATGAATGACTAAACGTAGTCTGTTTTTAAAACTGCTAAGTAGAGGGAATATCCACAGCCAAGATGTTTACAGTTCTTTCATGGTCTAAGTGTTTGTTGTAAAATGGAGAGATGGCACAGCAACAGAATGATGTAGTGCTGACATCATTGTAGATACTCTGCTAAGGTAGGTGGAGATAAGTTGAAATACTTTGATGTCTTGTTGCCTTCTCGGCAGATGGTACGGCAATTTGTGAGGAGTGCAGACACCTTGTAGTAGGCAGCAACGGGCTGAAGCATGATCTTCTGCTGCTTCTTGAAATCATTGAACGCCCACTGTGCAACGACATCACCAAAGCTCCATTCCACCACCATACGTGCAGAATTCATAGCTGTATTGAATTCCTGTTGCTCAGCTGTTAACGCAGCTCCTTGATAGCCCTTCATAAGAAACGGCGACAGTGGGTATGCGGGATCTCCATACAGTGCACATGGCTGACCATTTGGTTTCCTGGCAAACTGTTGCAGCCTAGGCAGCAAACCACTTTCCAAGAGAACACCTGAATCATGCCGTCTGCCTTCAACGGGACCAAATAAATGGCAAATCAAGCCATCTGGTGTGACACAGGACTGGTATTTGAGGGCATGAACCCGTTTATGTCCATTGTAGAATATGCGCTGGTGAATAGACGGCTTGCAAACACTCCTAACTGTGCCATCAATGAAGCCCCATACATCCAGTGGCACACTTGTCTTTCGTCGGACTGCCTGGCAATACTTGGCAAATCTGGCAGGTGTCAGGAACTGGTGGGTAAACGGATCAGTCAACAAACCATCCCAATTCCTGAAAATCCATTGCAGGGTGATATTGAACACGATGCTCAGTGATGGTTTGGACCTCCCAAATTCTTCGCACATATCACCAAGAGTGTTAGGATACGAAAGACGCCTCAAAACCACCAGCAGCCCTTCCAATCCTGTCCAACAGTGTCGTGACGGAGCACGAAACCTCGCTGGGAGGCTGAGCCGTTCAAGCAACTCCATAACCTGTGCTTTCGTGAAGCGATATCTGCGAGAACATGTCTCCTCATCAATTTTTTCAAAGTTTAATCGATTACCCACATGCTGAGGGAGATTCGCACAGGTATCTTCAGTTATGCAATGGATGAGAAGTAGGAGCTCCTCTTCATCCAACATTCCATTCTCGTGCTCAAGAAGGAACAGAGATAAAAGCATTTTGAATTTTTGATGATTGAGTCAGATCCTGGCTATAGCATACAATTACAGACCGGTCGTAGCTTGAGTGATCATGGAGTGGAGATAGGAGGAAATCAAAAAACCAGCGTGGGGAATAGAAGGGTGCAAAGTTCAGGTCATGAACTGCGCACCGCCGGTGAGAAATATGTTGCTACGACAACAACGCAACGAAATGTGGACATGCGAGCGAAACGAAAAATTTACGAAACTTCGGTACGTAATCCAGACCAAAGGAAAATTAACGAAAATCGTTAGCGAAAGGTCCGTAATAACTCCCCATACTAGCGGAGGTACTAGGACACCGTCTTGCACAACATGCTATGGCCGCAGAGAAGCTTTTGAAATTTTCGAAGCAGTAGCAGAGTTGCATGTTCCTAGTTGTTCGTGTTCACAACACATAAGCGTCTGGACATGTAGCGGTATGTGGACCGGTACCACTGTCCAATCAAACGATTACCATGCATATACGCACGAGGGCTCTACAGTAACAGTATTGGATTGCTGGTGATATGTATAGGCTAGAGCAAACCGATATGTCTGGCAGCTTTGTTGACTTTATTTCCTGTGCTTTTCACCAAGTCATTACATTCATTCATCCCTTTTCACCTCCCTCAAATTAACGGTTTTTCGTCACATTCAGCTATTATTACATGAATACTGCTGAGCGAGTATACACAATTCCTATATGAGCCTAGAGCAGGCAGAACATGTACCCATCAAATAGGCACCGGTGTAGTAATATATGGGCGATTCGTAGCCTAAATCGTAGGTTATACTGATAGATGATAGACGTAACTGTAACATGATGTGCGGTGGTTCACATACAATCATAGCAATGCGCTACTGTCCAGGGATCGTTGAATTAGGGCTACGCTACAAGGATATCCCAGAATTCACACTACGTTCAACATAGTTATCAGCTTTTAGTGAAGGAATTATCAATATCAAGGCCAAGTACTAGTACTCAATGGTTGAAAGCACAATACACATTCAACTTACTCAGCGTTTGCACTGAAAACTGGTGGTCGCGCAGTGATGGACTGGCCGCCTCGTACCGATGCAATGAACTGCTGTTCCTCCTCCATGCCACAGCAACTTTCCCCTAAATCGTTACAGCTTGGCACCGTTCATGCTCACCGTCTCCTCGAAATAGTGGAGTGAACAATTATTTTGCCCATGGACGTTGAACATGCTGCATATCTCTCGGATTTCTGGGTGCAAGCTTTTTTTTCTGTTCTCAAGGAAAATCATTGATTTTCGCAAAAGTTCAGAACCAAAAATCCCCTGATCTTCTGACGCCATTCCAAGTCTATGCACGCACGCGCAATCACCATGGTTCTAGTCTACGTACTTCACAGTTCTACACTGCAAGATCAATAAGAGAAGAGGCAAGATCAAAAGTACATGAAAATTAATATTAATTTTTTCAATTTCTGACAGATTTATTGAGGACGTGGATGGAGCTTGTATACTGTGTAGTAAAAAAATAGTACATGTACCGGTAGTATAAAAATACTGTACTGTATTTTTACTACTGACACTGTACTCCCTCCCGACCCTAGGCCCTTAGGCTAAGGCTGTAGCAACGGTAGCTATGCTGAGTGAGGTAAAAACAAGACTGTCAAGATAAGAGTACATAATTATTAAAAATAATATAGAGGGTTCTTGGTAAAAAGTAAAGAACCATGTGAAAGGCCTGTGTGGCAAGCTTTGAAAGTTTAAAAAAAGAAGGTTCTGGCAGCGGTGGGATTCGAACCCACGCCATCGAAATGACTGGAGCCTAAATCCAGCGCCTTAGACCACTCGGCCACGCTACCAACGCACCGTTGATCTCTGTAATGTTGAGTGTTGCACTGAAAAGTGAACCAGCAGCACTGGACAGCGAGTTCGAGTAAGTATTTAGTTGGAAGGATTTTCTCGATTTGCCAAAAACTCTACTCTGTCATACTCATGAAGATGATTTTGAATGATATTGCCTTTTTACTATGATGGTAAAATTAGCAATAACAGCAGCAGCAACAATGTGGGAATTGAAATTGAAAATAATCATGAATAAAAATGTTGAAACCCAACATCACTAGTGCACTGCGGCGGCGCGTAACAACGTGAAATAAAAGATGCAAGGACAACTCACTAATCCTTATGCACCGATACAGCATCCCCTCACTAGTGGGACCATTGTTATTAGGTTAGGGCCTGTTTTGGACTTCCCACTCTAAATAAAGAATACAAACAAAAAGCAAACAAACAACTGCTCCAGCCCGGGGCACGGTTGCCATTATGCCGGAATTTTTGACCCTACTATAGAGCAAGTTGATTAACTCCAGAGCAAGATAATAATATTATGCACTGGACTTGAAGGTAGATACAGTACCGTTAGGGGCCGTCCAAGGTTACTAATAATATTTTTAAAACGAAATGTTTTCGTTTGTGGGTGGGTGGGTTTGATGGAGTTTCGTTTTGAAAATAATCATCGAATGCTGATGGAGAATGCCCAGTATATTCTGGGTGTCGAAAATTGACATCAATATTTTATTGGAATTCGTTTTACCTGCAGAAAAGGTGGGTGGGTGGGTGGGGGCTGAAAAATACTAAAACTTTTCGTTTTGTAAAAACAATCGGTAACCCCGGACGGCCCCTTAGATGCCAACCACCAAACCAAATCATGAATCCAGCCTGGTCGGACACCTACACTTTCTCTCAAACCTACTTGCAAGTCACAGTTTTACACACTTGTACTCGTTGGTAGTCAGCTGGGTGCTAAGTTAGTTAGTTACTACTGGTAGGATGTACAGTAAGCGGTAACAACGAGACTAAACACAAAAAACGGAATACATGTCAAAAATGGCCACGTGGGGAAAAATGTCCGCGCCTTGAACACCATAATGCTGATATCTGACAAGAGAACCATTCCCTGGACCCGGGCGTTCCGCATGTTTAGGTACAACTAAACTTGAAAAAGCCGAGGAAAACTTTTCGCATGGGGATCATGGCAAGTAACAGTTATGTCGCGTTTCAGCTGTATGAACTGATGCCGTCTCAAAGTCCGGACCAATGCATGTCTCATATAATGCCGCCACATTTAAAGTACAAAAAGTACGAAAAAAATAAAATACGCATACATGTACATGTACAGTTTACCATAGGGTCATACAAGCACCATTTCTGGGGTCTACTTGTGCTACAGAACAATCTGGAGAAGAAAAATAAGTTTAAAAGGGAAGTTAAGGCAAAAATTAAAATTTCACCAGTTGTAGTCTTCGGGGTGCTGAGTCGAATGGTCTTAGTCCGAGAAAGCTGAGACGCTCCCTTCCTACTTGAATCCCAATTGAACTCGCGCACTTCCACCGAAACTGGGTGACTGCGCCCTACTAGATGGGGATTTGTATGCAAAATGTCACTAAAAGCGCCATTTCGTTCTCAGAAAAGCACGGATGACCGCAATTGGCCCATATGTTGTAGTCTTTTGGACGCTGAGTCGACTGGTTTTGGTCCGAAAAGGCTGCGATGCAGCGTTCCTCCTTTATGCCCAATCGAACATGGTTGAACAAGTGGTCGCGTGCTCCTGGGTGCCCAAATCACCTGGTCACCACGCCATGCGACAACTTTCACACCAAGGTTCAACTCGAGTTCAACTCGAGTGACAGGACTGCACCCAAAAAAGGTCAAACAGGCTAGTAAGTTGTACCCTGCAGGCACGGTGACCAGGTGACTGGTGTACGCAGGAGCACGTGACCGCTTGTTCAACCATGTTCGATTGGGAATAAAGGAGGGACGCTGCATCGCAGCCTTTTCGGACCAAAACCATTCGACTCAGCGTCCAAAAGACTACAACATATGGGCCAATCGCGGTCATGCGTGCTTTTATAAGAACGAAATGGCGCTTTTAGTGACATTTTGCATACAAATCCCCATCTTTTTTATAGTAGGGCGCAGTCACCCAGTTTCGGTGGAAGTGCGCGAGTTCGATTGGGATTCAAGTAGGAAGGGAGCGTCTCAGCTTTCTCGGACCAAGACCATTCGACTCAGCACCCCGAAGACTACAACTGGTGAAATTTTAATTTTTGCCTTAACTAACACATGTGTAAAGGCCGTTTCACCTCCAAAGTGGTAGAGCTACTGTAGTACTTTACACCATAACTGAGAGAAGAACAAATGCATTGCTTCATCACAGGCAAACACAAGCACATGGCCACACCCAGACATTGTGGTGAGACAGAAGAATGGCCCGAGCTGCACTGCAGCCAATATTCATCGCACTGTTAGTGGATCACATAATAATTGCTGTTCAAAACCAGACGCGTGCTATAAGTGATATGTGGGCAAAAGCAAAACACCGCCTATTGTTAAAAACCATTCACAGAAAGCTGCTCATCAAATCAATGCCACATTCCAATGGGAATACATACAAACACAAGGTGGGGAAAATCAACATTAATCTTAGACCCAGCAAAACACATTTTTGACCCAAGAGTTGCTGGCTGGGCAGTACAAATAAAGAAAGGCATAACGTACAAACTTTTACGCATGCCGCAAACAAGGCTATTCAAAATCCATGCTACAATTATAACGAAAATCAGAAGAAGTGCAAGGCCACTGTGCAGAGCAGAGGCTAATATGGACTATGCACTACTAAACGTGACTCAATTCGTAACTAACACTATGGTCAATAGAAGACAGGCCTCTTTGAGAGTAAATATGTTGATAGAGGAAGAGAGAGAAAGGAACACTGGTGTGCAAACGGTAAATACTACTTGCTTTGTGCTGACCATGCAGCGCCTATGCACAGCATGCATACTAGAGTGGGGCCGGGGAATATAGCGTGCTAGAGCAGGGACCCGTCTGGCATCACCTGTGCTGGTGGCATGTTGTGGTATTGCGCTGGTGGCGGCTGCTGTTGTTGCATGGCATGTTGTTGCTGCTGCTGTTGTGGCTGTTGACCAGGGTGTCCACCAGTAGGTACCTGAGTCAGTGGAAGAAGACACAAAACACATGTGTAACCATTACAGCATAGTGTGCCCAATTTTAAGACACGCAATCCATAGGCAAGGAGTACAGTGTAAAAAGTTGATCCGGGTCCATTGTGTATATCACGGAACTACAAGTAGCTTGACACAATCATCCTTTGCTTAGCAATGCATGCAATGCTGTCAGGTAGACTACAGTTCTGTATTGTGCTAAGTGCTGGATACGACTAATAGCAAGGGGTTCAGAAACAACATTGCCGGACATCGTACCTAGGTAAGTCAGGGATGAATTTATTGTCATATTTTTACATAGCAGTTTCTGCTACACAAATTCACAATTGTGTAGCAGTCTTTGGTTTTGATTAGCATTTTTCTCTGAAGGTTGGGTGTTTACCACATTGCCCTTCTTGAGAGTGATGCCTGAAAGCCCATTTGCACAAAAACGACTGAAGCATACATGTGCACGCAGACTGAGAGTACCTGCACCACATACACTGCACAGTATGCATGTTACTTGACAGCGCAGGCTAGGCATGGATAGTCTGTATGTATCGCAATTTTCTGCGAGTCATGGTGACTATTGAGTAGCAGTAGATCGATTTTGCATCGCAAACTGCGATGCGATACAGGATACATTCATCCCTGTAAGTACGCTACACGCGCTGGGAAGCACACACCACTCTACAGCACAAGACCACGTACGTACAAGATTTTAAATTCGTGATCATTGACATTCACATGCTCATGTTTAGCTGAGCCAGCAGGGTGTTGAGCCCATGCTAATTGAATAGGTGAGGACATTAGAGTACATGTACATACAAAGATCAGTATACTGTATCACCAGATTGGCAACGTGAGTAGTTGTCAACTTGTGGGTACAACACCAATTGCAATGTACAACACAGCAATCAACAGCGCGCTGAAAACTGCAAACGATTATAGTGTGCTTACCTGACCATGTGGATGTGCATATACTCCGGGATCTTGCGGGAAATGTTGCTGTTGCTGCTGTGGGTGCTGGGCTGGCATCTGTTGTGGTGGTGGCGGCTGTTGCTGCGGTGCTGCTTGTTGATATGCATACATCTGTGGCTGCTGGTATTGCGTTGACGCTGGCTGTGGCGCCTCCTGATACTTGGCCGGCGAGTTGGCATAGTAACCACCCGTAACTGGTGGCGATGCTTGATATGCCGGAGCAGCGGCTGGGTGTTGTTGCTGTGGTACTGGGATGGGCTGGCCATAGTCTTCTACAGAGGAACACGGAAAGCAGCGGCAGTCTGTAAGGCAGTGGCCATGCCATATTCACAGCATCGTGAGATACACAATGACGACGACTGCATGTTCACCCATGCATGAACATGACACAACTGCGTGTGTGTGGGGGGGGGGGGGGCATATGTAGGTACAGGCAGCTCTAGCGCATTAATTTCCGGGTACCGTCAGGGCATCCCAGCTAGATTAACAGCCCAGGAGAATGGAAACCATTTAACTTGGTTACCTACCTGAATAAGTAGGGGCTTGTGGTGCAGATTCTCCATGCGACTGTGGCTGGTTGTACGCTGATTCCTTCATCAACCTGATACGCAGCATGGCAGCACAGACAACAAACAAACTTGCTAGAAACAGAATTGTGCTGGATGCATGGTGAGAAACGACACAGATACTAGCACACTTGCACCACTACATGTAATATCCACACAGGTACTAGCACACTTGCACCACTACATGTAATATCCACACAGGTACTAGCACACTTGCACCACTACATGTAATATCCACACAGGTACTAGCACACTTGCACCACTACATGTAATATCCACACAGGTACTAGCACACTTGCACCACTACATGTAATATCCATTGGTGTTTCCAGCATGTTAGCAGCTGCCAGAGGCAGAGCAGATGAAGAAGGCTGTGGTTACAGCCATGGTCCAGGGAGCACAATGTACCTGTCAGTGCTTACAACAGCCACCAACATGCATTTCAGCGACAACGAAGCACCCAGCTTGCACGATTGTAATCTGCCATGGCTATCATTCTACTGCCTTCCACCACAGTGCATCACTATCACTATACATACATGTTGTGGTCAAACAGTCTATTTCCAAAATTCGGTTTACATGTATTCAAAATGTTTTTTTCCCAGGATGGACATTCAGTCTGTGTCTTCTGTTGTTGGACTATTTGAGTAAGTAAATTAGAACATTGGGGTAATTTGAGGTCTTGTTCTGGATTTCAGGGGTATAAAACGAGAGAGCTTGGAAGCTCAGGGCCCTACGCTATGCTTTTTTGCCTTGATGACCTAGACAAAAAAAAGCATAGGGATGTTATAAATTCTTTTAAAAATTCCTTTAAAAAAAAAACATAACCTGGGATTCGAACCCGCACTATCGCGCGCCCTGCATGCATCCCCCGATACACTTCGCATACATACTAATTCTTCCAAGTTGCTTCACATTATGATCTTGCATTTGAAAGCCCTATTTGAATATGCATTGTGGCCAGCCGTCTTTGATGGTACGGTACGGTAGGGGACAGGTACGGGACAGGTACGATCGAGGGTAATACGACACCGTCTCCCGTACCGTACCGTACCATCAAACACAGCTGGCCACATACAGCTGCCCGCAATATTCAAATAGGGCTTTCAAACGCAAGATCATAACGTGAAGCAACTTGGAAGAATGGGTATGAATGCGAAGTGTATGGGGGAATGCATGTAGGGCGATAGTGCGGGTTCGAATCCCAGGATATGCCTGAAAAAAATAGGAGAATTGAAAAATTTATAACATCCCTATGCTTTTTTTGCCGTCAGATACGGGATAGCGCCAGGCGTGACACAAACAAACAAACAAACAAACACACAAACAAACAAACACACAAATACCAAATTGAAGCTGTGTGGACCCTGGCTAGCGCCAGACGTTACTGAAGTAACGTCTTCTGCATAGCTACGGGAATAAAAGGGATTCATCATGATAACAACTGCTTACTGTTGGTAATAGGCCAGGGCATCTTGAAATTGTTGATTGAGATCCTGCAGTGCCTGGCGCTCCCTACATGTGTGAGAAAAGAACCACAGCAAGGCACAGAGTCCAACAGCAGTACAAGTACATCACGTACTGTTGCACATATACCGTAGTAGTGCATGTATGTGTAGTCGTGTACTGTAGTACTTCCAAGTACATAATATGTGTACAGTCCACTTTGCGTATAACGACAGTCGGCGGGGCATCAGAAAAGTGTCGTTATACCCGAAGTCTCATTATATGTATTCAGGTAGAATTGACTGTGCTCTGGGCATGGAAACTCTGTCGTTATTTGCGATTTGTCGTTATATCCGCAGTCGTTATAAGCGAAGTTGACTGTAGTCACATAATGGAACACACGGCTGATGCCTGAAGCCGAGAGTGAAGTTCCTGCTCATAATCAGAGTAACGAAATAGCCTCAATGGAGCTGGTAGAAACGAGCATTCATAGTGCTGTTAGGTCGGAACAAAAAATTCACCCATGATGACCATGTATTAAAGTCTCAGACAAACGGTTAGTAACTAAATAAATGGCCACACATGGAGATGCTGTGTCATGTGGAGAGTGTGCAGTGTGCACATGTCTGAATGACGATGTGGGAGTGGGAAACTGCTAACTGGCCAGCTGACCTGTCAATGACACTGATCTTCTCGGCTATGAGCGGCTTCATATCATTGCACTCATCTGCAATAGCAAGAGAGAGAGAGAAGCAGCAATCAATTCATACACTTCAGAAACATTGGAAAAGAGAAGCACATGACCATCTGGCCATCTAAAGACAACTTAGTATGCTTCTACCTAACAGGTACATGCATGCATTGTATTTTGAACCCACCAGGCTCAGCTAAGAAAGAAGATTACAGCTCGCCCAAAGCCACCATAGGATCACCACCACTACATCAACATAAATTCGCACATCCAGGCTTTCTTTTTCTTCTTTCATTGTATGGGCAGTTGAAACACAGGATATGCGAGGTCTGCTCCATGGCGTTGCTACATTTCCGTACACAGAGAAGCCATTCAAGCGATCGACTTACTTTCAAGCTCCTTCAGCGTGCGATCCTCTTCTTCATTGGCAACAGTGGCATCGGCATTGTGCAGCATATCCAACAACAACTCAATCTGAGCCTGCATAGTAGTGAACAGGGAGCAGTGAACCAGGTTAATACTAAGTCAACAATGTTGATCAACAAACACAAGGATTGGATATTCATTAGTTTGAGGGAATGAACATGGGAACGTCTGAAGAATCAAGGATCAGACATCGTAAATTCGGACAAGGTAGCAGCATCCACGACCCCTGAATGCTCGGAACAATAGTCAAAACCCGGTAGCCACACATCAGACCTCACATCTCACAGAATGATTTCCAAGAATATCATAATTATGATATCCTTGGAAATCAGTCTGTGAGATGTGAGTTTAGCTATCATCTGAGCATGGAGGAGTTGTGTGGTGGCACATGTATATCGTAACACGAAATAAAACGTCATATTTGAATAAGCTTTCCGGCTTCATTGTGCATTCACTGCGTTCAAAACCTTGCTATCATATCCATCATACGAATGCTTTGTGTTGTTACTACAGTGACGATTGAGCAGGGTTGTTGTTACGCACCTACTGGAACTACAAAGTGGGCGGACATCAACTTTACCTCTCTGATCTCGGGCTTAGGCTTTGCTGCCTGGGTGCTGGTTTTTGCGGTGGAAGACCCACTGCTGGTTTTCTGAGCAGGAATTTCTAGGCAAGCATCAAAGACAGGGTGAGATAACAGAAAGAAAAAGAGACAAAGTGCTCAATATTCTTTATCAAGAGGTCATACCCCGGCCTGGGTATGACTTTTTTCGCTTCCACTTACGAAGCAAGAGACCCCCAATAGTACTTGCCACTCTATTAATTTGTTAAAGTGGGCAGCGTGCCCACACTACATTTCCACGTTGCCCTGCTCGCATTCTTAGCCGACATCTCTCATGCTGGTGAAAGGGAGGCTCCTGTCAGGGACGAAGTCCCGTGATCGATAATTCTCATAATTCTCGAAAAGCTGAACTCTTTTCTGGATGCCACAGGACCACTCGTGAACATTCTGCAGAAAGCAATACAGGGTAATACAGTGTGCCCGGTACCCTGACGATGAAATCATCACCCGCTGCCTGCCCGCAAGCCTTGCGGTTTCGGGCTGCCCCACATGAATCGAGAGTGTCGGAGCAACACAATTCTCTCTATATGAACAACGTCCCGTCGACATGGCCGATGACGATGCCATTTTTCAATCGGCACCACCACAACTATTGATGGCGGCTTTTCAAAAAAAGAGTCAAGGATAGGTGTGAGGAGCTGAACTGTATCTCCCGCGCTTCGAGCTTGAAGATTGACCATACCCATAACTCATTTTTTTCAGCAGGGCCACCCCCCCCCCCCCCCCCAAAAAGCTTCTCAGGTGGGGGCCAATGCGGTGGCTTCAAGTCATGCAGCCTGCACAATGTCTTCAAGAAATCCAGCACCAACAGCAGCAGTAACGTAGAGTCGTACTTGCTCTAGCCAGCCCTGGACTCTCTGTTCAAGCCATGTGACCAGTATCGAGGGCAGGGTGTGCGCGTGGAAAGCTCAGGACTGACCCTACTCACATCATACATACTAACCTGGTTCGGGCGTGACAGTCAAGTCTCGAGTTACAAACGAAGCGGGAAACATGCCAGAACCAGCCAGTGTTGAGCCACTCCACCAGTTCTCGTCACTGCACAAAGCAAATGCACAAAGAACACACACATTAACACAAGCACAAATGCACACAAATATTCATAAAAATACGTGTTAACCTAGTAAACCAATCTCCCGGGTCAGCCAAGAGCGCATTGTGGAGTGGTGGAGTGACTGATATAACCAACAAAATAATGATATTAGTCGTACAGTGTAGTTTCTTGCAAATCCGAATAAATAATTCTCTTCCTTGTTTAAAGCAGGGTGAAAGCAAAACAGCATCCACTCAAAGTGAGCAACTGGAACAAAAGGAAAGGAAGAGGGAGAGAGAGAGAGAAAGAGAGACAGAGAGAGAGAGAGAGAGAGAGAGAGAGAGAGAGAGAGAGAGAGAGAGAGAGAGAGAGAGAGAGAGAGAGAGAGAGAGAGAGAGAGAGAGAGAGAGAGAGAGAAGAGAGAGACATCACACTGCTGGTTTAGCTCTAGAGCGTGCAGCTGACCTGCTATCCGTCACATTGACAAGCTCTCCAGCCTTGAAGGATATCTCATTGTCGTCCTCAGACTGAAAGTCATAAAGAGCTCGTGCTTGGAAGCCCTACAGCACAGTAATATAATCACAGCACCGCAGCAGAGCAACATTGCCTGACAGAAATGAGCATATAACAACTACTACTTCAGTATGATACCAAACAGTATGTCTGGGTTGCGAGTCTTGTGACAGTACCTACAGTGGCCTATCTGTCTTGTGACAAGTCATTATCATACTGCAACATTTCTACTACAGTAGCAGGTTATGATGATGTAATGATGTCACAGCAGACGTATACAATGCATAGCCACCCACACAATATTCATGCACTTCAGCTAGCCACACTAAGACTTTCCCCGACCATCGTCGATCAAACATTCTGCCAGCGCTACGTACCAACTGCTGCGGCGCTGACTGGACTGGTGCTGGTGCTGATGCTGGTGCTGAGCCAAGAGTGGGGTACAGTGAGCTGGACGTTGCCTGCTGTGCAAGTACAACAGTTAGCAAGGCATTAGGCAACAGAATGTAGTATATGAATATGAATATGGATACTTGAAGTAGATGTGAATAGGGAAGGACAGTTCGGGTGCATTCATTCATTCATTCATTCACAATACATTAAAATTCACTGCAAATGGCGAAAGAGTAGCATTGTACATTTATGATTGTGTACAACTGTCAGCACACAATGGAGTACAATCAAACCTGGGTTATCCGGACCCCGAGATTACAGACACTTCGGTCTACCGGGCACCCTTTGGGCGAGTTTTAGTGGAAACATTACACAGAACAAGGGCAATCAAGGCTTGTTAGTCGCTACTCAAAGTTGCATGCTTTCGCAATCATCAGGCAACAGTGGAACAGTTTCTAGTGGAAATATTACTACTCTTTTGTCACTTTTCGTGGAAATAGTGACGTCATATGCCATAGTTATGGCCTTCCCCATACCATCAACATGTACGTGTTTCGGAGTTACGGACATTTCAAAGTTGCGGGCAGTGCCCGGTCGCGGACGGCCCGGATAAGCAAGGTATAAGTGCACATGGAACGAGCAGTAGAACACGACAGTAGTCAGTACACTAAACTAGAGCGTAAGTTTCAGTCTCTGTCCACTTACTGCCGGGAACTGAGATGAAGATGCAGTGCCACTAGACGTGGACGCGTCCTGTAGAGACAGGGCAATTGCTCGTGACAGGTCCTCATCCTCTTTCCTGGCACTAGCAGATGAGGTTACGGGAGGAGTACTGGTACTACGAGTGCTAGTGTTTGTTGACGATGTCAACTGACCAAGCAAAGAGAACAAAGATCAACACTTTAAACCACAAACATAGCTACAAAAGGCAAGTAGTGTAGACGATAACAAAAGACGTCACAGATGAGTGCTCGAATCCACTGCATACGGGTGGCTGTTCCGAAGAGTGCAAGATGTTCTGTAGCTGATTTTGTTTTCCAAGTTTTGATTGGAATCTCTCTTTGCACGAGGGAAGAGTCAAGAAATCCAGACCAGCTCAGGCCGGACACATGCATAACATGCACCAGGGAATACCAGCCTGAACGGCATTGTTTGTGCTCCAAAGATAGCTTGCGGAATTTCGTCAAACTCCATTCCCCAACCTCAAATCGCCTTCAGTTTTTTTTGAGCTAACAGCTGAAAATGTCCTGATATGATGCCAACCTTTCGATGAGGCATTTCAGTCAAGAATCTGCACAGTTTGGAAAATTAGATGTCGCCCGAGTGCTATGCACACAGCGTACGGATGTATCCTGCATGTTGTTGGTCGCTACAAAGAATAGACATCTAGCGACAATCAACCTCTCTAGCTATACTTTCATCACCACAGCACATGGTTGAAAACCACTGCTGTCCTGCTATGGAGACTACAAGTAGCATATGACTGCACATGATGACTGCACATGACGACTGCACATGGGCCAAAGAGTTGTATTCATCAATGTTCCCTCACTACAGACGCTATAGAAACCCACCATCACATTCAGTCTAGCTAAGGCAACTTACACTAGGTGAGCTGGGGAAAGGAAAACCTTCTGTTTTCAGATCTTGATAAAGCTTCTGTATCATGCTATAGCCAGAAACACACACACACACACACACACACATCGGAGTGTTGCCAGAGGGAGCAGAATGACGACAAGTGAACCAGTGCCCTCGGACAAAACACACACACACACACACACACACACACACACACACACACACACACAAATACACACAAATACACACACACACGCACGCACACACAGATATTATACACACATACTCACACACACAAATACACACATGCACACACACACACAAATATTATACACACACACACACACACACTCACACACACGCACACACAAATATACACACAAATACACACACAAACACACAAATACACACACGCACACAAATACACACGCACACAAATACACGCACACGCACACACACACACACATACACACACACACACACACACACACACACACACACTACTACTACTACTACTATAGCATGACTGCCCATTGGGCAATGTCACCCCCGGAGGGGGCCAGAGTTTGGAGTGCACCGTCATTGGCAGGACTTCTGGTGCCTCGTCAAATCTTGCTGTCGTCGGAAACGTTTCGGGCAATGCATGCAGATCAGCGGCAGTGATTCCCTATCGGCTGCAGCAAGACGTTTTCCACGGTTGCAGTTATGGCGGTTAAAACCAGCCCGGGACTTGAAGCAGCGATTGCAGCGTTGACAATGCTGGAAGCAGCAACTAGCGAGAGACGCCGTCAATGCCGTATCTGCATGTTCAGGGAGTGCAGGCTGGCAGCGATGAACTGCAAGCCCACCCTTACTACGGAACCATCGGCAGCAACTGACGCACTGTGCTGAACCACGCTGTTGGTGGACGGGAAGTTGGCGCTCAGCCAAACACTTGTGCCGTGCCTTGTCTTGAGGACGAGAGAAAGCCCGGTTGCAAGATGAGCAGAGTACGGATTTCTCTACTGCCCGAGGAGGCTGAAAAACCAGAACCTGCTCTCGCCAAGCTGACCGGTCTTGTGCGCAATCAAACCAGTTTGGAATGGACTTCGTGTCAGTAGCCACAACGTCTCTCCACCTACGCCTGGGACCGCAGAAGGGGCGCGCAGCCAACAAACGACCAAACAACAGCTGCAATGGGACACGGTCCTCCGACATCCGAGCCACATGACCAAGCCACTCTAAACGACGATGGCGCATCTTAACAGAGAGTGGCACTGGGTCACCCCAGTGACGACGTAACTGCGCAGACGTGATGCGATCGGATTGCTGCTGACTGCGAGGGATGGCTAATATTGTGCGGATGCAGCGATGATGAAAGGCATCCAAACGTCTACTATCAGCTTTCAAGGGCGTCCAGCACTCACTGCCGTACAGCAAAATGGACAAGACACAGGCCACGTATAGCTTTCGCTTACTGACTAATGACAGCGAGCGATCCGACAAGACTGGAAGAAGAGCTCCAAAGGCTTTGGAAGCCTCAGCTATGCGGCGACTGACGTCAGTAGAGGAGCGGGCATCCGGTGTCACGACGGACCCCAGATAAATGAAGGATGGAACGTGCTCCACAGTATCACCGTTGACGTTCATATCGGCTCTATCAGGCATGTTGACTTGGCTACCTGCCACGAGAAATTTCGTTTTAGCAGCGTTGACGCAGAGGCCAAACACACACACACACACACACACAACATTATTGAGGCAGGTGATACATGAAACAGGTCTGACATTTCGGCCATAGGTTTCGCTAAACCTCAAATACCTGGAGTTTCACAAGCTGAGTGTCCAGTAACAATGTGGACAAGCAAACTACAAAACTGAGCACACTCACAGCCACCGCACTTACCCCATGCCACTGTCACTGGCAAATACCGTGACCCATTCCATGATCAACATACCAAGACGCTCTACAACATTCTGATGTGGACGCTACAGCAGCAACGGAAATCAGGCCGGAAACACAAACAGTTACACACAAATGTTTAAGCAGCATACCATAGACACAGTGCTGGAGGTGATTCTGACAAAGGGCCAGAGCAATGGCAGTAGCAGCAGGAGGTATACGTGTGAGCACATGGAATTTTCGGTGGCACTTTAATTTTGGTGATTTTGGTAGAGAAACCAGGCATCTAAATTTAAATTACACCTAAAAGCCTCGAGAGTATGCAATCTATGTGAAGGGAACGCTGGTCACCTAATTCTACATTACACCTGAAACCTGGCAGGTAAATTTTAATGCACCTAAAATTACATGTTTTACAGTATACGTGTGAGCACATGGAATCTCCTCAAACCAAACACAATTTCCACGAACTTCTCAACTCGACACAGCGATGTACAGAGAAGTGGTCAGCACCGAACCAAACGGTAAAAATGCCATTAGTCAGTTGGGCTAGACTGCCATACGCTGGACTGGACCGTCATTGGTTGGGTGGGACTGCCCCCGGTTGGTTAAAAAAATAGTTCTAACAGAGGAGATAATGCAAGCACACATTGCTGGAACATGGCATGCAGAGCTAGACATGCGGCAACAAGCTATCAACAAGCAGTGAGAAGTACTACTACCGTACTGGCAATATATGTTGCCGCGTAACGCGTAACGCAGGGGGGTGCGGCGTAACGCGCGACCAGGCTAGTGCGACAAATTTTCGTTGAGTTCGTAACGCGCGTCCGGCGGGGTGCGGCGATCTTTTCATTGCAGTTTGCACTGCAAAAAATGGCTGAAAACTGTGAAAGCACGTGTACTGCGTGGTGAAAAGTTCAAAACTGGACGCAGCAGGAAGTCCTGACACTCGAAGGCGCATCATTCAGTGGTTGGCGATCTCAATGGTTTCTTCTTTCCTGAGGTTGTTTTGCACTCTGATAGTTTTTAAAAATATACAGTCTTCTATTGATATCGTTGTCGCCCTTTGCCGTCGGGTTTGTAACAGTTGGATAGCAACTGAATTTCTGTGCCTTCAATGTGGATGAAAAGAAAAAATGATGCGGCAAAAGCAAAAATATGATGCGGCAATAGCAAAAAAAGTGATGCGGCAATAGCAAAAAAAGGACTGCGGCAATATAGAAACCTGTGTAACGGCTCCTGTGCGACTTTGCATGTAACGCCCTGCGTGCGGCAAACATGTGCCAATGTAACGCTTCATGGCCTCACTGCGGCAACATATATTGCCAGTACGGTAGTAACTTACTTTGACACATGTACATATAGTGCTGCTCAATGAATTACTCAAAACTGTTAGTCGAAAGTGCTTACCTTCCGATACAAGCTGACACATAAATCATAAAAGGGGCGTGAGGAGATTTCAAGTTGGAATTGTCGTCCACCGCTCGCTACCAAGGCTTCCAGCACCTGCATGAATACAAGCAGGGCAGCAAAAACGGAATAACTGATCGGTGAGATGGCATCACAAGCACACGCGCACGCACACGCACACATACACGCGAGGACACACACACACAGTTGCACCCTCACAACTTACCACTAATGAGGAGAATTGAACAATAGCGGCCGATGATCGCATCCTCTTCTGAATGGCTTGATATGCTGGCTTTGCCCTGTACACACCAAAACGTAAACAAGCATATCATCAAGAAAGTCTGTGGATCTGAACTGCCTAGGTCACCGAGACTCAGAGAGAAGGCCGGGGTATGCTCCTGACTATAAAGCGTGTGTTTATTCAACTGTGTTGTACAGTAAACAGATAGACGGACGATACAGGCGGGCAACTAGTCCGCAATGCTGGGGCAATGTTTCGGATGAGACTGCCCTAGGTATACTGCGACACAAAGTTCAGAAGTGTGATCAACAGGAAGCACACACGAATAAATCCAGGCTATGGACCACGGCAAGCAGCACGTACAGTGAAGGAGTGTTGGTTACGCGTGAGCAGATGTCAAAGATGAGATCCCAGTCATGCTGCTCGGGCGTCCAGCAGCCACCCGTGGCTGTCTCTGTCATGCAGCACACAGGCATGTGGCAACGAGAAACAAAACACGCACGTGCATGCACACGCACACACAAACACATGCGCGAGCACACACACACACACAGAATAAGCACAGTTGTGAACGGGCACATGTACACAGGTCTTACAGCGGCGAAATCAGCAGACATCACATTCATGGAGGAGCTGGAAATGACTGAAGCCGTAAGCCAGTAAAGGAGTACGCAAACAAAACAGGTTTTGGTTGTACGTGTAATAGCAGGAATGGATACTATCTAAGAATTGGCAGCGAGATGACAATACATGGAAATGGAGGAAAGCAATCAATAGTACTACGAGCCAAATGCTCCTCCCCCTTCAACACCCAACCAGGTCTACGGGATTCTAGGGGATTTCATGCATCTGTATGTACAACGTTACGTGCATAAGGCTTATTCAGTAGAGCAGACCAGTGTTAGTAGTAGTATGACAGCAGAACATAACCTGCACAACGTGATTCCGCGAACGAACAATTTTCCGCGTTCTTGGCTTTCATCAGGATTTTTACATTGTTGGCATAAAGCCCAAGTAATCCATGGGAATGTCCAAGAAGATAGCACAGGGCTATGGAACTGTACTACAAAGTTGTACATATCCCCAAAATTTGTGCCTCGTACTAGCTCATGGCGATATAATTATGGATCATAAAAAAAAACCAGAAAAGTGGTAGATTTCCACGAGAATGTACAACAAAGTTGTACACATAATTATATATGTGCAGGAAGAATGTACACACAAGTTGTACCAATGGCAGATACCATTCGCATAATTGCCGCATAATAGTGATGTTCTGTTCTACGTTACGGTAATGCAACGCGAAGAATCCCACGGTCATTCTTTGTGTTCCAGCAACATATAAGAAACCTATTCTGCTCTACGCTCACGCAAAGAAATCACGTGGAATGTGTACTAGGAATTTCCCATACCAAATTTGGCAGTTTTCTCCCAAATTTGAATGGAATGTAGCAGATTTGTACGCATTTTCTTTGCGTGTGCCACAACGTAGAGACTCTCATCTCCTCGTAGAAATCTGGACTCAACACACACGAAGCTGTAGACTCTAATGCAGACGCCTGTTCTCTACGTGATTTCTCAATGTTTCACGCAGGCCAGAGCCTCACTAATGACCTGCTTTCACCCGAATAATTACGCACATCACTCAAGGAAATTGTCCGCGTTATTCTGTGGGGACAGTATAATACAGTTGAATCTGTCTAAACCGTTTCTTCAGAATTCCCAAACTCCATTGCAGCGTATTCCTTGCACTCGAAAACACCGCCATTCCGGCAACAGGCTCTCAGCTGCACCAAATAAATAACTTTGCCAATATTTCGCCCATTGGGCATCATCAGCGCTGATGATGCCCAATGGGCGAAATATTGGCAAAGTTATTTATTTGGTGCAGCTGAGAGCCTGTTGCCGGAATGGCGGTGTTTTCTGTCTAAACCGACCTACAAATGTGGTCCCCTTGTACAGGTCGCCGTTTTTATCCAACGCCATTTGACTGGAAGCAACATCCCTTAGGTTGTAGTGTTGTGTCTACTTGTGGTCCACTGGTACAGATGGTGGCCCTATCAGGGTAGTGGTGGTGGCGTGTGTGTGTGCGTGGGGGGGGGGGGGGTACTCAGTCGTCGGCAATGGAATACGGAATCATGCTCAGGTACGGTGGCGACACCTGGCGCACTGCAGTCTCAGGACACCGTACTCAAGAACGATTCCATAGGGCCATCGGCCTTTGATACTGTATGCATGTAGTGTACCCATTGTCGGCTATTAGTTAATAACGTGCTTCATGATGGGCCTCATTCCCACTCATTGGTCTTTTGTCTCCAGTATCTGGACAAAGCGGGGCACCCATCTAAGCACATACGAAATTAATGTTCTTTCAGGGTACACAGAGGGCTGCATTCGAGAAAAACCCCTGTGCATACGTCCATGTAAAAATGATAAAAGACATTTTTAGGGACTGTGCATGTGACGATATTCTGTTCCTTAGTTTTAAAACTTCACACACGCACACATAAACAGTGTAACGTCGCGTTCGAATAACTAAAGATGCACAACTGCACAACTAAAATAAAAGCTTACGAATATCATCTTCCAATTCTCTACTGCCGCTTGGCATCCTGGCAAGAGAACAGCTACCGATTCAACAAACAAGTTGACAACTGCTTCTTGAGCTCGGGTTCCAGGTGCAGTTTGAATTCGGAAATGTCTAAACAAAGGATTACTTTGCACAAGTTTGCAGGTAACTTTGCAAGAGCTTCAACGAGGATCAATAGACTACTAAATGCTCGAGGAGGATCTAGGATCTGATCTTCTTAGCTTTCTTCCTCCTCTTCTTCTTTCTCGCTCAAGAATATTTTTTGGTGTGAGTTCAAACTCCCAGTGCTAGTGCCAGTCCAAAATGGCAAAAGCAAAAAACTGACACAGAAGTCATGAGTCATACAATGCAGTCCTTACGTCAGCCAAGTTAGTTTGAAATGAAAGAGCGATTTTGTTTTTGTTGGTCCTGTCGCTGTGTAGTGCGTGACCGTACAGTGCGAGATAGCTCGATTTAGCGGCATCCGGCAGACAACGATAACCAGGATAACGATGTTTGTGAAGCGGTGAAGCAGAATTATTTCAAAGAGAACATCACTCCGTAGCTCCATTCAATACATTACTGGTATCCTTTTTGAAGGATCTCAATGTGAAGGGAGTCTCTTTGTAAGGTTAGGTACTTATACTACTATTGATTCAGTGCTGTATCATGTAGCCCTAGCAGATTCAACGTGGCAGTCCTAAAAGGTAGTGACTAGTGTTGCTACTGCTGATCGTGGGCGCTAGCGTTACCAAGAGTCGCTAGACGTCTAAAATAGTACACATGGCAGACTTTGGCTTCATCAGGAAAGCTGTTCAGGTGCCTCTACACGTACGTATAATTATAAGCTCTCGCACTCCAAACACTGCACTGAACACTTTTTTTAAAGTGTTTCCAGAAACGTACAAATTACTACAATACTACACTTTCATGAGTTTTACCAAGAGAACAGTTTGTTATGCTAGTATCAAGAGTACATAACCCCTAGCCTGAGTATGCAACTCTTCATATGGGCCGGGTCTGGGCGTGCTGCCTGCATTACGTAGCCACGAACTGTGGGCCATGGCGTCGTTATTGATCTGCTACAGTTTCCTGCTTCCAAATCCGCTTTCCTCGGAGACTTCGGGTATATGCTGGGTGTTGTATGCCGGTGATGAATCATGCACAGGCATTGCCTTTGACCTTACCGTACTGCGGCACGTGGAATCGTTGAGTCTAAACGGTAGCAACACTGTAATCCAGACAGCTTGATTGTCATGTCGCTACGTAATGAAGGCGCCACGCCGCACAGGGCATACATAGCTCGGAGATCAGAGTTGCACACTCTTGGGGTCATGCACTTTGGCCAATAACCAGGGAAGTAGAAACCAGGGAGTCGTAAAATACATATGTATCGTACACTCCCTGGTTACTACTCAAGTTTCAAATATAGTTGTACCTTGAACATCAACACCGATGGCAATACATGTGTATATGTAGTGTAGGGGTCATGTCGAAATGGGACCTGGCTCCTGATCAGATGTATGCGGCATATCACTGAAAGTGTGTGTCTTAGTGCTGTACAAAGTCGAGATTTTTCACGAAAGGCTATTCACTCATATTCCAATTCAACGAACGGACGAACGAATAATCTGCTATTCCAGTATACCTAGCAGTGATGTGCTTTGAAAAAATTAATCCGTTCCGCCGCAATGCCTGACTCTACCACTGAGTACAGATTTGGCCATTGGATACTCTTTTTGACCGATTTTAGTTTTGAGAAGAGCATGTAAACATGTCTTTCCGAGTGCCGGCGTGCCGCTGCCGGTTCTTGGTTGAGTTACTGTATTACTTATAAGCAAGGAGCTTAGGCCCTAGTAAAATGCCACTCCCTGGTTCTTAGTGTACTACTTAGAAGTACATGTAGTTTATTTTGCTTTTGTTTTTGGTATGCGAACCGTGAGTTTTTAGGGGTGAAACGGTTACACTTTAAGGTTACAAACGGGTACATGGCTTAACAGGCGGGTTATCGGGTACCCTTTAGTTACTATGCAGTAGCCTTCCGCGTCTCGTGCTCGGAGGACATGCGAAGTCATGCAAGTACACTACATTGTGACAAGCACCGTACGCGCTGCATGCGAAAGAGTCAAAATTTGTCATATGAAGCAGGGTCGAACAACCAACAACACATTAAAGCTGTACAACGAACTGTACGACTGTCCAAGCCAGCTACTAACACCGTAACACATCGCCGTGCACGACTAACGGGTACTCGTTTGCTAACGGGTCAGCAGCTAAACAGACGAGTGCATGGGTACCCAGATCAGTAGCCTTCACCCCTTTTTGTTTTCCTATGCTCTCACATTCTGATCACGGTGCAGGTGATAGCAATCGTTCAAGTTGCACTTTTGGCTAAACTGGTGCAGGACCTGATCGTACAGGATGCTGTGGGCCGGTAATGTACCACAGCGTGTCTCTATCTGCTGTGACATTGTCATGTGACCCAGGTGTTGATTGCTGCTAGCCAAGCATCTAATACATGTACAGCAAAACCTGTCAAGCCCACGACCACTCTGATAAGGCAACCACCTGTCCAAGAAGACCACTGGAACCAGGACCAAGGGATGCTATTTCCAATCAAATGAACCTGGATAAGGAGACCACCTGGTAACAGAGACCAGATTTTGAAAGTCCCTTGAGCGGTCGTCTTAGACAGCTGTTTCACTGTATAGGATAGCTGGCACACCTTGCTGGTCGTTTGGTGAACTCTAAGACTGTCATGTGATGTTTCAATGAATCCTGTATCAGTCTATCTAAGACCTTGCAGTACATATGATTATGGCCGCGAAGATGTTCAGGCAGTAGTAGCAACAAAGAATGGTACCTTTCTGTTGGAATAATAAGACTAACCTGCGTATTCCTGTGTCGTTTGGTCATGCCGCCAGGCCTCTACTCGCGGAGAACCTTGGCTTGCCGTTCTTGGCATGCCTGATGCTCATCGTTACTGTCTTTCTGATGACGTGGCGGAAAGAAGTGACATTGCATGCGGTAAGTTGTTGTGTTGCTCTCAACATGTGCACACGCACGCACGCACATGTGCACACACACACACACACACACACACACACACACACACACACACACACACACACACACACACACACACATCAATGAATATGATGGAATTCTGGAAGCTCCCTCCCTCCTGTCCATGATTGGAGCTTCCACAAGAGAAGAGCTGATGTGCATTTCAGGGTGAGGACTGGTAAGTAAGAGTGGGTGAAAATGGACATTCCAAGGTGACTGCGAACCAGACCCGAGCCTGTTCCCGATCAGGGTTAGGTAATATGATACTGAGGGGTGCTGGACGTGCGGTGTACCACCTATTGATGGTAGTGTACATCACATGAAGCAGTATAGATACAGATTTTCGAGAACTTCTTCACTTCGTGAAAGACAACCCAGTGGCGGAATGGGAAGCTTTTCCAGTCGATCCCGTTTTGTCTGTTCCGCTTGTTTGTGTGGGTGTGGGTGTGGGTGTATGTGTGGGTGTGCATGTGTACATGTACTTGTCTGTGCGTAATAACCGCTTAGATAGTTGAATCGGCACTCGCAGCAATAGTATTAACTTCGGTGGCATCGTGTCGACTTTTCTCCGTGCTGGCAAGCAACTCAGGTACTGTGCTGTGCCATCGACGTATGGATTCATGGCAGTTGACGCAATGCTTTTCGTACTGTATGACATGACATTACTACATGATTGTACACATCCCGGCTACTTTGTTGTTTCCTCAGCTATACAGTACTGTCAGCTCCCAGGGTTCTACAGATTGCCGGCTCAGCCATTGTATTAGGCACAGCACTGAGGCTCGGACTTCTGCCGGGATGCCACATTCGGCCTCGGTGATGGAAGCCATTTTCACGAGAGCAACCCATGGGGAGGGGGCGGTCTTCAGACAATTTTAAAAGTTAGAAACAAAATAGTGCGCCCGGGGAACATGCTGCACTGCAGGTTCTTTTTACTGCTTAGTCTTTGAAGCACACTTGATCCTGGTCGGGTGGGGGAGCCTGGTAAAGACTCAAACCTGACCGGGTCCACCGGTCTTCTATAACCACTGCTCCACGTAGGATTGACATGCTGCCCGCCATTAGTTATGTGCTCGCTGTGCTGTCTCTAGTAGGCATTCTCTAAAGCACACTATCAAGCGATCACCAGCTAGTATTGAAGCTTGTATCTGCTGCACGTATGTTCGGTCCCACGGCTTGCCATGGTAACCGATCCTGCTGTACACGTATTTAGTTTCTCTTTCACACAAAAGGCACGAAGTCAAGTCGCCTCAGGATGATTGCATTGTGCAAGACACTCGGAATTGTGACGAACTCTGTAGACCTCCGTTGTGGCTTTTGTGTGTATTAGTGCTCCGCATTGTTGTGTGTATTAGTGCTCCGCATTATTGTGTTGAGTGCTCTCCACTGGCTAATGGGAACCTCTTTGTAGTCTCTCATACACTAACTCACTCACTCAGTCCTTTTATCCGATTGTTAGTCACGTCCATCCTGCACAGCGGCATTGTTTATCATGGCAATCTCCGGGACTCGGACCTAACCCCTAGAATTGGCGTGCGCCGCCGTGATGCAATGTAGTGTATTGTTGTGTGCCACGCTCTACTCGTACACCTACAGAAGAAGCTGACTTAGCCATAGCTGTTGGTGGACTGGGTATGACAGCAACAGTCTTACTGGTGAGTATGTCGCCAGGCATGGCGGCTATGTGGGCCTTGAACACGCTGTGCCATAGCCAGGCTGGAGGCATGATAACGCTGACTTTCCGTGCCTTCATCCTAGAGGGTGGTGGTATTTCTGGAGAGGTGGAATTTTCTGTTTGACTGTTTTGTAAACCATCCATTTTTCACCGTTGCTCTCGGGATCCCCATCGCACTTTACATGTGTGAGTGGCATAGTCATGGTTCCAGAACTTTGTCATAGTCATTGTTTCAACTGTGTCCCATTCCCAGTTGTGTATGTTTGCTGCCTTTGTTGTCATCTGTGCTGTGTCCACCGTACAGGGCATATGGCTGTACTGCACGGTATGGGATAACTCGGATATTCTCCGGCTGCGTCAGGACACGGCTGAAGATTCAGGCAGCCTGCAAGAAAGTGACGGCAACGAGACTCCCGAGCCACGTCCACCAAGTGCCGCAGTAGATGATCTCCAGCCACCGCCATCACCTCCAGCCAGCATGAGCCGGGCCCAGGCAGCCAGTGATGGAGATTTTGATACAGACTGTGAGCCACCGCCCTACTCACTATCCACCGCTGATAATCAGCCACTGCTAGCAAACACTTGAGATTATCAATGGTAACACCGTGCATGTCACTGGTGAGTGCAAGGAATGCCGCGTGCATCCATTCTACTCTGCTCCAAGTCAGCAATCGGCTATGATAGCGCTGTGTCATCCTGGGCCGTGGGTGGGCTAGAAAAGGCAGTAGACATCTTCTCTGTGTGAAGTCATGCGTGCAAAATGTACCTTGTACCTGGCACCGGACGCTTTCGTGTGCTGGCGAGATTCAACCACTGGACAAGTTTCATTTTCACCAGGAGCAATATCGGGCTACGAATAGTACTTCAAAGTAGTACAACTGCCGCACTACTACCCTGTCATGCAGGCATGCAGGAGTAGACATTAGCCTATGCAGTGTTCTCAATTTCACGACGGGCTCAGTCTAAGAAGTGACACTTCATACTTCAGAATCACAGCAGCTAGGTCGATGACCCTATATAGAACATCTCTGTTACTGTATTTTGAGGTATTTGAATCTTGAGCAGTCCATCACCTGCTTCCGATGATACTTCTCTGGCGGTTTGAGCTCCTACTGATTTCCATAGTTACTGTTCTATTCAATTGCCATCTGCTTCAGTATAGTCACCGATTTCCATATCGAAGGGAAGAAACCCCTGACTGTTCCATTCTGATATAATTACACACATTCACACCTCGTTTATCCGGGCGGTCCTGGATCGGGCACTGCCCGTAACTTTGAAATGTCCGTAACTCCAAATCACATACTGAAGTACATTTTGATTGGGAAAGGCCATAGATATGTCGAAGTACATTTTGATGGGGAAAGGCCATAGATATTTCATGTTACGTCACTATTTCCACAGAAAGTGACAAAAGAGTAGTAGTATTTCCACTTAAACTCGCCCAAAGGGTGCCCGGTGGACCAAAGTGCCCGTAACTTCAGCCTGGGTCCGGATAACCAATGTATGAGTGTATTCTGAAAGGAAGTTTTCAGCTAGCTAGCTTTCCAAGCACTCAAATACCACGCCGCGCACATGACCCGGTGTGTGTGTGGGGGTAATATGGGAGGAGATGGTGGGCAGGCTGAGCTAGCACGGTTGCCCTGGCCAAATCTCACTTGCATCCAGCCGTGTACCATTTCAATGTGTAGATAATCAAGGTCACAGTACACAGCGTCAAGAACATTTTTTGACAAAGTAACTCGGGGAGACGTCAGCACACACTACAAATTGCAGACGCCACTGAAAGCTCAGGACAAGGACTCCCGACACATGACAACAGCATAGTACACCCTCACCCTGAACAACACAAACTAACCAACTACATGTACCACAAGACAACACTCTGCTTGTTCTCGACGCATGGATAGCGAATACATGCCAAAAGGTAAATGTTGCTGGTAGCAAAGTTGAAGCAATTAACCAGGCATCAGGAGTTATCCAGTTGGTTCAATTGAACGGCTAACACATTCAATGCAAATAGGGAAACTTCAGAACTTTGGAATTGAAACCATACCATGCCGGCATGTCCTATGGGTACATACCACTGTAGATAATTATTATTTGTCCATTCACAGTTGATCTGGCAAAAAATAGCATATTTAGAATAAATTTGTAGGCAACAACATAGAAAACAACAGACAAGATGCAGCAAGTTTAGAGTCAATTTGATTCCTGTGCATTCCTCTACACTTGCGCAGGCGGGATTATTTCAGAGTGTAGAAGTATTCAGTGGTGTCGGTGATGTACAAATGGCTGTGCACAGCATGCAGAGCTGTACCAGTATGTATGCAGCAGTACCCTACGCATGCAGTCTAGCTGCACTACGCGCGGCAAGCAACTGATGTTGTTTGCTATGGTAACGTCTTCTCCCACAGCACCGTTCAAATGGTAAGCACACACAAGCACGCACTCATGGACAAACAAAGAAATTGGCCAGCTTCAAGCACACATCTTGACTTGATCACTCCTCAGAAAGAAGCTCATCATCGTCATCGTCGTCCGTGGCATGTTGGACCGTTTGCGCGGCACCCAAGCGGCTGAATGAAAAGCCTCCAGCTCCTCCGCCTCCACGTCGCTTGATGGCAAAGAAGACGACTACTCCGATGACAGCAATGCCGGCAATAACCGCAAAGGCAATACCAACTTCTGCACCGACTGACATGTGTCCTCCTGGCAGAGAAAGACAAGTACAACAAAAAGTTACATTCACATCTGGTCATTGCTAATCCCATGAGAAAAAGTTTGAATCATAACTCAACTGTTGCTTTGTGACCACTGGACGGATGACATCACAATGACATCGTGCATGCTGTATATCGTGTTCCTACCGGGACACCATACAACCTACAGCTATCAACTGGTGTCAGCTCTTGCATGTATGTTTGGATTGCCGCCACAACCTTAATGGATACTTGCACATGGGGGGGGGGGGGGGGGGGCCCTAAAAGTACTGTTGACGCACACACCCAGCCACAATACTGTAGTTATAATATTGTAAGCAACGCGAGAGACGCCCGCATGAATACCAAGCCTTACCATGTGACGCAGAATTGTGATGTGCGTTCGCAGAGTTTCCAGTTGGCAGCACCGTTGGAGAAGTGTAGTTGACTGCAACGAATAAAGAAGATTGCAGTGTCAATGTACATGCAAGGTACGGTGGCACAAAATCAAACTTCCCGGATTCAGGCCCAGTGCATGCAACCAAAATCATTTGTGTGCTCAGCAACATTTCAATGATTCCACTGGCGACCCATTCCCATGTCATGAAACATAGTCAATCTATACGCCGGGGATATTCATGATTGGAGCTGATCAACTGGCTTGCCAAAAGATTACAGTAAGTTTTGTACTTCAAGTACTGATGTCCAGTGAAATAGAATCAGCAGTCCCGGTGGTAATGCAACATGACCATAGACCTCTTCTACAGTGCGGCTCAATGATATCCAGCGCCGTGCGTCAGCACACAGCAGTAGGCACCCTGCGTAGTTAGAACACAGTGCTGTACTCTGCTGCAGGGGCGCTAAATGCAGTTAGCCACGCGAGGCCACATGATACAGATTGTCAAGCAGGCAGCGTCTCCCTTACACACGGCGACGGTGACTTCACACACAAACGAGTGCGGTTCGTCGCAGCTGCGGTCATACCACATACTGTCGCTGGAGTGGATGGCAACGCAGTCCTCGTTCTTGTAGTTGTTGGGCTGACTTGGCCCCCAGTTGCTGTAGCGTGTCCGGCTCAGAGGCGTGCCATCTGCCCAGCGCCAGTAGCGTTCACGGTCCTGGTCGGAAAGGCCCATCCAGACATACTCCGACACATCTCCACGGGTGACCCTAGCAACAACACAATGGAAAAGAATGACTTCAATTGTCACTTATAACTTCGTTGCAGTGCTTCACTGCCCATGTAAAATAACTCTGCATGGAAATCAAAATGGAGAGAGATAGATAGATAGAGAGAGAGATGTGGCATACCTCCAAGTATGATGATGATAATGATGCAGCAATATGCCCCCCCCCCCCCCACACACGTGTCACAGTGTGGCAAATTTGAGTTCCTTGTTTCACATGCACATACGGTAAATGGTCACATGTGGGGAAATGGTCACATAGGGAGGATGGTCCCATATGGGGCAATGGCCACGTAAGGGGGAGTGGTCACATACTAGTTTGGGGAAATGGGCACATATGGGGGAATAGACACATAATAGGAGAATAGGCACATGATTATGGGGTTGAAATGGTCACATATGGGGAATGAGCACCTATTATCCCACATTATGGGAAAATGGGCACATATGAGTGGTGGTCACATACGGGGAATGGTCACATACGGGGAATAGTCACATGCGGGGGGGGGGGGGGGGGGGGAATAATCACATACGGGGGAATGGTCACATACGGGGGAATGGTCACATATGGTGAAATGGTCACATACAGCGAAACAGTTCCAGGTCACAGTAGTATTGCCCTATTGGAAAGGCTTCCTGTCTGAAGCCTTTCCATACTGGTACTCGATGTTCCAGTTTTGTGACACGAGAATGGCACGAGAATTAGTGTACCGCTGAGTGTACCGCTATACACGTGGTCGACACGTAGTCGATACTTTGTTGATACTTTTTTGACACGTGACCCCGTCAACGGTCTGCTTTGTGCCAATGCCACTCGGTAAACACCGATGTCGCGTACGACAAAGACGACTATCCCGTACGCGAAATAGTTGAGAACTGCATGACGTGGACCTGACGGCAAGGACAACTGCGAGGAGGCCCCTTTCGGTACCCCTGACGGGAAGGAGAACTGCAGAAGTCGACGAAGTCGAACGAGGAGGCCCCTTTCCGTACCCCGTACTGCAAAGTGCCAGTGATGGATGCCTTTTGCACCTGGAACGACCCCTTAAACGCTGTCGCGGCGACTATTCCGTACGCGAAATAGTCGAGAACTGCTGACGTGGACCTTTTGCACCTGGAACGGCCCCGTAAACGCTGTCGTGTCGGCGGAGTGAATGTGCAGGGTGAAAAGAATTGCTGCAAAGACGTCCCCTCTAGGCCTTTGGAGACATCGTGGGAACTCCTTCCGGTACTATACAAACTGCTGACGTGGCCGTGGACATGTACCTGGAAACATGGTGGGACTTCATGTACATGGATACATGGTGGGAATTCCTTCCGGCACCCCCGTACCGCAAAGCCAACGGTGAAGAAGGAGAAGTGCAGACGTGCAGGAAGACGAACGAGGAGGAACCAGGACGAGCGAGCAATGGCAGGACTAGCTGGACCGTAAGTAATAGCTGAATTGTGCATGACAACTTGACATCCATGCGGCACTCGCCACTTGCCACTGCATATTTCTTGTCCACTAACAATGTCTCTCCTCTGCCCCCTGTGTGTCCACGGCCCTGTTGCTGAACTGGCCCGATCAATCGAATGTCTTCCGCAACTGGAACGGCCCAGTAAACGCTGTCGCGTCGGCGACTGAATGCGCAGGAGGGAAAATATTGCTGCGAAGACGTCTCCTCTAGACCATGGTAAGGCAACCCATTGATATGTTGCCAGTTACCTTCTACTAACACGTTATCAGGTGGAGAGTGTCTTGTACTCACGTTATCACGTCGAGAGCGTATTGTAGTAACTCTCTCTAGTCCTGTACTTCATTACGTTTAAGGTGTACGTATAACTTCTCAAAAAAATGTAATGGTCTACAGTCGTGTCGGAAGGGTACGGTGGGACTGTAGACCTGTTACCTTCTAACACGTTATCACTATATCAGGTCGAGAGCGTATTGTAGTCACTCTCTCTATTCCTGTACTTCATTACGTTTCAGGTGTACGTATAACTTTTCCAACAAAATTAATGGTTCACGTCTTCAGATAGAGAGCGTATTGCACCCACTGTCTAGTCTGTAGTGCATTGAGATTTTGTTGATCGCACATGAAAATGGATACACAGACAAAGCAGGCCAAGTACATGGCGAGATGTCGCCAGAAGAACGTCTTCAGATAGAGAGCGTATAAAGCAGGCCAAGTACATGAGAGAGTGGACGATGTGCGGATCGACACGGCCTGCGGGTACTTCATTAAAGTTACCCGTGACATAACTAGGATAAAAGTTAATCACTGCAAAGACATTGCCAAGTATGTGAGCACTTTGGACTTGACAGAAGAGTGCACGGGCGACGTTGACAAAACATACCGCGGTGACTGTCACCATCATGACCGCAGGGCACATCGCACGCAGCATCGCAGATCGTGTCGAGTTGCGCATCATAATATTGCAAAATTGCTCCTGTGCATGCAAGTGGATTTCATTGCACTTCTCAGTTTGGGAAATGCTCGATTATGACAATTCTGCATGTGAGTGCACTAGCCCTGAACATACATGTAGGTGACCCATTTGTGGTGTCTCATAGCTAGCTAGCCCTTTCCCAAAGATGCTCGCCACTTTTTTTCGGAACTTTTCGTTTTTTAGGAAGAAATCGCAACTTTCGCAACTTTCTTCATTTTCCGGAACTATTTCGCAACTTCTCCGTAACCTTGGCGCAATTGGCCCATGGCATGGGGTCAAAAGGTCAAGTCACCGACTACATGTTGCATTGTTGGACAAATACATACTCGTGCTCGCTCATTTCTCGCCTGCCTTCAGGCTCATTTCTGAGAATCAGTAGATCAACGGTAGTTACGATAATTATGTGCATTCCCTTTTCCGTGCACTGTAATGATGTTCATGTACATGTAGGATACATGCAACAGGCTACTGGCAATGTGTAAAGTGGTGGTTCACAGCAGGAAGGGGTGTACGAGTTTGCTGTCGCAGCATCGCTGCATTTCTGCTATTTCTGCTCCCTGTTTTGTAGGTTTTGCACAAGAACTCTCCAATTTTGAGTTAGTCAATTTTGAGTTGCGATATTGGCAACTTTTGAGCTTTTTCTGAAAATATGGATGCGATTTCAGCAACTAGCACTTGTTTTGGCATGGTTGCGAAAAGCATAAGTTGCGAAAAACTATGGCATCTTTGGGAAAGGGCTACTCATAGCCTACCTCACGACCTTCTGCTTTCTTTCTTCATCACTTGTATCTTGCAGGTATATCATCCCGTGACGACCACATTGAAGTCTGAATTTGAAGTGTGAAGATGCTTCAGCAACCACATCGTATTTTTCCATTGCTTTCATTGTGCTTCTACTGTGCATGTGTGTAACTTGTGGGGTAAACATGTGATGACATTGTATGCTGGCGAAACGGTCAGATGTTGTCCATGCGTCTAACGTACACCTGCATGTTCTGCATTGAAAAGGATTTGCCACTTGCAATCCTGGGACGAGTATCAGGTCAGCTTTGTCCTGTGTGGGCTGTATCAGATTGCTGTTCACTTCTCTATCTGTTGGATGTGTGACTTTCTGCAAGTTTCTGGTGTATAATGGCCACTTCCTTGCTTGTCACTTTGTATGATATTACATTCTGTATTCGCTGCTTCCATGGCGTGGTCTGCAAACTGCAATCCTTGGGCAAATGTCATGTTTGCTATGTTGTGCTTTGGCCGTCAGCTTGTCTACACGCTGTAGTTGAATTATTTTTGTTTCACAACTGACTTCCTCCAGTACGGTGGCCATTGCTTTGCATGGCATTATATATGAAGAATTTCCTGTTTGTGTCGTGTGCATGTGCGTATGTGTGCGTGGCCACGTGTGTGTGCCGTGTGCATACGCATGTTTGTGTATCTGTGTGCGGGGTAGCGAGGCGGAGAGGGCTGGTATGTATCAGTGCGTTATTGCAGTCTCATAGCTACATACAGTACATCGCGCGCGTGGTCATCATGTTAACCTTCGGGGTTGGGGTGGGGAGGGAACGGAAAAAGAACTGAAATTATCCATATAAAACCGCTCTGTGAGCGGTTCTGAAAAACCTTTACTGGTACTGCCCCGTCGTAAAAGTAAGAAATTAGAACTGGCCCATTGTTCCCCCAAATGCGAACTGATCCACCTAAATCGCGAATGACGGGACCCGAACGCACCAGTAGCACGAGGTTCCTACCTGTGGATGCAGATGGGGACGTTGGTCCGGACCATAGGCCATGTACTGTACTAGCGGTAGGTGGTGTTACCCTATGATGATTGCTGTCCTGTGCCCTCCCGACCTTGTGCTACTGGTGCGTTCGGGTCCCGTCATTCGCGATTTAGGTGGATCAGTTCGCATTTGGGGGAACAATGGGCCAGTTCTAATTTCTTACTTTTACGACGGGGCAGTACCAGTAAAGGTTTTTCAGAACCGCTCACAGAGCGGTTTTATATGGATAATAGTACAGTAGATATTGGTTATAACGTGCCCTTCTGATTTTTCACATTTTATCACTATAACCGGTATATCACTACAGGCGATTTTCAACTGCGCGCTTCATACATACACATTATACACGTGTGGGTACTCGATCGCGCTAATGTAGCGTACTGATACGTGGTGGATGCTACTGCACCTTCTCCAGTCTAGAGTGAAGAACTTCTTGGCCCAAAGGCATCATCCAGGAAGCACCAGACCAGAATACCCTATGACAACACACATGTGGCTCCAAGTCGAGACATCAGTGCCTCACACTCGTGTGTTGCTATCACTATAGACGATAATTTTTCTGCACAAAGAGGTGTTTTGAATGGTGATTCTGTATCCTTATAGCCGATTTATCGCTATATACGATATATTGGTTATAATGATAGTTTGACTGGCTTTTTCTGGTTTTGCTTTTGATATTTTCATTTTGTATCAATATAGCCGGTTTATCACTATGTCCGATGACTTTATAACCGATATCCACTGTAATTACATTGATGCTAGCAGCAGTGCATTATAGCAGGGAGCACATACTAAACCCCAAGCTCCACTCAATGGAGAGCAGAATCCATGTGGATTCTGGCTATGGGTGATACTGGCCATTGATGATCCACTATTTCGTTTTGGATGGATTGGATGGATTGGTGCAACTTTTAATAGGGACTACTAGTAAGTTTTACCGCCAGGCCTTGCACAAAAGAAAGAAGTTGCTGAGAGCTTTCCCTTTGCCCGTGTGTGAGGATGGGCGAAGGTGAGGAATATGATTGTCATCAATACACACGAACTACTATTATGCTTACATTCCGGTCACAAACTTCTGCTCTGCTTTGCTGTTGACAATGAGCAAGTCACCACCTTGCTGTGTGCAGTTGATGTATGCCTCGTCGTAACCCATACGCACATCACTGAACTCTCTGTAGCAGGATGAACCAAACTTCTTCCAGCCAGGGTTGCAGTTCAGATCTATGGCCACACAAACACGCACATGCAAACACATGTAAACAGGCAAACACACACACACACACACACACACACACACACACACACACACACACACACACACACACACACACACACACACACACACACACACACACACTTGCTGCTCTTGCTCACTGCCAAAACTGGTCACGTAGGTCTCCCCGGGAGAGGGGAGAGAGACTCAAAAGGAATCTTGGAAAGATTATTCAATTGGCTATTGAACCACCCAACTGCCGACACCCCCTGAAATCCCCAAACTAGGGTGGACTTGAACTGATCCCACTTATGGGCTCACCACACCTCAGTAAGTGGGTGAGGACAAGGTGCAGAAAAAGGATTGACGGCATCAGGGTATCCGTCCCGGGATCCAACTGCAGTTACCCCTGCCCCCAGTGAAGGTAATACTTGGTACTAGTGTGGGTGGCTAAATCAGAATGGATCTGAAATAAGCTTCACTAGCACCATTGATTACACAAGAGTTTAACAGGTATGTACACTTCAAATAGAAAGTATATGAACCCTGGAACCAACAAAGGTGGTAGGTACAACAATACACCTTCAAGCAGCCGTGCCCGTTGGCAACAGACCCAACACTATCTGGCATAAGTGTACCCACCAACCGAACTAGCTGGCACACACACACACACACACACACACACACACACACACACACACACACACACACACACACACACACACACATGCATGCATATGTACACAATACACACACGCGTACCCACACACACCCACGCATGCACACACACACACACACACACACACACACACACACACACACACACACGCCACACGGAAGGCTATGGGCACGTGATAATCATAGCCAGCCAGAGAAGGCTGCACACTTACATCAAAACAAGTTGTTCTTGAAAGAGTACCATCGCCTTACCGGTATACGGCTAGATAAAATGAGAAAACCAATGCCGTTACAACAAACACTTACTGGCAAATGGAGGCGGAGAGGTGGGCTGACCAGCACCACTTGGAATAACTGAACAAGTATAACGCCGACGATGAAGACAACAGTAGCAACAGCAACAGCGATGGTGATGATGACGACGACAGCAAGAACAACAACAGACAGTCAGAACAACATCAAGAGTTAGGAAAGATTTGGCAAAAAGAAAAGAAAAACTGCAAGTGGATGCCATCAAATTCTTCCCCGTCGTGCTTTTTGTACAATCAGCAGCTACTGCCATGCAATACAAACATTCAACTTAGTACACAGTTTGCAGGCATAGGCTAGAGGCAATTACCATAGCATTGGGGGTATGTACTCGTACATTGGTGTCAAGTGAAGTATGACCTCATGCCAAGTGAAGTATGACCTCATGCCAAGTGAAGTATGACCTCATGCTGTCGAGAACGGTAGGGGAAGACAGACTCATCAGACTCATTCTCATACCACAGTTTCCTGTCTAAAAACTTCACCTTCAACCATAATCAAAAACTTGCCAAACACCACCGTCTGTGTGTGCGTGCGTGCGTGCATCATGCAAGCGCGGATCATGCGGAATGCAATGATGCAACTACAAGAAAACAAATCTCGGCAGCTAGCAACGAGTGCATTCAGAGAAGAAGCAAACAAGTTCAGATTTAAGTAGTTTGTGATGAGCAGCAGAGACAAACATGCAGGAGAGTATAATTATATGATGAGATGGAGGCGACATTGGGAATACTCGGATTCACAATGTACGCGTGCCATCAGCTGGGTAATCAGAGTCGTCGTTGGACATCGTAAGTAGTCTTCATGATGTGGTGACATTCATGACATTCCCGACAACGAAAGTTATCTTACCCACTCTGCGATACGCTCACGGGCCTTCTCTGCTGCTTTGCGATTTGCCCGCCTAGGCTGGAACATGGTTGGAGCAGCTTCGTCCGCCATTGCCTGTTCCATAGCCGTCGCCGGTGCCGGGCGGTGTTCCATATCACCAGCCTCCCCTGCTCCGACGTCATCCACAACGTGCAGCTCGAGCGGATAGAGCTTGCTGATCGGTCTCGACAACACTGCCTTCGATTTAGCCGTCTTCAGCTTGACAGCTCTGACTTGGCCATCGACTCCAGGTAAGATTTCTACCACTCTGCCGAGTCTCCAACTTCCACGTGGCTGGCCGGTCTCTTGGATTACGACCACTTCTCCGACTGTTGGTGTCCGAGAGATGCTACTCCGTGACTGTCGGTGTTGACTCATTGATGCTTCGCGCAGAGCAGGGAGGTACTCATCTTCCCACACCTTCCATGCTACATCCAGTTGTATCTGTTGCCGTTTCCACATCCTCGTGACCTTGGCTGCTGGTGTCTCCGGACCGTCCTCCTCGTCGCTGTCCGTCTGAAAACCGGTTGCCGTTCTTCCTCCACAGAGGAAATGTGACGGTGTCAGGGGTGAGAATGAGGACACATCGTCGTCGTCAACACATGTGAGCGGCCTCGTATTGATCATGCCTTCCACTTCGGCTGTCAGGGTTGCGAGCTGGTCTAGAGTCAGGAGGCACCTTCCAAGACTCTTCCTCAAGGCTCTCTTGACAATGCTCACCAGCCTCTCGTACACACCGCCCTTCCATGGCGCAAACTCTGTTGTGAAGCTCCATTCGATATTCTCCGTTGAGAGATACGATAGCAGGTCTGGGTTGGCAAGAATCAGCTTCAGATGATCGTCTAGGACAGAGCGTACCAACTTGAACTGGGGTGCGTTGTCACACACAATAGACTTTGGCTTGCCTCGTCTCGCTGCGAACCGTCTCATGCTGTTCAAGAAGGCTGCTGCAGATAGGCCAGAGACTATGTCCAGGTGTACAGCTCGTGTGGTTAGGCAGGTTACTAGGTTGATCCATACCTTGCCTTTCTCCGTGCCGGTGCGGATCAATAGCGGTCCGAGGTAGTCAAGACCAACGTACGTGAATGGAAGTGCTCTGGTAATCCGTTCCTTGGGCCATGGGGGCATGGACGGCAACTTGAACGGACGCCCTTCGTGTCTTCGGCAAACCGAGCACTGATCCAGGATACGGCGAACGATAGCACGGCCACGTATGATCCAGAACTCTTGCCTTGTCTGGGCCAGGGTGTGTCGAACACCTGCATGCAGAAGCCGTCCATGGACTTCGCTGATGACATGCTTCGTGAACGCGTGATACGTTGGTAGCAGCTTCGGTAGTTTCTGGTCAGTTGGTAGTTCAGCGTTGCTCAGTCTTCCGGCGCATCGCAGTATGCCGTTGTCGTCGATCACAACACCAAGGTTAGCAACTGAACTGTGCTTGGCATTGGTCTTGATAGCTTTGAAGATGTCAGGGAAGGCCTCGCGTTGTACCATTCGAGTCCACCAATCTCGCGCAGCCTGTATGTCTTGTGACACGATGCCGTAGCTGTTGCTGATCTGAGAGAGACGTGGTGAGTTGGGACGCAGTTTCTTCAGGAACTTCATGCACAGAGCAGTGATTCTCAGGACCTTCCTCAAACTGCTTGCTCTCGTAAGCACGCTGCCGAGACCAGATGGAATGGTGTGTGGACTAGGTTGGTCAGTAGCACGATCGCTGCCACCAGTCACCAGGCTTGCGATATGAAGCGTTGGTGCTTGCTCCTCCTTGCTGGCTAGGTCGGATTCGTCAGCTGAGAGTGTGAGGTCCTCGTCTGGCCAGTGATCTGATGTGGTACGTAACCAGTCCGGACCGTGCCACCATGACTCCTGAAGATCGGCCACCAAACCGCCTCGGCTAGCGACATCAGCAGGGTTGCACTCTCCAGGAACATGGCGGAAGGACAAGAACTCGCCGCAAGTACGAATCTCTGACACACGGTTGGCCACGAATACGGACAGTGGCTTGGATGATTTGATCCAATGCAGAACACAACGCGCGTCCGTCCATAGGGTGATGCTGGTAAGTGGGAGATCGAGTTCATCTTTGCAGAATCGGGCTGCCCGTGAACCAATCGTCACGCCAAGTAGTTCCAGCCGTGGCAGGGTGAGACCGTTAGGCTTGCCGTCCTTGGACTTCAGCGGTGCAAGACGTGTCTTGCCGAAGAGGAGCTCACAGGTTGTCATCATGGCTATGGTTGTGCGGAGGTAGACCACAGTTGCAAAGCCCAGTTGTGACGCATCGGTGAAGACGTGTAGCTGGTAGGTAGCATCGGTTCCATTAGCAATTGGGTTGATTTGCCTGGGGAACGATAACGAGCTGACCTCGCTCGAGGCTGCATGGAGGGTCAGCCAGGTGTCCAGTAGGTGTCCAGTCAAGACAGTGTCCCAGTCCATACCAGCTTGCCACAGAGAGCGTAAGAAGACCTTGATACGAAATGTGACCGGAGCAACCAGTCCCAATGGATCGTACAATGATGCAGCATACTTCAGGACAGCGCGCTTAGTCCAAACCGGGTCGGTGCTGGGTTGGGTTCGAGGACAAGCGAGCTGTAGACTGTCATCCTTGGTGTGCCACGTGATTCCAAGAACGTTGACACTGTCGCCCTGTGCCCTTTCCTTGGCATCCATAGCTGTCGTAGCGTGGCTGTTGTTAGATGCCCACTCACGTAGCCGCATGGACGAGCGAGAGAATACGGATGTAGTTCGGTTGCACATATCGTACCCTTCTTCCGGGGTGTCGACACCGATGAATACGTTATCCACGTAGATATTGCGGGACACTAAGCGACCGACATCCGCATCTTCATCATTTGCTAGATGGTGTTGGATTGTTGCCGCTAGCAGAAATGGACTGCTCACGATGCCGAACGGTACTCTCCGAAACCGATAGACCGCGATGTTGTCCGGAGTTGCTGTGGGATTAGTTGGATCGCGATACCATAGGAAGCGTGTCACGTCCCGGTCTGGCGGCCAGATGTCAAGTTGCAAGAATGCCTTCTCGATATCGGCTACCAGCAGAATGGGTGTGATGCGGAGTCGCATAAGAACTCCGGCAAGGTTGGGGAGCAACACGGGTCCACGTAGCAGACAGTTGTTCAAGCTCTTGTTGTGACGTCGTGCCTTGGCCGAGGCATCATAAACGACACGCAACTTGGTCGTCGTCTTCGTTGGAGTTAGAACTGGCTGGTGGGGTAGATAATGGAGTTGCGGACCAGTGACAGAATCCGGTGTCATCTGCTCAATGATGCCCATGTCGGCTTGCTGCTGGATCACCTTGTCATACTGCTCAAGTAGTGACGAGTCGGTGCTTAGCCGCCGCGATAGAGTCCGGAACCGGCCCAACGTCAATCCGTAGTTGTCCGGGAGAAACTGCTGCTGGCCGTTCCATGGCCAGCGAACGATGTAGCGATTATCGGTGCACTCCACTGTTGAGTGGAAATGTTGCAAGGCTACGTCATCGTCTTTCACGGGAGACGGGTGCTCTATCCCAAGCGTTTCGAGGCTCCACAAATCCGGAATGGACTGCTTAAGAGGCAGAACCTCCTCGTGTGAAACGTCGGCTGCGGCTGCGATCAGAGTGGTTGCCGGTAGGGCAGTGGTGGGAGAGGTGTCCGTCTTGCCGGTGACCACGTAGCCGAGGGAGGTTGGCAGAAGGTTGAGGCCTGATGGTAGAGGTTGCACATGGCCCTGCACGAAGTCCCACAGATAATCAGACCCAATGAGTATGTCGATCTTTAGCCGTTCATCTTCGGCGTTAATCGCATCAGCTAACTGGTTGTCGTGTTGCAGTTGCTGCAAGGTCGTGATGTCGGGGTGTGCAACCGCAGGACGGAGAACCGGGTTTGTGATGTGCGGTAAGACGCTGCCTTCGATGGCCTTCGTTGTACCATCCTTGAGATGAATGAACAGGTCGGAGATCGGTACCTGTGCTGTGTGGTGTTTGGTGGCACCAAAGGTTGACACGGACAGCCATTCATGGCGAGTATGGCGCAGGGAGAGCTGCCTTGCCAAAGCCTCCGTGAAGTACGTGCGATGGCTGCCTGAATCAAGAAGAACGCGAGCGGTGGTGATTGTACCATTGTTGCCTTGCACATTCGTTGTGGCGGTTTGGAGTGTGACAGTTGATCCTGTTGCTTGCAGGAGACACGATGACTGGTCCGAAGCAACTGTCTGGTCCGAAGCAACTGCCTGACCTGGAACCTGAGTGGGTGTGCACGTAGCGGTTGTAGTGTCAGAAGCTGCCACCGCTGCCGTGGAAGATGAACCGTCAGCTCGTCGGGTGGAATGCGAACCTACACCAGATGGCTGGCGACTCTGCGAGCAGATGGTATGGTGATGGTGACTTGGGCGCTTGCACATCCGGCAGGTCTGTGTTTGCCGTCGGTAACATTCCTGGCTGCGGTGACCGGAACCCAAGCAAATAAAGCAACGACGTAGCTCCATTAATCGTTGTTTCCTGGCAGCAGAAGATGTGTAGCGTGAGCAATCGTTGTCCATATGTTGGCCATCGCAGAATATGCAACCACGACGGGAACGTTGTGGTCGTCCTTGGGTATCAGGGTGAGCTGCCAGTGCATCCGCTGTGCTAAAGAGTTGCTTTGGCTGCACTCCAACAGCGTCAGGTTTGTTCGGAGGGCCTTGGCCAGTCCGCTGGCGGAGTTGCTCTTGTAGAGTTGTGTACTTGGCCATATACTCTCGTAGAGTGGTTAGTTTCCAGGGCTGGCCGGCGTTGCTGATACCACGCCACTCCTCAAACTTGGTGGCAACCTCGAGTGGAACCTTGCCCCACAGCTTTTGGCACAGGAGACGTTGATCTGCCAACTTCTCTCCCTGTGTTTCCAGCTGTCGAAGGAGACACTCCACAGTTTCGAAACTTCGATGGATCTCCATGGGCCTGTTGGGTGGTGCCGGTAGTGCTTCCAAACGGCTGTACAGGGATGCAATGATGATCTCCGCTGAACCATACTTCGTCTTCAACAGATCCTTGACGGTGGTATAGTTTGCACTTGTCAATGAGATGCCCGCTATGGCCTTCGCCGCATCGCCGGAAAGGCAAGATTTCAGGTATGAGAACTTGCTGACATCCGCAATGGGCTGGTTGTCGATGGAAGACTGGAATCGCTCCCAAAACTCTGGCCACTCAATCACCTTGCCAGAAAAGGACGGTAGAGTCAGCTTTGGCAGCTGGACGTTGAGGCGTGATGGCTGTGGGGCAGTACTGAGGCCAGCTGCCGCGGTTGCAGCGTGGGCTGCCGCTAATGCCATGGCCTGTATCATGTCCGGGGAATTGGTTGGTGTCGGGACAGTTGGCTGGGCCTGTGTTGTATCCGTATGCTGAGCCTGAGCCACAGGGTTCTGAGTAGTAGCACTGATGTCCGTGCCTGTGGACATTGTGCTACACCTTGCCTCCACACCCGTGCTAGGGCTGTCCAGTCTGCCTGCAGCAGATTCCGTGTTGCCCGTGCCTGTTGCCGGCAATTCCTTTGATTCCAGCAGTTCGCCCGTGGGCCTGTCCGTCCCATCACTGTCCACGACCACTACCTCCTGTGTTGTATCGTGCCGGGTGGCCTTCTGGGGTGTTGCTGCCTCTGCAGCAAGCTCCGTCACCACTGGTGAATGTGTCCCTACCCCTCTATAGTCGAGTAGTGCACGTGCGTCCGACACACTTGTGCATTCGTGGTCAAAGCCATCATCCCAGGCTTCCAAATCAATTAGTGCGTCTTCCACACGCTCGTCTGCCTCGCAGTTCTCCAGCAGGGTACCAATCTGCTCGGACAGGTCGTTCACTGTGTCAATCAAGGGTAGGATTTTCTCAACATCACTCTGAAGTGACAACAGACTAACGAATTTCTCCTCCGTTTTACGGAGTTCATGTTCGATCCTCCTCCTTACTCGCGTCACCCTTCCCTTGGCCCTGCCTCGCTTCTTGACTAGGTCGTTGTAAACCACTTGGTCCAGGACGTGAGATGTGCTTTGCTTCTCAGTCGTCTGATCCAAGGACTCCTCTCCATCGTTCGTTGTTGTCTGTTCAACCTCTCCGTCCATCGTAAAAAAACGAAAGTTGTTGGACGCGTTGGTTCCAAATCCTGGTCACAGCACCATGTCGAGAACGGTAGGGGAAGACAGACTCATCAGACTCATTCTCATACCACAGTTTCCTTTCTAAAAACTTCACCTTCAACCATAATCAAAAACTTGCCAAACACCACCGTCTGTGTGTGCGTGCGTGCGTGCATCATGCAAGCGCGGATCATGCGGAATGCAATGATGCAACTACAAGAAAACAAATCTCGGCAGCTAGCAACGAGTGCATTCAGAGAAGAAGCAAACAAGTTCAGATTTAAGTAGTTTGTGATGAGCAGCAGAGACAAACATGCAGGAGAGTATAATTATATGATGAGATGGAGGCGACATTGGGAATACTCGGATTCACAATGTACGCGTGCCATCAGCTGGGTAATCAGAGTCGTCGTTGGACATCGTAAGTAGTCTTCATGATGTGGTGACATTCATGACACATGCCAAGTGAAGTATGACCTCATGCCAAGTGAAGTATGACCTCATGCCAAGTGAAGTATGACCTCATGCCAAGTGAAGTATGACCTCATGCCATGGATGCATGGTTCAGCTCCAGGAGCCGCGACATGGCCCGGTTAGTAACGGTTCGTAATCTGGACACCAGGCTGTGCAGTGAGCGGCAACAGTCCACGTCTCTCAAGACGTTGCATTCCACCCCTCTAGCACAGTACGGTGACTATTGTATCTATTTGAATTTTCAAACGAAACGGACCATATAGATCCAATGACAAGGCAGCCAAGAAGGTCCGAGTAACCCAGGCGTGTGTACTCGTCATGACAGCAAAACGTTATACTTGTGTTTGTATGTTTCTGGAATATTCTTACGTACTGCATTCAGGCAAGCAGGGGACATGATAAGATGTGTAGTTGTTGCACTATCATTTTCCTCAGCAGATGGGTTGTGTGAATCACGCTGGTTGGGTTCACACTTACTCGGGATAGCGTTAGGAAGATGGTAGTGCAATGACTACACATCTTATCATGCCCCCTACTTGCCTGAATGCAGCACGTATCAGGCCTGGCAGAAGCAATTGTTGATTGGTCCGGCCATGCCCACAGAGCCGGGCCCATCATATCCCATCCGGCTAAGCATGCACTGCGGCTAAGCTGACCAAACAGCGAGACAAATTTGAAAAACTACTTCGTTCAGTACAAGAATCTGAAGCACTCGACGAAAACCCCTCAAGTACTACAAATTACAATGTAGAATCCATCATGGCACGTGCTTTCAGGTCGCGCGACTCGCGCCACAGGCCCACCGGCCCACAGGCCACAGCTAGCCCTCAAGCGCGCACGCGTGCACGGCAAGATCAGAGCGAGATCGCAAGTACGCGTACATGTACAATCGATGATCACAACATGACGTTACTGCGTCCTAAAAAAATCGTCGATGGCCGAAAAGTTGGTCCGGCCATGGCCGGACCGACCGGAGTGGTTCTGCCGGCCATGCGTATGTTTGTGCAGACATTGGCCCCAAAGAACTTACACCGCGAGAAGCCGCAGATGTACGGCAGCACGTTAGAACAGGCCTGGTCGTTCCAGCCGTAGCCGCTGTCAATGCGGATCTCCACGCAGTCCTGGGTGTTACGCCAGTTGTTTGGCTGATCCTGCAGCGACATGGGAATGAGTAGCAGATGGGTATAATTATACATGTGTAGGCAGTCAGACTCCACTTGAAGTAACCGGATCGGCGATGGAACCAGGTAAAGGAAGACCGATTGCACTATATTCCATGCATTTCCAAACATCTCCGGGCATTACCCACTGGTTGGCAAGTTTACTGGATCATACAGGACTGGACAAGTGAAATATGACGGTACTTAGCTTTAAACAGCACACTGGTACCGGTATTCCGCCTCCGCCGTCACCATGGTAATCATGGTCGACGGAAGTATCCAGAGTGCGGTGTGACACATTGGATGCACTGTACCGCAGTCTCAAAGTCCCCAGAGTCACACTGATGCAAAGTACTCCAGATACGATCATGCGTGCTTCAAATACACTTCACCTGTCCAAATTTTGGTCAAGAACTAGGGGTGGGGTGGGGAGGGGTGGGGGCTCAGTTCACTGCAGTAACCACAACTCAGTAGTCATTAATTTGCTGGCACCCTACCTAGTATTTGACTACACTAAATGTTTATTGGTGCAGGAGGCAGGTTTTAAAATAAAATGGTGGCTTCACCTTTCATTTATGATATCTTGGGTTTTGTTTCCTGCCACTGAAAGAAAGCCATTTCAAGCCTCTTTTGCCTTCAGGACGGGATGATTCGACAGTCTAGTGGTCAATGCAATTTACAACACAGCCCTATGCAACCCCACGTTCTGTAGTAGATTGCGGGTTGTAGTATCATTCAGCCACACTTACAGAGGACCATCCGACATAGTCAACCGTACTGTTGTCAGTCCAGGCGAAGGATCCCTCCGTGCCACGGTCCTGAAGACCTACCCAGAACTGCGTGTTGGTGACATTGCTTGCGTTTGCTTGTGCCATCAGCATCTCTGCGATGGTCAAGTGATCCTGCATGTCCCAAAACACAGAAACACACATGCATGCATGCGCATACACACACACACACACACACACACCTTGACCTTTGACCTTTGACGCCCATCGCCGGAGGCGATGATAGCAATGCTACGGCAGAAGCCATAGCAACTTGTGCTGGGATTGCACCATTCAACAGCTTGCAAGGCTGAAGAATTGACCGTCACTATTCAGCCTGGTCTACACCATACAGCTATTTGAAGTGACCTTTTCTGGCACACACACACACACACACACACACACACACACACACACACACACACACACACACACACACACACACACACACACACACAGTAGCGCAGTGTCTTAATCTATCGCTACCCTGAGGGTCCTCTTAGCCGGCTCTTACATGGATGGTATGGCTGTGTTGATCACTGTGATCCTCAAACAGGTTTACACAGTGGTAATGCGGAGCGCCAACGTGATCACCTTTTCATTTGCTTGGATTTCACAAACATGTTTTGACCAAACTGAATGTGACGTTTCCAATCGCATTTCCCCAGCCATACAATTTCCGAGGAAAGCCGGTGTTAAAACTCTGCTTTACTACCCGCTCTAGGCGTTCAGGATGGAAGCGCTTTACTGAGAAATGCAGAGTTACTGGAACATGCCACACAATCTGGATGACTACCAGCCACCGACAGGGAGATATCATTGGTAAGAAGGGACTACTAGTGTTCAATTCAGACCCAAACTGAGAACAAACCAGTACAGCACCAAGTGAGACATGCAGGCCTTCTCTATTGCACTTATAGCAAACATCACAATCATTGTGCCTCTATCTCCTTCACCACCACGGTCTTACACTCCCTGCTGAATCCCCAAGGACGAACATTTCAAGATTCATATTTACGATTGCAGTGTAAGACCGTGGCGGTGAAGGAGATTGAGACAGTCATTATTAATTTGCTGCAGTCACAGTGGAGCCTCCACATATTGAAGTATCACAAACATTAGAGAATTAAAAGGCAGGATATAAATTGCCACATACCCGGGAAGAGTGGATACTGGCAAGGTGAGGCTGGGCACCGGTGATGCCAACATTCATTGCCTTGCACTTCCTCTCGGCATTCGAGAAGGTGTTCTTGATGGCTGTGATCGGAGTCATGACACTGTAGCACTGTGTCGGCGTGGACGTCCAACCGGCTGGGCAGTTGATCTGCTTCATACCTACAACAGTAAAATTAATAACAGAAGGCCGATGATGTAAGAGGCGTCAACAATAACTGCAGACGGATCTTACAATATTGGACAGGATCAGGGCCATGCAGGGTATGTCTATGCATGTGCGGGCTTAAAAAAAGGTACACGCCCAGTGATTAGACTGCACATTGATGTCCAAGAATGGAGCGTGCAGACTGATCCTGTATTCTGTTGTGGACATCACATACACGCCAATTAACAATGAGTTCGAAGGGCTGTGTGGTCAAAAATAGTGGGGCCAGCTTAGAGCGACATTACACCATATGACCAGCAGATCGACATCTGAAGTCCATACTGAGTACGTTGAGGCAATCCACTTTGACACTTACCTGGTGGAATGGTGAATGGAGCCACTGTGGGTGAAATGGGTGTTTGTCCTGTACAGTAGGAACAATAAGTAACAAGATCACAAACACACTGCTGATGAAGCATGCTCTTCAAGGACTCCCAGACTACAACCTTCTCTGTCACTGTGCATCACACGGCTATCTAACTGAAGTTATCCAATATCCGGACAGCTAGCTGTTTCAACATTCTAATTTTGTTCATTCGTCGATTAGGTTCACTGAGTGAGAGTTGCTGGCTTGTCTGCACTCCCGGCATCACCAGGACGAAGGGAAACGGCACCACCACACTATCGGCATCATCAGGACGAAGGGAAACGGCACCACTGCACTCCCGGCATCACCAGGACAAAGGGAAACGACACCACTGCACTCCCGGCATCACCAGGACGAAGGGAAACGGCACCACTGCACTATCGTCTTTGACCGAGGACAGTCTCTCTGAGCTCCATTAGTGGGAACTGAAAAGGTCGAAACAGCTAGCTGTCTGTCTGGCGGATATAGAGTGTTTAGTCATGTGTGTAGGGAGCGTGCAATACACGTCACACAAAAACGTTTTCCGACAGAACCCTTCCATTGACGACCATGCATGGGATAACCAAACACACTGGACTCATGTAAGAGCCACCCTGTCACCTTCCATAAAAAGAATCGGGTGAGCCAATTGCATATCTGTTATAAGAGGGACTGACTTAGAATGCGTGTTCCTCTTGCTTACCAAGCGGGTATTCACACACATAGGGTTCGTTGGCGGCACAAGAGTAATCGTTCCACGAATTCATCAGGCTTGCAGGTGGTACCAGGATAGTCTCGACGCAGTCCTGCGCACCAGAGTAGTCGTTTGGCTGCTGTGTGCTCCAGTTAGTGTAGGTGACCGGAGAACCATCGGCCCACACATACCCACCTTCATCTACACGATCGCTGAGCCCAGTCCAGAACCAGAACCAAGTCGTGTAGGCGTTGGCAGAAGAGATGAGGAATTGCTGCAGCGAAACGGAGTACATCAGTAGCACAATTCGGAGGCAGGTACCAAGGGCTGTGAACACAAACCAGGTGCCCTGATTATCCAATCCTTTCTCTTCAGTGTTGCTCTCCAAGGTGCAGTGTCTGATACAGGGGCCTGGACTGCAACACAGTCTCCTGTGGACGTTGGTAACATTTATCAGATCTTGAACATAGGGTAGCACAGCAAATCCACAAATGAACTTCACACCTTTACTCAGTTATTGTGTCTAGCTAGAGTCAATGAAGGCCATCCAAGTTAGCTGTTAGTTGCATGGGGTGGGAGTTCATGTGTTTGTACGGTGAAGTATACCCGAATCATTGCACCTACTTACCATAGTATCAGAGCTGTGGATAGAGACCAGATTGGTGCCCATGGATCTGCAGCTAGCCTGAGCATCTGTCCACGTCAGGGCAGTGGTGGGTGGTGCCATGGAGTTTGTCATCATCAGTGTTTGCTTGTTGATGGAACCGAAGAAACCGTAACACATGGTGTTGTGCTTGACCCAGCCCTGGGCGCAGTTACCAACGGCTGCGGTGGGCAGTGATCAACAAGAAATACCAAATAAGACCACACCCGGCATCATACATGCCAATGCATGCAGTGTATTGATCACACCTATGCACTGTTCACGATTTACGGTGCACTTTGCACACATTATTAGAGACTCGTGGGTAATGGCTATGCACTACACTCTAGGCAGATATCAACTATAGTATAGCAAGCAGTATTTCACACACATGTACGCACATGCGCTCATGCGCACATGTGTGCGCGCGAGCACACACACACACACACACGCACACACAAGTACAAACAGAAATAATTATATGTGTGCATCCAGTCAATGTCAGCTAGAGTAACACCGCTGACTTACTGGTGCCAGCGCGAGGTGTAGGTGGAGGTGGAACGGTTAAAATGGAGTCTGCAGAAGACAAGGTATAAGCAGATGTCAGGAATGTTGGGCCTGTATAACCAAAATCCTATCAATCTAATCAGTGAATCAGTGAATCAGTGAATCAGTGAATCAGTGAATCAGTGCATCAGTGCATCAGTGAATCAGTGAATCAGTGGATCAGTGGATCAGTGGATCAGTGAATCAGTGGATCAGTGGATCAGTGGATCAGTGAATCAGTGAATCAGTGAATCAGTGAATCAGTGCGGGAGTGCGGGAGTGCGGGAGCTGATTTGAATGCTCATGCAACAGTGATGTTGTACATGTGGCTGCGCTTGTGTCTCTTCATTGCACATGCGGTTGCACGTGTAGCTCTTTGTCATACATGCTGCTGCTTTAGTGTCTCTTCGTTGCACATGCTGCTGAACCGTGGTACACGCTGCTGCGCTGTTTTGACTCCTGCGTACATGCGGCTGCACCGTCTTCTGTCCCCGTTGTGTGCACACTTGCCCGTCTTGTCCCCGTTGTACGCCTTCACTATTATTATTCTGATGCTAGGCTATTGCAAATTTAAAACTCCATATCTATTTTTCATGATGACCTTTAAAAGGTACAAGCAACCTTGATATGAAGTTCAACCTGCATGCTATTCAGTTTTAGCTCAGAAGACTATACTAGCCACCTGGCGGGGATTTCCCTGTTGAGTGTCATGATATACTTGTAAAACTTACTGTTGTACATTTGGCAGATGTAGGGCAAAGATACGGAGCAGTTGTTGTCGTTCCACTTGCCAGTCGACGACCAGAACTCCACACAGTCCTGACCGTTGCGCCAGTTGTTGGGCTGTCCCCTGGCCCAGTTTGTGTGTGTGATGGGCATGTTGGATGTGTACTGGTACATGCCCTCCGTGCCCTGGTCGTTGAGGCCAAACCAGTAGGCTCGGCTGGCCGGCGTGAACGTAGTGGTGTTGACCGTGACCAGACTGGACAGGAAGTAGTTGACAAAGGTGCTGGAGATTGTGGCCAGGTTGGCGGGAACGCCGTGTGTATTCTGCATGCCGTGACAGCTCTGCTGGGCCAGCGGCTGGCTGAGAGCAGTCTTGGTCATGGCGAGGTAACACTGGCCCTTGAACATCTGCCATCCTGGCTGGCAGGCGTTTGATACTAAGATGAGTAAAGGCCACCATCCAGGCAACAACAACAACAACAACAACAACAGCAGCAGCAGCAGCAGCAGCAGCAGCAGCAGCAGCAGCAGCAGCAGCAGCAGCAGCAGCAGCAACAACAACAACAACAACAACAACAACAACAACAACAACAACAACAACAACAACAACAACAACAACAACAACAAGGAGAAAAGGACAAAGAAGACAAAGAATTTGAGTCATAACAGCAATAATCAGCAATACAAGGGACCCGGTAGCTGTAGTTTACTTATAAAAAGCGAAGCAGACAGTTCTGAATCCTGGTGGTGTGCATGAAATGTAACCTGTGCCCTGAACACACCTAGTTGAAATGCATACAGGACAATGTTCCAGCCATGAGTAAGGGGTGAGGATGAGGCGGGGAAGGGGGTGGGGGTAGGCAGTCTAGGCACACAGCTCAGTGTTGATAGGAAAACATTAGGCTAGAAAACATACACACCCGCTAGCATAAAAAAACATTCCTTTGTGCATAGCAGAGGACAGAGGGTCATCAATTAACTAGAGCAAAGGTGTAGCCAGGGGTAACAGTAATGTGTACGGACATTGAATGGGAAAGTCCCCAAACACGCACACACCCACCCATATAGTCATGCAGACACACATACGCATGCACACTGACAAATGCATCCATGTTTGTACTACCGGCCACTCACTGGTTGCTGGATTGGTCGGTTGATCTAGTCAGCCAATGGAAGTACAGACAAACACACATAAAATAGAATAGTAGACAAACACACACAAATACAAAAACATGCACACACAAAAACATGCATGCACACACACACACACACACACACACACACACACACATCCACAAGCAAACACACACACACAATGAATTGACATGCATGAGAAAACACATGTACAATCTACTTACAGGGCCCTGGATAATCTAAGTCTCGTACTGTGGGTCACGTTCAGCCGCTGAGGTGATCAGATGTGAGTGCTTAAGTGATTTCGAGATAGGTCCAAACTTGCAACATATTGATGTATATTTAAAACAGTGTCATGTCAACGACTTGAAAGAGGGCATGCAACAGATCCAGGTTGAAGTTCTTCAACCCAGCCAGTCCTGAACATAGCCTTATGCAAGTGTTGTGAATGGTCCAGGTGATGTATCATCCTCAACCTGTCTGTCGTTAACAGTGCTAAGGGAGCTGCTCAGCCGAGAGCTTACCTCTGACCTTCTTGCAGACATAGCCAATTCTGGTGTTGCAGTTGATATCATTCCAGAGTCCCAGCCGGTGGTTCAAAAGAGTGCAGTCTTGCGTCCGACGCCAGTCGTTTGGCTGGTTGAAGCCCCAATTGGTGTATCGGACAATGCTGCCGTCTGTCCACGTGAACTCTCCCTCTCGCTGCACACAGCAACAATGATGGGACAAGCAAGGGTGCGGGGTGAATGCATCATTCATTACAGCAATCCAAGATGGTGGCCAAGGACTGGACGACAGCCTCACTAACAGGTCCGATCTATTGTCCTCGTAAACAGTCACAAAACCTTTCGAAGAGAGTCCCAATGAACGAAGAACATAGGGAGCAGACTGGAACAGCATCGATCATATGGGACATGGCTTACTTTACAAGGCATGGTGTTACATTGCACACACATCACAAACTAGATATGATGACATTTTGACCTTTTGACCTCTGCACCCATCAAGGTGAAACAACCACCAGTTTGATACTCAGTTTTACTGCACTGGCCGTCATCATGATGTGCCATGAGATAATGATATAAATACAAATACAGATATTAAATATACAAATGTTTTGTAGAATGTCCCAACCGTTACTGCACTGTGTTGATACATGCGTAGATCTCTTACCTTCATATCATTTATTCCAATGTGAACTTGTACGGAGGCATTGTGCAGACCCATGATGGACATGACGAATGCCTGCTCGCCGTAGCTGTTGATGCTGGTGAGATTGGCCTGCATCTGGGCACACATAGTGGATGCCTGGTTGTGGGTCACGTTGGTGTTGGGCATGGCAAAGTAGCAATACGAGCTGTACTGGTGCCAGCCGCTCTGGCAGTAGCGGATATCTGTGGGGCACGGTAAGTAGGCAGACATATGCAAACACACACACACACACACACACACACACACACACACACACACACACACACATACAGATCACGCAGATCATACAGATCACACCCAGCAATAAGCCCTCAATCTGCGGACAGAACTGTTACGTCCTTTGCGCACACACCAAGCAATAACCTCGCGTCTAGAAACCACAATATACAATACAGCATAGCAATGCTTGAACACACTGCACCTGCATACAAATACATCTCACAGAGAAAGATTAGATTGGCTATCATCATGTACATGAACTGGATCTTCAAACATTGCAACAACAATTGGGCTTTACAACACAGGACACTGAGGCATAGAGACTCATGGATGGATGGCTTCATAGCAGAAATTGCAGCTCAGAGCCTAGCAAATCAAGTAAATGAAATACTTACTGACAGATGGTGTTCCTAGTTTTAAGGTCCTGGGCTCTGTTGATTATCCGTCACGCATGTGCCAGGTATCATAATATTGCAATCACGCACGTGCACACACACACACACACACACACACACACACACACACACACACACACACACACACACACACACACACACACACAAACCGTGACAAACACAAACACACACATACAAATACAACGCATCAAACAATGAGCACAGGTCACCAATACCAGGACAATATTTGATTTGTAGTAGCTATGTCAGTAATAGCCATGTTGATTTTATTGGAGAGGCTGACTACAATTTTCAAAGGCAAGATTTGGGTGATAGCCCTTCTTTTGTGTGGAAACCCTATCCCTTCACCAAATGGCCTACCTGTGCCTCACATTGAATAACACCTCGTCCCATACATGCACACGAGTGCTGCTAATGTATACGAGTCACCAGAGCATCCTGTCTCTCGACAAGCCGGCCCTTAGAGAGACTAGGGCTGCTCTAGAGTGCTGGAGTTAGTTGGGTGGAACATGCCACACGTCACAGCAAAAACTCACTCAGGGTGTATTTGCAGATGTAAGCTGAGCGATAGCTGCAGCGGTTGTCGTTCCACCGGCCGCTTCCACGATAGAACATGGTACAATCCTGGCTCCCTTGGTATCTGTTAGGCTGGCCGTTGCTCCAGTACACATAGTCTGTGGGAGTGCCATCCGACCATCTATATAGGCACACGGCATAGGTATACATGTACGGCACCGTGACCATAATACACATACCGTATATGTCTCTATTATAAGCACAGGTCTCCATTACTAGCACAGTCTCTAATACTAGCACACTGTGAGCACCTTTCGAAACATTATAAGCACAGTCTCTATTATTAGCCCGGTCTTGGTGAAAATCAATGCTGCATGCATGATATCCAGCATGTATTTCTTCTTGCTCTGTCCAGCTGTATGGATGTATTGGTTGAAAAAATATAAGCACGGTCTCCAATAAGCGGGGTCTCCAATATAAGCACGGGGTAGAGGGGTGTTGAAAAAATATAAGCACGGCGCTTATAATAGAGAATATACGGTATGTAGGTATACTATACTACTGCTACTACTACTTCATAATACCCGGCTGGCATGGCATAATAACATTTTTCATATTTACAATGGAAATTTACCTCGGATGGTTCTTCACTTTCCGCATCACATTTTGTGGATTGAACAATAAAGGTGACTACTACTACTACTACTACTACTACTACTACTACTACTACTACTACTACTACTACTACTACTACTACGGCGCCACTTACACATATCCACCCTCTTGGGATTGATCATTCAGGCCAGTCCAGAAGTAGTACGCAGTCGACTTGGAGACCATTTGCAAGACGTGGGCAGCCTCGTAATGATCATGGATGCTGACCAGGTCGAAACCCTTGCCAGAGCTGGTGCATGCTGTTCTGGCTGAAGTCCAGGACCTGCGCTTGCTCGATGTGTCCACCAATTTGTAGCAATAGACGGCACCGTTGGGATGAGCATACGTATTGTAGCCTGCCGGACAGGCTGACCTGGCAGGGTCTGCATGCAAATGCAGCAGAGCAAAGACCAAAGAAGGATTGTGGAACTTCAACTTGAATTTGATCTCCTACTGTGATTCGTGCATGTACAGTACGGATCGGCTATAGCGTTGGTGTTTGATTTTCGTGAAAATATCACTATAGGCGATATATTACTATAGGCGATATGCATACTTAGGTATGCCTGACAAATGCGTGTATGGTGTCATTCGAATCAGTGCAGCGTGCAGAAGTGTGCTGTGCATGTGACTGTGCAGTACGCGCAGTGCAGAGCTACTTTCGGCGGAAACAAAAACTTCGTGACTTTTTGATATGAGTTTTCAAGGAGGTGCTGTGCTCAACAAATGTGTTCTTTTGGAAGAGAAACACTTCAACAGATTCAATCGACATATCAACAATATCTACAGGATCGATTAGTGGGAGTAGAGTCTCAGTCTGGGTCGCCATCGCTCGACTCATCACCGCTGAAACCGTTCCAAGTGGCAGATCGATCGACGCGTGATGTCGTATGTCACGGAGAAGCTTCTCCGCGTCCCTGATTGTCTTCGCTGTTACCTGAATGCCTTCTCCAACATCTCGGCGGAGACCACGGTAGCGCTTCAGCGCTGATACTCATTACTGCCTCCAATCTCGCTCGAGGATGCCCCGGAACAACAAGCACAGCCAACGCCAAACATTTCGAATTTCCTCCGATGGATATCATAGTCGTACCATTAAATTTTACCAGCGCTTCCTGGCTGCCGCGATCAGATCCCACCGGTCACCATGTACGATGTATTATTTTTTATGATCATCACTATAGCCGATGAAAAATGTATGCATTAAGATCATTTTGACAAAGAAATCGTATCATTATTGTTGTATACATTACATGCATCATAGGAGTCGTGTGTCATATCATGTTTCTCATGCTATTCATCCTTGCACACGCTACACTAGACGTCTGCGTAAGGACAGCTTGCTGGTGTGCTGCATGCATTTATTGCTAGTTCCATGCGTAGCTCTTTGCCCTACTGTGGCGGGAAGGTCGTCCCGTACGGCCGTGCAGCCACAATGATCAGCTGCGCTACGGAGGTTCAGTTCCGGCAAACATGCGTGCGGATTTGCATTTTGCTGCTTGGTTTTGATGTATTCAGTGTAGTTAGTGCAAGGAAAGAGCTTGCTGGTGCAGTTGTTGTTTTGGTTTTGGTCTTGAGCGTAGTTTGCTCTTTGTTGTTACCTGCTTTGAACGATCGCCTTTTGTGGAATCGTTACGCTCCTTGTGGTACAATAATACAGTCTTCAGAAATATCGAATACATAGTGGGTCCTTCGAGCCGGATCTAGTCGCGGTTCATTTTATAACCTCGAAAGGATGAGTGAGTCGCGGGCGATCGGACCGAGGCGTAGTGGAAGAAAGACTAAAGGCTGGCACTCGGCTCGGTATGGGTTTGAGGAGTCAGATAAAGAGGAGCTCGAATTGAGTTTAGCGAAATTGAATAGGCGAGCGGAGGAACTAAAACTCCTGATCGCAGAGGAGACCGCTTCTATGGAAGCGCTGCATGCAGCCTGGATCGCGCGTGGATTGAGTGAGCGTCATGGACGTACATCTACGGCAGAGCCGAGTCCCGTGCCAGTACCAGTGGCAGTGCCGAGACGACCAACGCCTGCACCGCGATCGCGGAAGACGAGTGCTACTCAGTGTGGTAGTCCAGGAGGTGTTGTCAGAAGATTGGACAGCCGAATGTCGATCTCGGCAGCAGAACAAACTAGTTGTAGTTTTGATCAGCTGCACTTGATGGAGTAGGAGCGCCTGGAACGGCAGGAGTTCAACTTCAACGTGTGTCATATGCGCCTCTTGCACCTTCACCTGCGCCTCGAACTCGCGTGGAACCCAGACTAGCCAGGTTTAGTAGGTCCAGCGGCAGCAGAAGGCAAGAGCGCAGCAGCAGCGGCAGCAGAAGGCAAGAGCGCAGCAGCAGCGGCGGCAGAAGGCAAGAGCGCAGCAGCAGCGGCAGCAGAAGGCAAGAGCGCAGCAGCAGCGGCAGGAGAAGGCAACAGCGCAGCAGCAGCAGCGGCAGCAGAAGGCAAGAGCACGTCAGCGGCCGATTGAACCCGGCTGATCTACCAAGTCGTGGAGTTGCGGCCTCGCACTTGCAGGATGACGGCAAATGGTGGAGTGGCCCAGAGTTCTTGCAAGAGCGTCCGGAGCGATGGCCGAACAAAGACATCATAGTGCCCCAGGTTCTTCCGGCACTGCTTCAGCGTCCGCACCCGATGACTCTCACTAGCCAGATCCAGGCAGAGCAGACGACATGCCGCCTGCACCCAGACAACGTCTCGTCCTGGAGCAATCTTCTGCGGGTCACAGCCTGGTGTAAACGGTTCCTTGATAATACCAGAGGCCGACCTCAGCAGTGTGACAGCAATGCAGGTGCTACCGTGCAAGTATCTCTCAAGAGTGCTAAGGCTGTTCCGGTTCCCGAATTGACGGTCACAGAACTCCAAGGCGCCGAGCGGCTCTGGATAAGCTATGCGCAGAGGCAGTGCTACGGAGAAGTAGTGTCAACGCTGAAGGAGAAGAAGCCTCTTCCACCCAGTGCACCGCTAACGAAGCTACAGCCGTTCCTGGACACTGACGGTCCACCGCTGCTCCGAGTTGGTGGACGGCTCCGGACCTCACACCACCTGTCTGACCAGTTCCGGTCCCGTGTGATACTGCCCGCCAATCATCGCGTCACTCAGCTAATTGTTGGGCATGAGGATGAACGCTGTCAACACGGAGCAGGCACGAACCATCTGCTCTCTAACCTGGCCGATCGGTATTGGATCATCAAGGGTCGCCAGGTCGTTAAATCCTACCGTCACCGCTGTGTCCGTTGCCAGAAGCTGTGGAGACGTGTCGCTGAGCCCAAGATGGGGAACTTGCCAAACATCCGGACAAGCGGACCGTTACAGGCATTCGCTCACACTGGAGTAGACTACGCTGGGCCTTTCCTGGTCAAGATGGGACGCGGACGATCGCAAGAGAAGCGCTATATAGCCGCTTTCTCATGTCTGCAGACCCGTACATGCCACCTGGAGGTAGTGCGTTCTCTGGATGGCGATGGCATGGAGATGGCTATGGCAAGGTTGTGCCATCGCCGAGGTCGACCAACACTGATCCTATCCGACAACGGCAGTAACTTCGTTGCTACCGATCGTGAACTGCGGGAAGCGCTGAGGGATTTGGATCAAGCCAACATCACAGCTGGGTTGGTGATTCAAGGCATCAGATGGCAGTTTAATCCACCGCGATCACCGCCACCTCTGCCGCCGCCACGGAAACCTCCATGGCCGCTGCCTCCTGTACCACCGCGGGGAAGAGCTCGGCCGCACTTTGGCGGAGCATTTGAGAGGGTGGTCGGGGCCTTGAAAAAGGCACTCCAGTCAGTCCTGTACAGGGCTAGCCTGACCGACGAAGAGCTGCAAACTTCGTCGTGGGTCATGTCAACGTCGCAACAGCTCTGGAGACGGCGGCGGACTCAGAGTCGACGCCAGTTCACCCATACCATTGCTGGAAAGTTATCCAGCAGCTCCTCAGAGATGTTTGGAAGCGGTGGCTAAGAGAAATGGTCTCTGCTATGAACATCATGACTAGGCTAGGGGTGAAAGTTGGCACTGAGATCCCGAGTTCGAGTACAGTCCGTATCGCCTATAAGGTTGGCGGCTATAGTAATATACCGGATATAGTGATCAATTTCTCAAATTCATTTTCATTTGCCATAACTAAGTATACACAGTTATCGCATATAGCAATAATCGTCTATAGTAATATATCGCCTATAGTGATCAAATTCATATTTCAAAAGACGTTTATTACACTATTTTCGCATCGGTTATAGTGAGTGATGTAAAATCAAGCGATGTCAGAGGAGAACAGGGTGTTACTTCTTCGTGAAGAACTTGTCCAGTGAGTGTTGTTTGGTGAGTTTTGCTTTTACAAGTTGCCAAAATATGCCTCCATCATGAGGAAATCCTGATTTTGTGTGTCAGGAGCTACAGCCAGCTACATGACATTGTACATGTATGTAGTGCGTATGTGCACGGCGCGCTGAGTCGTTTGACACCCCACTCGCATACATTGCAAGCAGTATCGGTCATAGTAATATATCGCTTATAGTGATAAGATGCTCAAAATCAAACACCAACGCTATAGGCGATACTGGCTGTACTCTGATTTTCTCCGATCGAATATTCGAGTATTCGAGTATTTTCATCTCCTAACAATTGCACACCACGGGCTTTAAAATAACATGGTACAACCCTGATTGAACCGAGTAGCAGTCATTTTTCTCTGGTATATTGGTTGGTGGGTCATTTGGGCTCTCTCTACTCGTGAACAAATGTTCACCACACAGTCTGCACATCACCATCTGCTGACTGCTGCTCTGAAACTGCAGATTTCTGCAGTAAATGCATGTACCAAGTATGAACGAGTACTCTGATTTATTCCGAGTACGATTATTTTTGAAAAAACCGAGCGAGTACTCGAGTACTCGGTATAATTGTTTCACCCCTAATCATGACTAAGTGGCGCCGCCAATCGGGCACGGTCGAGATTGGAGACGTCTTCCTCGTCAAGGACGATGCGTTATCACGATACAGATGGCCGCTAGGACCCGTGAAGGCCACGTTCCCTGGCAAGGACGGCATTGTTCGCGTCATGGACATCCAGGTCAACGGCAAGAAATATCGGCGTGGTGTTCGATACCTAGTGTCGCTCGATATCCTGACAGCTGAAGCAGCCACTGCGGTATCTCAGTCGGCAGCCCTTGACTTGGATGAGTTGCAGTAAGACACTAATGGAACAGACGTTATTTAGTGACACAGTACACTTTCGTCACCTCATTTTCTCACTGCTTTCTAGAGCAGTAGGCACTTATTCCTCTATGTGCTGTGTGCTACATACTAGTATCTTCCTTTGGTGTAGTTTCACTCTCCCCTGGTTCGTTCAAGGTGGGGGGTATGTTGTATACATTACATGCATCATAGGAGTCGTGTGTCATATCATGTTTCTCATGCTATTCATCCTTGCACACGCTACACTAGACGTCTGCGTAAGGACAGCTTGCTGGTGTGCTGCATGCATTTATTGCTAGTTCCATGCGTAGCTCTTTGCCCTACTGTGGCGGGAAGGTCGTCCCGTACGGCCGTGCAGCCACAATGATCAGCTGCGCTACGGAGGTTCAGTTCCGGCAAACATGCGTGCGGATTTGCATTTTGCTGCTTGGTTTTGATGTATTTGTAGTTAGTGCAAGGAAAGAGCTTGCTGGTGCAGTTGTTGTTTTGGTTTTGGTCTTGAGCGTAGTTTGCTCTTTGTTGTTACCTGCTTTGAACGATCGCCTTTTGTGGAATCGTTACGCTCCTTGTGGTACAATAATACAGTCTTCAGAAATATCGAATACAATTATAGCCGATATATTACTATAGCCGATTATTACTATAGCCGATCCGATATGTATAGAAAGGGGTGGTTTACGAAAATGAATTTGAGAATACGATCACTATAAGAGGTATATTACTATAGCCGACAACCCTATAGCCGATCCGCACTGTATTAGTAGTGGTCAGGGCTGGGTGAAAACAACTTTTAAAAACAAGAAGAGATGACCCCGAAAACGTGCTTGACTTAGAACTGCTAAAATCGGGTAGATGTAGTACAGGTGTGCACCCCATCCTATTTACAGTTCTAGTATGATAGTTGTCAGCACAATAACTGGCTATGGATATCTTTGTTCGACATTCTTACTCGTGATTGGAGGCCATTTTCCTTGTGAGCCTGTGGTCCACGCATACGCAACAAGACATCAGACAGGGAACACCACAAGTCAAGAAACACTCCAAAGCTGGCTGGCATCCCTTCGGTGCCCACACACTTGGTCAGTTTTGCGATACTGTAAAGCATGCACAGTGAATATTGCATTGGGGGAATAGCGAGGGAGGGAGGGGGGGGGGGATCACATGCCCTACAACAACAGACAGACGATGAAAACTATATAAAAGCGTCTGGCACTCTCAGAGCAGCATTCAGGCGTTTTCCACAACTCTCAATTCCCCCTCAGCAGTTGCAATGCAGCATAGAAGTCATAGAATTAGCACAAAGATGAGCAGCCAGAAAATGGCAACTTAAAATGTTTTGCACAATGCATAATAGTGGGAAGAATGTGCAGGTGTGAAGAAACCAAACAGAAGCTACTATGGTGTGATCATGAATGACTGGTACTTGTACCACTCAGTAGTCTGATATATTGGATGTACATATGAGCCATGGTTTGAGGCCCATGAAGGCAACCCTGCCATCAACGTTCAAATTACTGTCTCCCTTTCCCCGATAGTGTGCATTGCATGCAGGTTCCAATGTTGTCACATGCTCCCCAGTGAGGTGTCTAAGTGCAACAAACCCGGCAAAGGCACTGAAGGTCATCCGGCTAGAAGTATACTTACTTGCTTTCCTCTTGCACATGTAGGCGCGTTTGATATTGCATGGCAGATCGTTGTACGTCAGTGTTGGATAAGGCAGAAGTTCAGCACAGTCCTCAGAGTGGGCATTGTCGTTAGGCTCGCCCTTGCCCCAGTTCTGAGCAGCATAACACAGTCACATGCAAAAGGAGGAATACACGACACACAGCGTGACTGACAACCGGATGCTGTTGTGATAAGGTTCATGTCTGTACAGGCCACGCTCTGCAATCCAAACACTCTTTGGTTGTGTTGTGTAATACGCCGTAGCTTAGCAAAGGCAAGAGCATCGACGCTGCTGCAAGCCAGGTCCCATCACGGTCTGGTTGGGTGCAACACCAGGTCAAAGTTATTTTCGTATAATACAGACGCACACATGAACACTACATGTTTGGTGCACTCACAGTTACAGAGCTAGTTTGTCCAGTCAGTGTGCCGTCGTCCCAAGTAAATGTACCCTCCTTCAGACGATCATTGAGGGCGAGATAGAAGGATGCGGTATGCTGTGTCTTGGCGAACGCTTTGATGTAGCTCAACTCGGCCTGGGTAAGTATGGTCACAAGTGTGGCGCCCTGTTGGAAGCATGATGCCTCAGCCTGCACGAATGTCATTTTGCTGGAATAGTATTTGTAGCAGTAGCCGGTATGACTGTACCATCCACCGCAGTCTGTGCTGGTGGCTGCATTGAGGAAGAGTTAAACAAACATACATATATCAGGGCCGGCGGAACCGGTCAGGCTGGTCCGGCCATGGCCGGACCACTTTCCCAGCTGGATGGTCCATGTGATTCGTGCAAAACCGGTGTAAAAAACCCCAGAGGTACATGACTCGACTGCCGACGTGTGATGTGCTTCGAAGTAGCTCAGGACTCCGTGACCGGCACTGTATGGCTGATATGGATCAAAAAAAGTTGTGTTTGTGTTCTTTTACTATAATTTTCTGCATTTTCTGGAGGCTTAGAGATGCCCAAATTCGCTCTATTTCACGTAAATTTTAAATATTTCTCCCGGGGGAGGTCCCCCGGACCCCCTCAAAGGTTCGCCGGACCACTCCCAAACTCCTTCCTCCGGCCCTGCACATACATACATACATACATACAAACATACATACAAACATACATACATACATACATACATACACAACAGAACAACAAGGACAATCAAGGCTTGTTTGCTGCTACTTTTTAAAAGTTTCATGCTCACGCAATCATCAGGCAACATGAAGATCGGGTGCCGACCATGCCGGTATATATGCCAGGAGAGGGTGGTATAAAAAGCTGTGTGAGACTGTGGGGGCTAGCGCAGTAGCGGTGGTGTTTTAGGCAGGGGCTGTGTGCAGAGTGTGTGGTTGTTGAAGGCAGGGGCTAGCAGTGCAGTGTTAGCGCGGAGTGTGTGGCTGGTGTGGGCAGGAGGTGGTGAACAATGCGTGTGGATGTTGTAGGCAGGAGGCTGTAGAGCTAGCAGTGTGATAATAGCGCAATGTAAATGGATATGTCTGGTGTGGGCAGGGTGTTATGAGCAAGGTGTGTGAACGTGAATGGTGTGGGCAGGAGGCTGTGGAGACATGTTTAGGTGACACCGTGGTTTTTTAGGAGATACTTGTTCTCGTGTCGGCACTTGGACACCATTTCGGAGCGCTTGTTGAGGCTGGACGGTGACCCTAGCGTGTTCAGGATGTGATACTTTTCTCTGGTACAGAGGGGAACACCGCTTCGTGATGTTGGAGTATGCCCGGGCGCGATCTTTTATCCTCCATTCGACTTCGTATTGGGCGTTGGATTTCTTCAGCTTCCAGATGTAGTTGGAGAACTCAGTGCAGCTGGAGTACTTCTCGTATCTTGTTGTAGTCATATGGTTGGCATGGCGTGACTTGAATGGTGGCGCCGACATACCGGTGTATTCCTTTTTGGTGGGGCCTGAGGAATACACCGGTATGTCGGCGCCACCATTCAAGTCACGCCATGCCAACCATATGACTACAACAAGATACGAGAAGTACTCCAGCTGCACTGAGTTCTCCAACTACATCTGGAAGCTGAAGAAATCCAACGCCCAATACGAAGTCGAATGGAGGATAAAAGATCGCGCCCGGGCATACTCCAACATCACGAAGCGGTGTTCCCCTCTGTACCAGAGAAAAGTATCACATCCTGAACACGCTAGGGTCACCGTCCAGCCTCAACAAGCGCTCCGAAATGGTGTCCAAGTGCCGACACGAGAACAAGTATCTCCTAAAAAACCACGGTGTCACCTAAACATGTCTCCACAGCCTCCTGCCCACACCATTCACGTTCACACACCTTGCTCATAACACCCTGCCCACACCAGACATATCCATTTACATTGCGCTATTATCACACTGCTAGCTCTACAGCCTCCTGCCTACAACATCCACACGCATTGTTCACCACCTCCTGCCCACACCAGCCACACACTCCGCGCTAACACTGCACTGCTAGCCCCTGCCTTCAACAACCACACACTCTGCACACAGCCCCTGCCTAAAACACCACCGCTACTGCGCTAGCCCCCACAGTCTCACACAGCTTTTTATACCACCCTCTCCTGGCATATATACCGGCATGGTCGGCACCCGATCTTCATGTTGCCTGATGATTGCGTGAGCATGAAACTTTTAAAAAGTAGCAGCAAACAAGCCTTGATTGTCCTTGTTGTTCTGTTGTGTATTACGCTCTGCCTTTGTGGTGTTGAGCACTGTCAGCACTCTGGGTACATCCTTCGGTACATACATACATACATACATACATACATACATACATACATACATACATACATACATACACTGTTGTGAATTCCAGCAGAAATCCAAGAGAGCTCGATACCGGGAAGGTAGAGCCGTGACACACTAGTCAGAACAACAGATGGCTTGATCAGTCACAACTTAAAGTTTCATGCCATCTCAGGCACTCATCAGGTGATATGAACATCAAGAAAAATAACCCACTATTTAAAGCCCAGTATGGCGGGACAAGGATAACAGAAAGCGCTAGGGGCGCTATCAACTCATATCCGATTCAGTGTCATAGCCAGTAAGGATCGCGTTACTAAGGTGATAAAGGATAAAGGTGATAAAACTGAGCTGGCCTAGCTAGTGAGTTCCGCAGTGCAAAGATGATGATGGTGACAAGGCGGCAGAGAGCTATCAACTGGCCCTACTGCCTGGAGGCAGGGCGCCGAGAAGATCATGTTATCGGTGTTGACAGCATGAATTTATTTTGATGTCGACATTTGGATATCAACTCTGACCGCTTGTTGAGGCTCGATCTCCTGTCGGCAGTGATTATTCTCGCCTTCTCCTCGAGGCACAGGCTGCATCTTTTTGTTATGTTGCTGTAGGCCTTGGCCTTCTGGACCACTCGCCACAAGCGGTCGGAGTTGATATCCAAATGTCGACATCAAAATAAATTCATGCTGTCAACACCGATAACATGATCTTCTCGGCGCCCTGCCTCCAGGCAGTAGGGCCAGTTGATAGCTCTCTGCCGCCTTGTCACCATCATCATCTTTGCACTGCGGAACTCACTAGCTAGGCCAGCTCAGTTTTATCACCTTTATTAAAGGTGATAAAACTAAAATTATCCTTTATCACCTTAGTACCGCGATCCTTACTGGCTATGACACTGAATCGGATATGAGTTGATAGCGCCCCTAGCGCTTTCTGTTATCCTTGTCCCGCCATACTGGGCTTTAAATAGTGGGTTATTTTTCTTGATGTTCATATCACCTGATGAGTGCCTGAGATGGCATGAAACTTTAAGTTGTGACTGATCAAGCCATCTGTTGTTCTGACTAGTGTGTACATACATACATACATACATACATACATACACAAACACATCACAGTGACAATCCGGACAAGGAGAAGACATGAGTCTACAAGTATAAAGAAGCGTAACACTCAAACTCTCACTCTCAGAAAACTCACAGTTACAGTTTGTAAGTTGTCCATTGACAAGGAGAAGATATTAAGAATATAAAGTAACTATACTACCCAAGGAACTATTGACAGTAGTGAAATGCATGCACCTCCATGAAAAGTTGAAAACCGTAGGCTATGATGAATGTCATTCACTGAGGACTCGTTGCAGATCGGTGATACTGGCAGGTCTTCATCTGCTGGTACACCACATCTCACTGTGAATCAAATTCCCCTAAAGCGGTGAAAACCAAGTAGGGTAGACTCTACAAAGTGGTCTAAGTGTGAATATCCCACTGAGTATCTGCATCCATGGTACCTCTTGCCAAGTTACAAGTTTCAAAGTGATGGCTGGTTACAACACTGTAGCAAAATGTACTGTGTCCAAGAAGGACTTGATTGTTTATCTAGGTTTTTAGTTTTTAGTAACTTTTTACACCAGCCCACTATGCCACATGCCAGTGTGCGCCCCCCCCCTCCATTCACCCACATACTTACCAACACCCACCCCTCCCCACACACACCACACATGCCCACTTACCCCTCCACACACATACAGTGATCTGTGGTAGCATCAGTCCACTTACCAATTGTGAAATTAGTGATTTGTAGCGGTGGTGGTACGGTGGATACTGTGAAGAAGAGCAAAGATCAGAGTGAGTGAGTGAATGAGGACTAGCCCATTGCAGAGCACACCGTCTGGCTTAGATTAGAGTGAATGAGGGTTAGGCCACATACTGCAGAGAAACGAACTTCCGACATGCATCCCTATGCCTATGGGGAAGATGCTACCAATCCGCGGTATGCGAGTCATACGAGTACGATAGTTGGGATATCAAAAACAGATGGGATGCAGTGGGAGCATTCGCAGTAACTCACTTAGTGTACGCTCGCACACATAACCATGGGTTGTGGAGCACAGGACATCGTTCCAGAAGCCTTGCTGAGTCATGACACCGCAATCTTCGTTGTTGGCGTTGTTCGGCTCACCAACCAACCAATGGCTGTAGGCGCTAGTGGATGTGCTCAAGTTACCAGAGCCGTCACTCCATGCGAAGATACCTTCCATCTGAAACGAGAAATTGTCGAGTCCATAAAAAATACAGTCATTCGGGTTGAGCGCCGATACACTGCGCAAACAGCACATGTGCTGGATAATTTCATCCAGTGTGATTGTGCTAGGCCCAGCGAGCAACTCTGACAGAACAACAAGTATCTACTGGCCTAGCATTTCCCATGTAAATTGGGTTGGAAGGTCCCTATGGTTTTCAACAGTTATGCTCCTTCCGCTGCAACACGTTGCTGGAGCTCTTATGCCAGTGTACTCACATACTTATATATCCAGCCTCTTTTACGGGCAAAAGAAACACAATGGATGGAAATGCCAATACAAATGCAAACCCAGAAAACAAGAAAAGGAAAAATATGTACAGTCAGTATCGCCTATAGCGTTGGTGTTTGATTTTGAGCATTTTATCACTATAAGCGATATATTACTATGACCGATACTGCATGCAATTTATGCGAGTGGGGTGTCAAACGACTCAGTGCGCCGTGCATACGCACTACATACATGTACAGTCAACTCTGCCGTTAGCGACCTCTGCTGTAGGCGACCATCTACTGTTAGCGACCGATTTTCCGTGCACCGACGGTTTCACATACAAACTGATCTGTCCAGAGCGACCATCTGCTGTGCGCGACCAGCGACCGCGATTTCATGCACGGTGGCTGCATTCAAATCTGCTGTAAGCGACCGCGACCCAGGTTCAGTAAGGTGCGAAACTGTACTTGCCAGTGCGCTGTCGACTGCAAAGTGTGAAATAGCGCTGTCTTGCAAGTGCGATCGACTGGCGCCTGGCCTGTACTGAGGCTGTGCTGTAGCTCTCAAGTCCAGGCAGTGTCGATCTACTGCCGTGTCGCATACGCGTACTATACAGGTATGGTCGTCGTCGAATATCCAATAAAATGATACATGTATAAAAATCACATTATTCTCGTCGATTTGAGTACATGGAAGCATATACCTGGTATGCCGGATTTACCATACATCTGCCGTAAGAGACCATCTGCCGTAAGCGACCGCTTTTTCTTGCACCAAGGGGCGGTCGCTTACGACAGATTTGACTGTACAATGTCATGTAGCTGGCTGTAGCTCCTGACACAGAAAATCAGCATTTCCTCACGATGGAGGCATATTTTGGCAACTTGTGCGAGCAAAACTCACCAAACAACACTCACTGGACAAGTTCTTCACGAAGAAGTAACACCCTGTTCTCCTCTAACATCGCTTGATTTTACATCAATCACTATAACCGATGCAAACATAATGTAATAAAGGTCTTTTGAAATAAGAATTTGATCACTATAGGCGATATATTACTATAGACGATTATTACTATACGCAATAACTGTGTATACTTAGTTATGGCAAATGAAAATGAATTTGAGAAATTGATCACTATATCCGGTATATTACTATAGCCGCCAACCTTATAGCCGATACGGACTGTACTAGTAACCCCAAAGCAAAAATGAGGTGTGATTAACACTATGTATGTGATGTAGTGTAATGCCATTCCAAAACTTACTTTCCTGTCACTAATGCCAATCCAGACTTGTCCTGCTTCGCCGGACTGTTGCAGCAGACCGTACACATTTTGTTGCTCCGTCGGGCTGTTGATGCTGACCAGCTCAGCGCCATAGTTGGAGACGCACGTTTGACGCGCTTCACTCCACGTAAGACTGCTTTGCTTGGAGTTCACCACCAAGTAGCAGCTAGTGCCGGATGAAGTCCATGGTGCTTGGCAATTGCCTGCACATACAAATGATACAATACAAGTAAGTTCTTATTAACAAAAGGAATTGCAGCTCAACACCTTCCAAATCCAAACAGAGTAGCAGCTAGCAATGGTGCTGTTTCAGGAGACGTCATATAAGTGGGTAAAACGTATATATTTGTTACAATCCCTGAAGAGACTCAGACTACCGCTACAAGGCATGCACCCGATAAGACTATCGGCACAAGTGCTGAAATCCCGGCCGCATTGATGTACTCCTTGTGTCTGCCCACAAGTTCCCAATTGACTGTGGATAGCAGCACAATTAAAAAAGTTTAAAAAGCTTTAAAAAACTACTCCCGTACAAAACTTAAACCAGGGACCTCTTAGAGACTAGAGTTTAAAGTGAACTTGCAGGGTCTTGTCAAGTACAGTTCTAAGACAACTTGATTTAGCGTCAAACTGGACCATTACGTAAATATCAGTCACCCCGTCACTCCACAATGCGCTCAGTGTCCGCAGCGGCCGACCTACTTCACTTCCACAACATTACCATAGCGAGAACAATTCTGTTGAGATAATAATAATCTGATATTGCAGCCGACCCTCCAGACAGCTGTTTTGATACAACAGAGCTCATCAGTGGAGGTAGTAGATACTGGATGATTCAGTTGAATGAATTATAATCATATAGGGCAAAAGGTGTAATTTTGCACCGTCTTTATTTACATAGAAGTGTGGCAGGTCCTAGGACACTACGGCGCTAGGTGATGACAGTTCTAGCAGAGGAGATAGCACAATCACACATTGCTTAAAGGGGAAATTAAGGCAAAAATCAAAATTTCACCAGACAGTTGTAGTCTTCGGGGTGCTGAGTCGAATGGTCGTGGTCCGAGGAAGCTGAGACGCTCCCTTCCTACTTTAATCCCAATCGAACTCGCGCACTTCCACCGAAACTGGGTGACTGCGCCCTACTAGATGGGGATTTGTATGCAAAATGTCACTAAAAGCGCCATTTCGTTCTTATAAAAGGACGGATGACCGCGATTGGCCCATATGTTGTAGTCTTTTGGACGCTGAGTCGATTGGTTTTGGTTCGAAAAGGCTGCGATGCAGCGTTCTGCCCTTATTCCCAATCGAACATGCTTGGGCAAGCGGTCACGTGCTCCTGCTTACACCAGTCACCTGGTCACCGTGCCTGCAGGGTGCAACTTACTAGCCTGTTTGACCTTTTTGGGTGCAGTCCTGTCACTCGAGTTGAACTCGAGTTGAACCTTGGTGTGAAAGTTGTCGCCTGCTGGCGCTGTGACCAGGTGACTTGGGCACGCAGGAGCACGTGACCGCTTGTTCAACCATGTTCGATTGGGAATAAAGGAGGAACGCTGCATCGCAGTTTCTCGGACCAAAACCAGTCGACTCAGCGTCCAAAAGACTACAACATATGGGCCAATCGCGGTCATCCGTGCAAGTATAAGAAAGAAATGGTGCTTTTAGTGACATTTTGCATACAAATCCCCATCTAGTAGGGCGCAGTCACCCAGTTTCGGTGGAAGTGCGCGAGTTCGATTGGAATTCAAGTAGGAAGGGAGCGTCTCAGCTTCCTCGGACCACGACCATTCGACTCAGCACCCCGAAGATTACAACTGGTGAAATTTTGATTTTTGCCTTAACTTCCCCTTTAAACATGGCATGGAAAGCTAGACATAGTGCAAAAAAGGCATGCAATCAACAGTAGCTGCGAGAGGTACTCGTGACTACTAGCTGCCACACATACATGTACATACAAAGTATAGAGAGGTTAGTGGTTGCGATATTGCATGGGAGGTTGATGGTTGACCCGTTGAATCCAATTATCGATCTCTCAATATTTTTGTATAATATCGGTGCGGAGACTAGTAGTACTTCTCAGCGTTTGTTGATGGCTTTTTGCACCCGATATCTAGCTAAGCTGCATTCCATGTTCCAGCAATGTCTGCTTGCATTATCACCTCTGGTAGAACTGTGATTACCGAGCGCCGTAGTGTCCTAGGACCTGGCACACTTCTATGTGAATAAAGGCGGTGCAAAATTCCACCTTTTGCCCTATATGATCTCAACGGAATTGTCCTTGCTATGGTGGTGATGTGCAAGTGGAATTAGTTCGGCACTGGAGAGTAAGGAGAGCACATCGTGGGTGGTGGTGTGACTATGATGTACGACTCGTACAGTTCTACCGTGGCTATGCGGATGTTTTGCACACCTATCCAAATGCTGCGGGCATGCATTTTGATCATTATCCTGAATATAAAAATTAATAATATGATGTCTAGCTAACGTGTAGTCTTGCAGATGTCCATTGCTCGTTTTGGGTGTCAGACTTACTGCATGACTTCGTAGTTCGTACATACGAATACACACCCCACTCACCAGCAATACAAATGCATAACTTGGCCATCACTACTACTGTAGATTTCGGGGTCATTCGGATCGGATCAGAACGACGGTGCATGTCGATTATCAGATCAGGCGACTTCGAAACAACTGACTCGCCCAAAAGCGTTGGGAACTTAGGATAACCATGATACACTGCCGGGGTAGGGCCGAACTGACTACGTCCGCACCCGAGGGAAACCCCACTACTCCCTGGTCCGCACAGTGCCATCCATACAGCATCGGTCATCATTATGGAGTCGGGAGACGAGACGTGGACTGTCTGTTAGTCCGGTGCATGAAACATCGTTCGTCGGGTAACGTAACAACGAGTGGCAGTAGGCGATCAAAACCATCTTCATGACTGTACAGATCAAGTAACATGCTTCGAAGTAATATGAACCACGAAGAGCCGCGCACCGTTTCGACCCGATCGCAGAGGTGTCCCAGGACGAAGTCTAGCCGGCGGCAACATAACTATTTCAAAACACTGCTCGCAGTAGGAGCAGATCATGGTAAGGAAAGAGCGTCCTCTCCGCGTAGTCTTTGATCTAAGCCGCAGAGCTGGGCAGTGGCCAAATGCCAAAGGCCACCACGCAGATGTGGGATCATTACCTGATTACACACGGTCGATGATTGGCATACGATGGTTACTGTACATTTGCGAAGCACTACACCCTAGCAACATCAGTGTAGTTTGTGCCCTACCTACCTTGAGCTTGACCAACCACGGCGAGCAATGCTAGTGAAAAGGCAAGTAAGCCCTGCATTGTGGCGGCGAGTCGCGGTTGTTCCGAGGAGACGGAGTCCAGACCAGTCAGCTACCTCTCCTCCTATTCGCCACTCGCCAGTCTTGCCAACCCTACTTCAGCCTGCTTGTACTGCTGAACTGCGAAGTGGAAAGGGCAAAGCGGCGAGTTTTCTCTTTCGCGCTCCCCACCTGTGAACGAGCAGCGGATGGAAAGGTGGCTTGGGCGCGTGCACAGGGTGCACGCTACGACCGCCTACTACACCACATAACACTACTACGCTGTAGTGTCAGTGCCTACCCGGTATACCCAGGTGCATGCGCCGATGGGAAGCGTCCGAAATGGCACAAAACCAACCGAGCAAAAAGTGCTGCATGTGCGGAGACAACCTGTCCTGTCGTCCCTTGAGCTCGTGGACTTTACGTCATGCTCTCCGCCGTCAGATCATACCGCGCGCACTCGTACTGCTTCGTAATCGTTGGTCGCAGGTTCAAGACTCGCGATAGCCACAGACTACTGCTGTCGGCGCACTCCCATTCCGCAGACTCGGTCTCGCCTTCTAGCTCAGGTTCTCCCAGCAGATCTTCCTGTCAGATATGGGGAAGGAAGCACGTGCTCCTTATCAGGCTTATGGCTTTTTCGTAGATATGATCAGATAGGAGTGAGATGTCGTGGATGGCATACACCTCTCGATCGAGCCAGGCAGATCAGAGTATTTTTTTATGATCGCCCTGCGAGTGTGGTATGCAGACCCTGCTTCGACCTTGCTCTGGTAGATCTACATGGTGTAGCCTGTTCGTGGTCAGACAGCTGCGATGGACATGTCTCTTCTGCAGTGCTCTTACACGACTGTGTGTAGCTCCTGCGCATTTCCTGTCAAGACTCAACGCTTATGCAAAGTAACTGCGACACGGCTAGGCTACCATTACTGGTGGTGACAACAGATGTCAAATCACAAGCCTTGCAACAATGTCACACGCATGACTATGCTGTGCACATACTCCACAGCCCGGGCGCAATGTCAGCCACACGAAGAGAGATGAGATTCGTATGGGTATCACAAGGAGCAGCCGGGAGAGCGAATACACCAACTGCCCCGCCCCGCAGCCCCTCACTCCAGGAGTCCCCCCCCCTCCCAGCAGCAAAACAGCACCAAAAAAGGGAGGAGCCCCCAGACGGATGGCCCAACCCATCGTCATCCGTAGCCTATTGCTCCACATGAAGAGGAGGCAAGCTAGCACTGCGACGCTGTCTCTCCGAAACAACTGCTTCCGCGGATAGTATGCTTTGACTGTTGTTGGGCTGTTAGTGCCTTGCCCACAGCCGAATACCCCCCCCCCCCCAACGAGTACATTAATTTTACCGCTTTAGCAAGGTGCGGTGGATGTTAGCAGTGGCCACCACAATGCATACATTGTACTTCCACCCTTTCCCAGCATGATAAGGGAGTACAATGTAGTACTACACCTAACAGTTACATGATATTACACTATGTATGTATGGATGTATTCTTTATTTTAATTGCGAAGTAATTTAAAAATTACTTCGCAAAGTCAAACGAGATCGTTGCCTAACACTACATGTACTCCCTAAATGCAATGGGACTCCAAAGCATTACACATACCAGTCCCGGTGATGGAGGATTTGAGGTACCAGCCTAGACATACACTGCTGGAGGCAAACCAATCTGCCCCCTGCGTTGCCTCTCGCGCTCCCCAGGACACGGGGAGGGCCGCCGCTCTGCCTGCGTTACCAGAGTAATGAACTGTGCACCGGAGTGTTGGCTCATGCTTGGGTAGCGACATGCATTGATGCCGATTGTGATGGATTGATTTCGTTGCAGAGCTCTGAGCAAAGTCGGCGGTGCATTTACTCCTCCCATAAAACTGTAATAGCCTCTTTGTCGACATCAAGCAATTGACACACTACTGTCTGCAGATTGAAGCAATTGCCATAAACAGATAGCTTCCACAAAGACAGAAGCAAAACCAGGGAATTGATACGGACAGATTATTTCAAGAAATTCAAAAAATACAGCCTAGAGTAAATCACGGTGTGTTCTCAAGCAGAAGTACTGGTGTGAGTTGAATGCCATGGCTCCTGGTTAAGCTAGTCTGCTACTGTGATGGGAGCAGCCGCAGGTAAATTATCAGAGAATGATACGGTTGTGATCAAGTCCCGACGTTTCTGGAGCTATAGGGTCAGAACAGGGCCCTTCGAAACTACACTGATGAGATGTAATCAATCAGGCTTTGCACTGCTACAACTGTAGTTGTGTTGAGCTCCTGATGAGATGTGATCAATCCTTTGCACTGCTACAACTGTAGTTGTGTTGACCTCCTGATGCGATGTAATCAATCCTTTGCACTGCTACAACTGTAGTTGTGTTGAGCTCCTGATGCGATGTGATCAATCCTTTGCACTGCTACAACTGTAGTTGTGTTGAGCTCCTGATGCGATGTGATCAATCCTTTGCACTGCTACAACTGTAGTTGTGTTGAGCTCCTGATGAGACGTGTACTTACTACATGTGCTCAATATCTCAGTGGATTGGCCTACAGGCCGGATCACTGCAATTGATGTCCCAGTATGGCTCACCACATCTGGGCTAACATTCAGCACTTAAGGTCCACAACATCCAGAGAGCTGACATTCACGTGACTAGACGACCGGCTCCAACTCCGAGGCGCCTGTCGATGATCACGACTTGGCTTGGAGAGACTCTGAAGAAGAGCGTATTGACCAGGACAACGAGTAGCTTTCCATTGCATCTTCATACATGCTTTCAATGCTGCTATGGTTGCCTGCATTTCAGAGAGGAAAAATAGGCACAGATAATCACATGATAATCACATGCAGTGTGCAGATGATGCGCCTTACAGCAGAACAAGAACTGTCGACCATGTCTGGTGCATAGCTATGGATGTGCCTGGCACAGCTACTGAGTACTGTTGCGGGTGTGTACATATGACTTGAACTAAAATAGCTATGCACCCCGGGCAGTGTGCTGATACTCTTGAAAACGTACTCGTGTACACAGTGCACCCTTGCCTTGCCTGCTGCATGCCGGCATGTACTTGGTAGTTGCATTTGCGTTGCACCTGCATGCACGTGCAGGGAATAGGGAGAGAGAGGGGGGGGGGAGGCCTCAGGGGAGGGTATGAGAGAGGAGAGAGTTGTCCAGAGGTGTTGGCTATGAAAGTGTTCTTTTGGTGGTCTGGATTGGGAAAAGCAGTGCCATCTGTCAAGTTGATAATTATCTGACTGCTGGCCCTATGTACTGCATGGTGCGGAGAGTTGTATTATGGTGCTCTGCCTCCTTCCCTCAGCTGATACTTCCACTAAGGTACTGGTAAAACCCATTTTAGCACATGCACAAGTATGTACAATGATAGATTCATAGCTACAGTACAGGAATTAAAGTGTGATTTTCTAAACCGATACTTTAGCATAGACAGAAACACCAAAGCACTCACCGGTACAAACTGCGCTAATAAACGCTTTATCTTCCTCCATGTAGGCGTCGGCGTCCGGGAACCTCTCCACCACCTCGTCGTCTGTGTCTCCCTGACGGTATGCTAGCCTGCATGCCTTGGTGTAGGGATCATCCACTGATATCCTGAGCCCGTCTGCCCAGGCTTCCAGGCATGCCTCGTACTTCCTGCCGTGGAGCTGAGCGCCGTGACTAAGCTGGCCAATGGCACCGGAGTTGAAGCGCCAGTGCGCCACAGTCACACGCGGAACACGCTCTTCTTCTGCCACTTCGTACTCCCTAACGATGTCGGGTACGCTGTGCAGTCTCCCTGCGCCCGACGGGTGATCATGACAAAGAACCTTCGTCCGAATGGAGCCATCAACAATATCACCGGCAATAAATCTAGCCATGTCACAGAAATGGGTAGCTTGCTCGACCACCGGGCCCCCAGACAATTCCTTACGCCACCAATTGTAGTTGGTTGAGTGGTTGTATGCATTCTTGTACGTAAGCTGCAAGTACGTGAGCTTGGCACCAGTTGAGGAGCTATGCTCCAAGATCAGCTGTTTCATTCGCCTGATGGCTGGGTGGTATCTGAACATGTACCCTACGGACACCACCAAGTTCTGTCGCTTCTGCTCCTCCAGTACAGCTTGCATGTATGCATCTACCTCCGCTACTGGTTTCACGGATAGCGGCTTCTCTACGAAACAGTGCACACCGGCTCGTACGCAGTCCAACTCGATTGGGCGGTCGAAATGGCCATGGGTGAATGGTGGAACGCCGATGAATACAGCATCCAGTTTCTCCTGCTGCAGCATCAACTTGTAGTCTTCATACGCTGTGCAATATTCATACTTGCCTGCATTTGCTCCATTCTTCCGACCGGCTAGAACTTCCTCAGCTTTACCAGCTATGGCATCGCAGATAGCCACAAATCTCACCTGCTCAATTTTCTCCAGTCTACTGGCGTGATCCCATGGACCAAGCGTTCCTCCGAAGTTTACCGCGCCAGCTCCAATGAAGCCCACCCGAATATTTCCCTTGGAGCTACAAGGATCAATTGTCGCCATTGCGGTCTTCCCAGCCTTGGCTATGGCCAGCGAGTAAACGGTAGCCAATCCTGTCTCGAGGTCCAAGTGGTTTGTTTACAAACACCATACAAACCCAGGACCGGATTTGAAGGGATACTGAAGTCTATTAGTACAGGTGGAATCCTGATAATTCGAACCTCAAAATGCCAGGACAAAACTTCTAATTATCCTGACATTCTAATTATCCAAACATGAACCCACAACACAATAATTATGTATGTCAAAATGCTCTCATCATGGTCACGCAGAGTTGCGCTATGGACGTAGACACAGATTTCACAGATTCTGAAATGACCGGCACAGCCTGCTCATGCACCAGTACAGGTCAGTGTACATGTAGGTCTACAGTGAACTTCGAATTACATGTACTAGTACCCTTGGCTAACTTCGAATTATCAGCACAAATCCCCCACATTTGAACAAATTATGTGGGAATCGTATTGATAGAAATTGGTCCTGGAAAAACTTCTAATTTTAAGCGGTATGTTCGAACCATATTCGAATTATCAGGATTCCACCTGAATTACTAAATACTAGTAATAAAATAATTATGGTTGACTACATACATAGCATTACTCCATTGGCATTGCCCCTTTGACGAGTGTCTCGTCCCACCACGGCACTGCATTATTTAGGGCTCTAGACTTCATTCTGACACTTGACAGTTTCAACCTGGGTAAGGGCCGCCGGGGGTAGTAGATCTACTACATCGTCATGTAGATCATGGTAGACGTACCTATGACTAGTAGATCTGCTATGCCGAGTACTAGTAGTAGACCCCATCTACTCCCTGTGACTCAGCGGGTTCCAACTTCCCACATTCAACGTAGATCTACTCCACTCGCCTGCACAATGCGTCAGTGGGATGTGCACTAGTATTTCTAGAGCAATTCCAGTCCCTGTGATCCGCATTGCAATGGTCGTTTTCATCCAAAAATGCTTTTAAAAGTCACTGAAAGGCAAGGCAAATTGCCATTAGTCAGTCCCAATCTCTACGGATGAAAATCAAGTCGCGACGCCAAATATCATGGTCTGCTTTTAATAAAATTACAATAGCCTTATACAGAGTCAGTACTAGTACATGATTGCGCATGCACATGTCTTCAAGGTGAACCTTCACTCAGACACGTAACCAGGTAACGGTTAGGGATATATTACCAGAGCCTAGAGGGAATCATGAACTGATTGCCATGACTTGCCAAGACTCCCTAGTTGGTTCAGACTAGAGTGAGATTTAGAATCATCGGATGATCTACCATTTTCATACGCCAGTACAGGGTCACCCCAGGGACACCGTGGCAACATGACTTGTATCTGACTAGTTCAGAGCATAGTAGTTACGGCTCAGCATGCTCCAGTCACTCCAGGCTGCAGGCAACACACTGCCAACTACCAAAACAACATGCACGCAATCATCATCTTGCTCGTTCAAGCTTGCCGCAGGTGGAGTTGGCAACTTGGCACATCTGCATCAACAGTACTGTAATCTAAGCATGGTGTTATTCACCAAATCATCATTGTCGTGCATTGCTTCCCAACTTCTTCCAATAAATTCTTTAAAAAAATTCCAAAAAAGATATTCCCTAGAATCTGAGAAAATATTCTAAAATAAAATACATTTCACAAGTGCCCCAGTGTCCTAAGTAGTTCATTTGCAAATACTGATACGCTGTTTCAGATCATCTGATTGAGATACTTCAACGTTCGAACTGGCAGCATGGAGCTAGGTTCATGATAGGACAACACCGAACAGTTATTTACTGGTATGTTCACTGGCAGTGCTCTTTCAAAAACGGCCCGGCATACTAGGATATGCCCTGGTAAGTGCGTGTAAGTACATCTCAGCCCCAAACTACACCAAATGAGCCACCACCAATACTGTACTTTCCACGCACCATACATTGCTACTAGTATGGAACTTGAGGTGTCTCTTCGTATCTCGTCATAGTATGCCACTTCTATCCTGCAAGCTGCTCGACCACTCTCACGCTTGATTAGCCGATGACTCAGAGGCCTGGCGCACTGCCCAAGACAGAGCGTACGTTCGCAGGGCATCTTCGTACGGACTCTGGACACTCTTCGAGCTCCCTGCACACAAGAAGGCCGAGAAAACGTGTTACGCTCTACATGATCAGTAAAGACAAGGTCCATATCGCTGCATCTTGTTGCAAGGATTATTCCCACACAGGCCTGCATAGACTGTCCATGCTATGAGTTCCATACAGGGGGCAAGACTCACTGGCAAATCAAACTAGAAGTGCTGCATTGAGAACAGGAGGCCATAGCGTTATGGACAACAGAGCAAAGCGGATAGCCAAACAGTGATCCTGCAAAAAGAACTTCAGAGTGCAGCACCCCCCCCCCCCCCCCCTACACCACACACACACGCACACACACACACACACCACACACACACACCGCCACTCTCAGGCCTGTATCAGTGTAGCTCATATGTTCCTAAGGCTATGGTGACAGGAGCAACAGGCCGCAAGATACTCCACGCTCTCAACGTACTGTACTAGTGGCCCAGGACAGCAGTACATCATGATGACACATGGTACTTACCAGTGCGAATGGCATCGATAAATACGTCATCTTCTTCCTGGTACGGATCAGCACTTGGGTACGTCTCCACCGTCTCCACATCCGTATCACCTTGCCGGAATGATAGGCGGCAGTTGGGAGTGTAGCAGTCCTCCACGGTGACCCTCAGGCCGTCTGCCCAGACCTCAATGCGCGCCTCGTAGCGCTTGTGGTGCAGCGCCACGCCGTGCGACAGCTGCCCAATGGCACCATTGCTGTGTCTCCAGTGTGCCACGGTCAGCCGCGGGATGCGGTTCTCGCTAGCGATATCTCCTTCTCGTACAGCATCCGGTACGGCACTGAGCTTTCCTGCGCCGGATGGATGAGTGTCGCCTGTGCACAATGCCTCTATACTGCTCTCAAGCACGTCACCACCGATGTAACGTGCTATGTCACAGAAATGCGTCGCCTGTTCCACTATGGGCCCGCCCGATAATTCCTTTCGCCACCAGAACGGATGGTCGAGCTGTGAATATGCACAATTGTAGGTCAATTGCAGGTAGGTCAGGCGTGCGCTTGTGCTGCTCTCGTGATCGGCCAGTAGCTGTTTCATTCGCCTGATGGCTGGGTGGTATCTGAACATGTACCCTACGGACACCACCAAGTTCTGTCGCTTCTGCTCCTCCAGTACAGCTTGCATGTATGCATCTACCTCTGCTACTGGTTTCACGGATAGCGGCTTCTCTACGAAACAGTGCACACCGGCTCGTACGCAGTCCAGCTCGATTGGGCTGTCGAAATGGCCATGGGCGAATGGTGGGACGCCGATGAAAACAGCATCCAATTTCTCCTGCTTCAGCATCAACTTGTAGTCTTCATACGCTGTGCACTCTCTATAGACGCTAGCATTCTCTCCGCTCTTCCTAATATCCAATACGAACTGTGCCCTGCCTGGCAGTTTGTCAGCAATGGCCACCACCCTCAATCCTGGGATGTTCTCCAGTCGGCTAGCATGATCCCAAGGACCCTCCGCACCTCCGAAGTTCACTGCTCCGCCACCTATGAATCCCACTCGCACTGTCTCTTTAGCGGAGCTCATCATGTACCAGTCGTGTTACTGTGCACCCAGCCACTATTGTAGTATTGACAGTGACAACTATTTCAGTCAGTTCTCGAGTCCTGGACCACCTTGCACAGTAGTTGTACGTCTCTCTCTCTCTCTCTCTCTCTCTCTCTGGGCCACAAGTGCGGGCGAATCTGATGACTACGAGTACTGTACTGCCGTATTTTGTCTGAGGACTTTCACAAGTTTCAGAAACGTCCGTGTGCTATTGCACAAGCGCGCAAACAGAAAAGAACCCAGTCCAGCCTCTTCACCCAGCACCATCCCACTGTCCGAAACAAAACAACGGTCACCGAACAGTCAACTGCCACTGGAAGTGATCTACGCGAGATCTACGGGCCGCTAGTATCCATGCACGCGCATGGAGCATGTGCATGCGATAATGCACAACAAGCGCTAAGCATGCTTCAAGTTTTTTTGATGACTCCCTGGCCTGATTCAAGATAAAAAAATATGAAAATTGAAATTTCGTTTGTTAGTTGTGTTGATGAAATATGTGACAATTATTGTAATGAATTGACCTGTATTGCATATTGCCGGCTTGCAGTTATACTGTTATTTCACGTTCTGGAAAGTACTAGTAGCATACTAGCAAGAGTGCATTATTATTAAATTTTGAATAGGGCAGTCCCACAGAGTATAAGTATTATCGCTGCAGTAATGTTGAGTGCAGCTCGCAGATTGAATCAATCTCAGCGATTTCTGTTACGGCCCTCGGTCAATGGCACGTCATTGTCCATAGCATGGCGGTCGACGCTGAGGAAGGGTCCGAAGCCCCCTCAAAGGAAATTTGAGTTTACTGAAGTCGACCGACGTTTAGTTCGTGATCGGAAAAATACAATCAAGGGTTTGGGCCAGGTAGCATGCACCGGATGTGGAGCCCCTCTGCAAAGTGAAGACTTCAGAAAGATGGGGTATATGTCAGCCATACGCATTGAACAGTGTGCAAAGTTCGAGTCGACTCCTAAGACCCCGTTCCCACCATATGTATGCCTGCGCTGCCACACACTGAGGCACTCTGCGGATGGGGTGCATGTGGAAATGAAGGAAAAAGAATATCGGATGGTGATGTCTAAGCGCATTACAGAGCATAACTGTCTGATTCTATGGTTGGTGGACATTACTGATTTTCCATCGTCCCTCTTCAAGGGAATTGCAGATATCATTGGGCCCAATAACCCAATCATCCTTGTTGCGACAAAGGTTGACCTTCTCGGCGATCTGAACAAGGGCTTAGTATCTGAAACAGTGCGTGAGTGTATGCTCGAAGGATGGCGAGAATCCGGTCTGGCTGACAAATGCCAGCTGGTAGCGTTGCACATGATCTCTGCTTCGACTGGTTTTGGCGTTGGCAACCTCTTGAAGGACGTAAGCTCACATTGGAAGAACCGAGGTGATGTTTTTGTAGTTGGTTCAGCTAATGCTGGGAAGTCGACATTGTTCAATCGTATTATGCCACTGATGTGTGGCATGTCAGCTAGTCACAGGGGCGGTGCTACGGTTGCCAAATGGCCAGGCACGACACTGAGGATGATTCGATTCCCGATGATTGCCTTCTCCGAACAGATGCGCCTAAAGGAGCAAGCCAGAGCCGAGGTGTTGCGACGCTTGCAGCAAGGAGAGGAAGAACGAAAGCAGAAGCAGCCGGCACTGCAAGTCCTGCAGAATTCACAGCCTCTTTTCAGTGATGGATTTAGTCACCTCGACAAGTGGAAGCATGGCCTGGCGCCGGATGTGTCAGGAGTCTGCAGCTACACTAGCCGAGATGTTGAGGACATCTTCAACCCCCAGCCTGGAATGAAGGCTGTGTACGAGACACACGGTGAGCTGCTTCGGGTGAAAAAGATCAATACACGTGAGAGAGAGGACTTTGACAGCCTCGACGAGGACGTGGAGAAGAAATACGGCGCGTTGTTGAACGATCGAGTTGTGCTTAGTGGTTCTGACCCTACAGCTGTTGAGAATGTCTCTGTGTCCACCAAGTTCTCTCAATTGGAAAAGATGTCAGCTGAAGGAGAGATTGAGACGAGCCCTGTTGATCCCGATGAGAGGATGGACTTAATTGGCATTGATTACGAAGATGACGCGTCTAAAAAGTACCTGTATGACACACCAGGCTTAGTCCATAAAGATCAGGTATGTATATTGAGTGTATGTCATGGGCATAATCACAAATGTCGCCGGGCTGCGTTTTTCTTTTACGTCAAGTAGTTCTTTTACACGCCCGTAAAAATTGAAAAAATATGCACACTGCTTGATTCCCCTGAAAAAATCACTTTCTGCATGTGATGTATGCTTTGGGAGGAAAGCGTAGTACTAGTCGAATGTCCCAGTCTGCCACCCCCAGAGCCACCGTTGGCACACTGCGAGTGAACAGGGAGAACAGAAGCCCTATGGGAAGCAATTATGGCAAGAAATCTGCCTAACAAGCAACGTGATCTACCCACTATCGGATAGGGTATCAAGCGACACCATGCGTCGCGGCTGCATGGCGGCAAACCAACTTGTCAATGTACACGGCCTGTCTCCAGACGCCAGTGGGTGTGCTGTGCGTTAATATTGTTCTTGTGTGTGTGTCCATGTACTGGTCTGTGTGTGTGTGTGTGTGTGTGTGTGTGTGTGTGTGTGTGTGTGTGTGTGTGTGTGTGTGTGTGTGTGTGCGCATGTGCACACTTGCACATGTATTTGGCAATGTGTGTTGTTGTCTCTAGACAAGCAACTATCTGGATCCTGAGGAGATTCACCGTGTTGTCTCCAGTAAGCCACTCAAGCCCCTCATCTTGTTTCTCAGACCAGGCCAGACTATTTTCATTGGTGGATTGGGTCGCTTGGACTTTCTTCAGGTAAGTGTGTGTGTGCCTATCAGGGACTTTCCCCTTTCTCCCAATTCAATGCAATTTTAAAAGCAGGATTCACAGAAGCATTTTTGCGATGCCATGTGTGATGCGACGCGATCTGCGACGCAGAGGTGCGATGCAAATTCGCAAAATATCATTTCGAAGAAGAAGTCCGCCTCGCTACGTCACCTTGCTGATGCGCCTCAAAGTGCAATGAAGGTGTGCACGACAGCCTGGCATTCACAAGTAGCTGTGTTCGAATATTTGTACATATCTACAAGCAGCTCTTGTATCTAGTTTACAACCGTTGCCGCAAAGAATATCCCAGTCGCATCGCGAAATTTGAGCCAATCACCGATTGGTGATGAAGTACGGGGCATGACGAGGGACTGATCAGATCTCTGCTTTGCTGTTTTCCTTGCACAGGGTGACTGCATGGCGTACTTCACGGTGTTTGCCTCCAATCTAATGCCAGTGAACCTGTGCGAAATGTGGGAGGCAGATGGAACCTATGAGCGGATGAAAGGTTCCAAGGCAATGGCGGTAAGCATGGCCCCGTATACATGTACTTGCGTTGGATCCATAGATTAATGCACGTCTGCTTGTGACGAAATTAGGAAGTAGCTGCATGTAAATTGCTCCACAAGGTACATCCGTGATCCCAGCATAACACTGTATTTTCCCGCATCCAATGCAGGTCAGGAAACACTACAACGATTGTAATGATGTGTGTGTGCGCGCACGCGCGCGTGTGTGTGTATGTGTACGTGTGTGTGTGTGTGCACAAATTCTCACAGGTACCCCTCGGTGGTCCAGACCGGTTCCGAAAGTTTCCCAACATGCAGGGCAAGGAGATCGTCGTGAACGGCTTGGGCATGGGCCGTGCATCGCGTGACGTTGTCCTCTCCAGTGCCGGCTGGGTATCTGTTACTGTGCCCCAGCCGAGACCCGTCTTGCTGCGGGCGCACACACCTGCTGGAAACGGTATCAGTACTCGTAGCCCCCTGTCACCATATACAGTGCAGCTGCGCGGCGAGCGCAGTACAACCTGCCAGTACGCCTTCAAGGGCACGCCGGGCGTCACCAGACCGTACCGGGGACGCCTTTCGTTCGAGCAGAAGTGGAAACAGCACAACATTGACGAATATGGAAATAGAAGTAGAAAGTCACTTCCATCGTAGCAAGTGACCACCAGTGGCCGGGTCGCTTGCAGCTTGTCCACCTAGAAGAAACAGTGGATTTCCTGGAGGTACTTTTGAACTACAGCAAGTACTGCTGCGCTTTGGCAAGTGACTTGCTTACTCTCTGTTGCTGTGAATACGGAAGGGTGTGTACTCTGTCACAGCGTGTTGACTTTTTTTTTCTTTTTTTCGGTCAGATAAAGCTGGTTCTTTCTGATCCATACGAACATATTGCATTGTTTCTGACATTAATTTTGTAAGGTCTAGAGTTGAGCCCTGCAGCCATGTACACCATTATTCCACTTGCATGTAAAGTAATTGCAACCAACTCTACTACCAAACACATACTACCTTGTCCGGCACAAGACCCACTGTACTACTGGTATTCTTTCTACCTTTATCTTCGCCTTTCCCTAATTAAAGCTGAGCGACAGAAACAGCGACAGGTTGTTCTGTGGCTTCAACTTCCGTTTAGTCAACACAGGAGGCAGTGGTCTCCAGGTGGCAAAACAGTATTCTAACAGCATGAGTTCTTTACATAGAGTATCAATACCACTGTGATAAAGTACTACTTCAAAGTAGTGAGTTAAACATCAGCTCGAGAGGCAGTGGAACAATCACATGCTATTGGTTCATAGTTCTTCTATCAGCACCCGCTTCGGTGCTGCTGCTGCCACTTCTTCTGGCATAAGATCCAGAGCACCGGTTTCCATTCTGTCAGCTGCCTGCTGCCCGACATCTTTCATGTCCGTATCGTTAGCAATGTTGTGATAAGCACTACCCGTGATGGACGTGGGCTTGTCCAGCACACCCACATCCAGTAGACCTCCATCCGTTGCTGATGTACGTGTGTTGCTGCTCTCAGCGTGTGTGCTCGCTGTTGCAGACTGTGGAGGTGCAGAGACAGCGGTGGCACCCGCCACAGACCTGTCTTCAGCTTGCAGACCTGGAGCCATGGACAATGCGTCCTGCACGTGTGGCATGTTCTGTGCTACTTCCACGTCCTCACTGCCACTCACATTGCTGTCCTCATCGTCGTCACTGTCATCGTCACTGCTATCGGATGATGAGTCATCGCTACTTGACGAGCAGCTGGAGCTACCATCACTTGCATCGCCATGGGTATCATCGTCGCCATTTTCTTGTAAGACCTCCGTTGCAGCTTCCTCCAGTTCAGACAGCTGCCAGCCAAGATCCTTCTTCACCAGTTTCATCTATGTAGAAGAGGCAGAACAGCGAAACATTTACACCGTGGCATGATTACAGCACACATGTTGATAGGAATTTCAACTCTCAAAACTCTGAGAGGATAAACCCTTCCTTTCCTTTGCACAGTCATCTGAAAGCCAGAGTGAGTGAGAGAGAGAGAGACGCCATGGGCGCTAACAACCCAATGAACAGCACAAACATCCCATGCAAAGCTCTGTACCTCAGCAAGTCGTTCTGCAATTGCCTTGATCTTGGAGTGACTGCAGCATGTAAAAACACCATCAAATTCATGATTCAGGACTAATGTAAAAACTGTGCAGCACATTACAAATAAGTTGAAATAACCCTACAGCAATAAGTTATCAATAGACAAAAAGTGCGGGTCACTAGGTCGTCAGCATGCACACATCACAGCATGAACGGAAAGCTTAGTACTAATAGTATATGTAAGGTATGTGCTTGCAACGTACCTACACCGTTGAACCCATACACAGTAGTCTGTGATGTACAGGTCGTTCAGCAAATAGCGATTCTCGTCGTCTTGCAGCAAACATCGGATTTCTAGCAAGCATTTCAGAATTTGACGTCGACCTGCAGCCAGAATTAAACGTCATACACTAGCTGTAAAGCTTGCCATATACACACACAGTCAATCCAGTCAGTCATGTGTTTGACCAACCTTGGGAATAGAAATAACCAGACAGGGCTTGCAAAGAACGGGTCACATTACAGTTGTAAGAAGCAAAAGACGACATTCAGCAACGAGAGGCATTCTGGAGATATTTATCAAACTGCGCTGTGGTAGCATCACATACTTTTTACACAACTTGACCTAAGTACACATACACTAGTCTAGGTTCTTCCAAACAAACCGAGCAAGAAGATGGAGGAAACGTCCTTGAGAACCAGCTTGACCAACTTCCAATGCCGATAGAGTGGGTATGCTAGCATGTTCCGAGCCGACGCCACAACAACATCCTTCAAAGAGGAAAACCACTGCAAGCATGAAGAACAATACACAGATATCTGGTTACGGTCTCCTTCATCAGTAAAGTTAGAGTAAGAATTGATGCAGATCGCTTCCTGCAGGTTCATTTCACAACCAGATGTGTTTTAGGCCAACTGCTACAACACAGCGCAAGGTCGAGTGGTGGCGGTTTGCCCAAAACACATCCCAAAAATTGCTACTGATAATACAGATACTTCGAAGTATAAGCAATAGAAGTGGAAGCAGGAACCTTGTGCTGGGATCACACACACAAACACACACGTGGACATGATTGTAACGTTATGCTAACAGGACGCCCCTTGACATTACAGGGCAAGAGAGGCTAGCACAAACTCACCTCAAACCAGGAGAGTAGACAGGCGACCTTCGACACAGTCCAACCCGACTCGACTGTGTTCTCGCCACATGTAGAGCGGTGATTGTAGGCATACGCCATCATTAAGTCCACCAGACCAAGGTAGGTACAACGTGTCAACGGCCTGTCCAGGAGATACTCCTTATTAGGCAGCTCCTTCAGCCTATCCAGATCTTCTGATGAGAATGTAACTGAAGGAGAAAAAGGAAAGAGAAAGACAGGGAAAGACTGATAAGGGCAAATTCACACGGGCCTCTTTCATTTTCTGATGAGCCACAACCTATTTGAAGAGTGTTCATGCGTCCTCATATGACATCAGGCGCCTCTTCCATCTCTTCCGGGGAGAGGCACGAAAGAAACTGCGATTTTGCGAATAGTCCAGGATTTTTTTCATTTTCTTTGCTGCCGCACATTTTCGAGATTGTATGCGTGCATACCGGAACCATTGCCCCGGTGGCGCCTAGGAAACATAGCGAGAAAATCATGTTCAAAGGAAACATTGCCATATCGTACGAGCGGAAAACCTCATCTCAACTCTTTCGAGAAGAGCCATGCTATTCCAGATGAGACCACGCAAATTCACCCCTAGCATGGTTCAATGCAAGATGTGTGGGTTGTTTACATCAAGAAACAACCCACAGGCGTCAGCATTAAAAAAAAAAAGAAGAAGAAAAGAACGAAATATAAGAGAAAAGAACGACAAGCATTTTATTTTATTGCGTACAGTTGACATGACATACAGCCAAGGACCATAATAATAGCACTTAATGGAGATTGGCATGCACGCCTGCACTTGAATTCACGTACCAAACTTCTCCTGAGCTGCCACGTGCTGATCACGACCATTGGACAAGGATGCTCTGCAAGAGCCACACAGCGACCACGCATAAAGAGATGAAGGCCATGTGGTGTTAAAAGACGGACAGAGAACACAGATCACTGCACATCTTGACACACATCCCGGTGCACAGCTAAGCATGCAATTCCATTCACAAGTGGCTCAAACTCCAGCACTAAAGATGATCAGACTTATGCAACATGGATAAAATCCTTAGTAAGAATATGCGCCTTGGGGTCAATATCATACTGTACATGTACAGAACTTCTACTGAGAGATGAGGCTCTCTATTTTGAGGCACATGCAAAGATAATGTACCGGTCTGAGTGCATTATCCAAATTCGGCAGCAGACCTTCATAAATATGCAACATTCCGAACGGAATCATCTGTTCCACATTCCACGTGATTCACGTAATGCACTCGACTGCTCTAGAGCTCTCCATATCAGAACACTTTATAATTCTTGACATTGTGACGCACACACTGCATTCTACTAGTAACAATTGACTGTCAGTGTCAAAGTGACAGAATAACAACTAACTTCCTCCAATGAATATCTTCCTCAGGTGTAAGGCTTTGACTACTGTACATGTAGCAGTTCGGCTTGTGACCCATACCAGAAGTACAAGTATACTTTTTTGCACATTGTTTATACGAGGTACAAGGCTTAGAAAGTGAGCGGTTCTTGCCTACCTCGAAGTAGAAGAAAAAGTCACAGCCCAAACATTGGGACAACCTATACACTGATACAGTCTATACAATGGTGAAATCAATACACTTCGACGGCATATGCACTGGGACGGCAGACGCACTGGTGTAGTCTATACACTGATACGGCATAC